AATCTATAATGTACCTCACATTAAAGGGACACTATAGCTTAATGAAGTGGTTCTGGTGTCTATAGCTAGTCCCTGCAGGCTTTTTAATGTAAACACACACTGTGTGCAGCACTGGCGTTAGTTCATATGGCAGATCATATGGGTGGGGCATTGTGATGTGACATGTGGGGGCAGCAAATTTTTATTTTGTCTAGGGCGGCAAAAATCCTTGCACCTTCTCTGATCCTGGGCAGGTGCACCAGTCTACTTGACTGGTTTTGCCCCCCAGGCCTAAGGCTGCCAGCCCTCCCCTGGCCGCTGGGGAGGTCTTTTGGCGGCCGCTGGCGGACTTGTCCTAGCGGCCACTGAGGGAGCTGCGCGAGCTGCGCTGGCTCTGCTCCCAGCACGCAGCTGAATGAGACCGGCGCCGGAATATGACGTCATATTCCGGCGCCAGTCTCATTCAGCAGCGCGCGAGGGCGGGAAGGCACTAACACAGGAAGCACCTCTAGTGACCGTCTGAGTGACTGTCACTAGCAGTGTCACTTTGAAGCAATGTAAACACTGCCTTTTCTCTGAAAAGTCAGTGTTTACGTTGAAAAGCCTGTAAGGACATGCTATAGACACCAGTACCACCACATTAAGCTGTGTGTGTGCGTCTGCTAGTGAGTGAGCTTGCTTGCATGCGTGTGCCTGCTAGTTAGTGAGCTTGTGTTTTTATGTCAATGAGCTGATGTATATCAGTAAGATTGTTTGTCTATGAGGCTGTGTATCAATGAGCTTGTGTGTGTCACTGAAATGTCAGTGAAGTTGCCTGTGTCTACATGTGAGTATGCTTACTGTATAATTAAACGTTTTACCCTGAAAGGACCAATATTTTATATTAGAAAAAGCTATATATATATATATATATATATATATATATATATATATATATTACTCAATCATCTGTCCTGGCAAGACATAGCCTTACATATTACACGCGACAATATATGGCGCCGTGACTTATGGGGCTGGCACAAATTTTTTTTCCAGGGCTGCTTTGTATCCCCAGTCCGGCCCTGCCTCTATCCCTTAGTGGTCTATCCTCTTCCCTCCCCCCCCATGTCCCTTCCCCTCCCTGGTGTGCCTCCTACCTCTCTTTATAGCGTGGCCGGGCAAAGCTGACCATGGTACAGGAGCTTCTGTTTCTTGTACCCGGCTGGACTGACAGGAAGTGCTCCGCCCAGCCATGCTACACTGAGTGATTGATAGGAGGGAGTGCAGTGTGCTTCCCTCCTGCCGGTCCCTCAAATCTTGCAACCCTCAGAGCTGGCGCACCATAATGGATGCTGCAGGCGGCTGCAGCATAAGGGGCACTGCTCTGGCAGCGCAGGGCACCCTCTTCTAATCTGCACCCTACGCAACTGCCTAAGTCGTCTATAGAAAGCGCCGGCCCGGCCCTGCTTCCATGTCTCCTACAGAAACCTGTAATTGGATCATTTCACCAGCTCAGAGTGCATGCACACACTCTGAGGTGAGAAAACTTTTTTTTTTTAATTAGCACTGACAGGGAGGCAGGGAAGGCTCATAATGTTGAAGGAGGGAGAATACAACCACACTTCCCCTTGCAGGCTTAGTATGTCTGTTGCCAGCATGCAATGAGCTCTGGTGACAGATGTATTTTATGCACAGAACTGATTTTAGAGAGTCTGGAATAGAGTTCTCTATACCTGCTTTATTTCAAGCAAAAATGCTGCACATACAGATTGCAACTACTGAGACCACTTCAAATCACTGTAGTGGTCATGATGGGTTATGTAACCTTCTAACATAATAACACCAGTTCACATAGTGTCTGTAATTATCTAATGACTATAACTGGCTTTATGCAAAAAAAGTATACCACCCATATTTTTCTGAGATGCGAATCATTTTCTGATATGGAATGCTTTCAATTCCTATTAGGAGGTGATACCCCACTTATTCTCCAGACTCTTCCCTTGTAGTGGATTTAGGAGGTAAAGAGAAATGATTGTGCAATGTTCCTGGTTCATCGGTATGCAGGTGTAACATTTTTACAAATCAATTTTAGAGTCTATTGAATCTGTCTATATTTTAAATCATAAATGTGTCATCTATCAAATATGACACTTACCCCATTTAAAATAAAGATGTATTACACCTTTTTATAGTTGCATCCAGTTTGGAGTCGATACTATAATGAAAATACTTTTTTTTTTTTTTTTTCTATAAAAAAAATAAATATGTAAACACGTTATAACAATTTTGTGTCACTTTATCCCACTCCCTCTAGCATGTAAGCTCATTGGGCAGGGCCCTAAACATCTCTGTTTCTATGGGCCAAACTTGTCTGGTTACAATTACGTTTGTTAGTCCACCCATTGTAAAGCCTACAAAATTTGTTGGCGCTATATAACTGTAATAATAATGATGGTGTTTCCCATCCTTTTGTTTTATTTAACATGTATTTCCAAGTTCACCCTCTTAAAGGGTTACTCCAACCAAAAATCTGTGTTTTTAAAAGAGATACTCCATGAACTCAGCATGTTATTCTTTTTATTCAGAACATTGATACATAATGTAAAAGTTTGCTTTTACTTCCAAACACAAGTATGTCAACATCTCACTTTACCTCCACCCCTATTGGGCGGGAAATAGTAGAATCCTGGCCTGTCGATCACCGCGCCCCCGGAGCCAACCAATCCGCGGCTGGGGGGATTGTCTTTCAAGGGTAACATACTTTGCCAGTTGCGACTGCGCAGGAGTCGCCATCTGGCTGGTTAACACTTTCGCTGCCTGTGTGCCGGCTCACGGTGGTATTGTGATGATGTCGGCCTGGCTCGGTGTATTGGCACGGCGTGCCGTGCTATGGAAGCCAGCTCTGCGCAGGTTCTACCACACCGAGCGAGGAGTTTACGGCTACAGACCCAGAAAAGGGACCAGCACCGGGGAGCTACGTGGGAGCAGCCAAACCAGCGAGACTGCCAGGGCAGGTGTGTGACAGCGAGGGGGGCACCGTGCCAGCACTGCCAGCCTATCACTGCCAGTATTGGCATCTGCATGTATACCATGTACAGCACTGGACATATGGGTTTATTATATGGTGCCCATATATACATTAGTGGACACATGGGTTTATTATATGGTGCTTATTATATATACAATATACATTAGTGGACACGTGTATTATAGTGCTCATTATATATACATTAGTGGACACATGGGTTTATTATATGGTGCTTATTATATATACAATATACATTAGTGGACACATGGGTTTATTATATATGCAATATACATTAGTGGACACGTGGGTTTATTATATAGTGCTTATTATATATGCAATATACATTAGTGGACACATGGGTTTATTATATATGCAATATACATTAGTGGACACATGGGTTTATTTAGTGCTCATTATATATACAATATACATTAGTGGACACATGGGTTTATTATATATGCAATATACATTAGTGGACACATGGGTTTATTTAGTGCTTATTATATATACAATATACATTAGTGGACACGTGGGTTTATTATATATGCAATATACATTAGTGGACACATGGGTTTATTATTTAGTGCTCATTATATATACAATATACATTAGTGGACACATGGGTTTATTATATATGCAATATACATTAGTGGACACATGGGTTTATTATATAGTGCTTATTATATATGCAATATACATTAGTGGACACATGGGTTTATTATATAGTGCTCATTATATATACAATATACATCAGTGGACACGTGTTTATTATGGGTGCTCATTATACGCTGAACACAATTATAAACGCAACACCTTTTTAGTTTTTGCCCCCATTTTTCATGAGCTGAAATCAAAGATCTAAGACTTTTTCTATGTACACAAAAGGCCTATTTCTCTCAAATATTATCTGTCTAAATCTGTGTTAGTGAGCACTTCTCCTTTGCCGAGATAATCCATCCACCTCACAGGTGTGGCATATCAAGATGCTGATAAGACAGCATGATTATTGCAAAGGTGTGCCACAATAAAAGGCCACTCTAAAATGTGCAGTTTTATCACAGCACAATGTCACATAAGCTAAATTAACCCTCTCTCTTTTGCCAGCCCTCATTTAATTAAATTCATTTGAGTTTGCATAAACGCTGCCACTCACCTTGTCACAGACCCAGGCTTTCCAACTCGACCTTATTTAGATTGGACAGTCTTTTTTTGGGGTCCTGTTCCACCATCCTGTTTTTTGTTCTGTGGTATCCCTCAACAGGGGACACCAGAGAACTGTCTAGGAAGCAAAACGCAAGTACATCATTAGTCTTGCTTAGTTATGTGCCGAGGGCACTTGGACCATGCTTTGAGTGTTACAGCAGCGTTCTTTGCATGATCTGCCCTTGGTGGGCCCAGCTGGGAGGCTGACTTGTATACATGCCTCTTATGTATAACTGATGTACTTCTCTAGACTTGCCCAGTCCCTGTCCCACTTTCATACCACCCAAAGATGGGAGTATCCATAACACCACACACCTACTCGCATTCAACTCTGCTACTGAATTAAACATATTAACCAACACAGTCAAATACATATACTAACCATTTCCTACATACATTATGTTTGCAGTCGCATACATACATTTGAAAGAAATCTGCACCTAGACTGGACTTTAGAATGTTGCGAATGGGCAATGTGTTTATTGTTAAATCATTATTCCATCCATTATAACCACTATAGTGGTTATGATGCCAGGAGTACCCTGGCCTGGTTGCCCAAAAATGGGTTAAACCAGAGGCATAGAAGACAGAAGTGTGGCCATCACCACTCATTGGCTGAGGTCACTAGTTGACCACCGCAGCCAATGAATGACATTCTGTGCAATTTGCAAAGAATTTCCATTAGCCAGTCTGGAATTTTAGTGACATCCCAATAACACTGGTGGTGGAGTTACAGTTAAACTCTGCATGTGCTGCTTTTCGTAGCGTAAAACACAGACACCAAGCAAATTATGAAGTGGTTATGGTGCTTGGGATAACCCTTTTTAACATACCTCCCAAGTGTCAATGTTTAGCGATGACATTCCCTATTTTGGGCTTAAATCCCTCTGTCCATCTTTTCCCTTGTAACAATCTTCTTTTCTAGGAGCTCCATGAGTATATAACTGAGCTCTACAGTAATACCCGCAGTAATGTCTTTAAAACTACAATAACATTTGTTTAGATATCAGTAAATAAGATACTTTGTTTTTCTTCTAATTACATTGTAGTTATAAATCCCCTAAAATTTCTCATGAAAGCTCTAACCCCTGTCACACAAACAACACTCAAAGTGCTCATTTGAAATGTTGGAAAGTATGCGTTAATCATTTTAGTGACTACATTTCCTAGATTTTAAGGACTTTTCGTGAAAGAGGTGGGGAACCAGCTATGGAAAGAGAAGTTTAGCTACTCCACTGAAAGTCCTGCACACAGGTGTCACTGACCCTTGGTTCACCCCTCTCCCCTTCTGGCTTTGACTGTAACTGAGTTGGATAATTTTAGAATGTTACCAAATCTGCAATTTGTAGTTCAAAATGTTATCTTCAATTCTGTGTTTAGTAAACTAATCCAGCATTGTAAATAATCTTCATTAAATAATTTTTGTTTTTCTTCTGGTTCAACTATACTTATGGTGTATTGAAAAGAATCCCATAGCTCCTCTAAATTTGCTAATCTGTCTGTACAACAGTCCATCTACAGGTACTATGGAAATTACAGAAGTATTTGCTGCTAGTGAATTTTATAATTTATTTCAAAGAATATGCTGACACTGCTCAGTCATTTGACTTGTGACCTATGTAGAAAACTCTCTCTCTTCCCGGTTTGGAAATTCCTTTTCTCAGACTGTTGGAGTTGTATATTTACCCTGTTTCCCTGACACTATTACATCCCCTGAAAATAAGCCATAGCTTATTTTCGAGGGATGCTCCTAATATAAACCCTACCCAAAAATAAGCTCTGGTCGCTAGTTTGCTAATCTGTGTTCGCCGAATGTTCTAATAACCTGAGCATAGATTTGCAGGATTCCATTCGTGAGTAAGCTAATCTATTTTTGGGGAAGTTTCCCCGAACATAGATTCGCAGGATACCATGCCCTAGTGAACTGGTCTATGTTCGGGGGAATTCCCCCGAATGTAGACCTGCTTTCTAGCACATGCTTGCTACGTCTCCCGCCTCCCACCCCCTTCCCCCGAAATAAGACATCCCCCGAAAATTTTATATAAGACCTGGTCTTATTTTCGGGGAAAGATTGTATGTACAGTGTCCTGCTCTTCTTTTCCCGAGCACTGTTGAAGTCTACTTAAGAGAATTTGTAATTAAATACATTTTCAATAGCATATGTTGTTTGGTGCAAAGCTAGTTTACTATTTTACTGGCATTTCCAATGTGCTTACTGGTGAAAAATAGTGTGAGTTGCTATATAGATGAATTGAAATTAAGCGTTGCTGAACGTTTCTTCACTTTGATCTTTGTAAATAGCTCACTAATTTAGTACCCTTGTCATATTTATGGATACCAAATAGGCAAACATCTACTACACCGCTCCAAAATATTTTATCCTCAACCCCTTAAGAACAGAGCTTCAGAAGCTTGTCTTTCACTTAATGACAACGGCATTTTTTTTCATTTTTTGCTGTTTGTGTTCAACTGCAATTTGCATTTTACTAATTTATTGCACCGACACACATTGTATATCATTTTTTTTAAAGGACAGAAAGGGCTTTAATTTGATGTTATTTATTTATATATATATATATATATATATATATATATATATATATATATATATATATATATATATATATATATATATATATATATATATATATATACACACTTATTTGTTATAAAAAACATACAGAAAAATGCAAATAAATGTGAATTTTTTAAAAATTTTTTTACAGTTTTTGCAATAATAATGTGTGCACAATTAGTGCAGGTTAAGGAAAGTAATTAAAAATAAATTCATTTAGTTCTGATTTACATAATATATAATGTGTCTGGGATTTTAAGGTTTTTTTTTTTTTTTTTTTTGGTAGTTACAGGTCACAAAGCACAAGGAGTAAAAAACGTTTAATGTGGAGCGATTTTAGAATTTGGTATGTTTGTCTTGTAAGCTTAATAGTATAAGCTAGCTTGTACCAAGTGTAGTGGTAATAAGTGTTTTTCTGCCTTTTTCACACAAAGTGAGTTTGCACAGTATATTTTGCAAACCTTATGTGTGCTACAACTGTATAATACTTCATATGTTGCTCAGCTATGTCGTCTGAGTACAGCAATACCACCGTATGTACCTTTGCCAGGTATATGTGAATGTTGAAGGGGCGCATTTGAGACGCAGCCATTCAGTTTTTTTTTATAACTTTGAAGTTTTACGCTGTGTCCATGTTCCAATTTGGAGTAGTTTAGACGGTTGGTTATTGAAACTTCCCCACAAACACATACTATTTACTAAATTACACACTGGGGTAATTGAAAAGGCATATTTTGAACCTTAGCTTGGGATCGTTCTTCTCTAGTTTGTTCCAGGTGTAGTGGTAATGAGCGGGTTTTTTTTTGAGAAGTGCAAAGAATAGGTACATGCAGTCCTCAAGTATTTCCCTCGCGTAACATGCGGGGCTTCAATTATCAGGCACAATTTTATAATATAAGCAGATTTAACATTGTAGCTTCAGCAGAAGAATATACGATTATGTTATAGTCAAGTTTAGTCAGAGCGTGGGTTAGGTTAGTGACAGCATGAGTAACCAAGCATAGAAGAACATTAAACTATGCATGCATGTAACCTCAGTGAAAACAGTCCACGTTGATATAATTTGACCAGCTGAATAAGCACCGAGTCACTTATGCTGGCATTACAGTAGTGAGCACCACTGGCTGTAACGTGTTGTCTGACGATCAAAGGAGCGCGTCAGAAGGCTTGTGAGTTTGTGGCGGCGGTTGGTGGTCATGACTGGCAGCGGTATATCAGTCCTGAACTATGGCTGGGGCATTCACCCCACCCCGGTCATCGTGAACAGGTAGGTGTAAACTGCAGGGGTTCCTGGGCTAGGTGTTGCTTGTTTCCACCTCCAGTCCTTGTCCGAGTCGGTGATAGCTGCAGTGTGCAGAGGTGGCGGCCCGTTGGGAGCGAGGTAACCGCAGCCTCCCGCTCCGGGCTGGTGAGGAGGTTGACATCTTTTTGCTACAGACCCGGTCTATCCCAGGTGGGGAGCGGCGGTGGGCTCGGATGGTTTGTCGACGCATATGGTGGTGGACCCTCTGTCGATGTGGGCGATGTCTTAGGGTCAAGCCCTTGGTGGCCCTCAGCCTAGGTTGGCCAGTGGCTGGAGCAACTAGGCCCGAGGTGGTCTCCTGCGCTCCCCGGTTCGCAGCTCTCCGCGTCTTCGTATGTGGTTGAGGCTGCAGCTGAGATACCCGGTGCCCCAGAGCTCTCCAGAAGTGCCGAAAGTGCTCATCAATTCGCTGTATGAGTCGCTCTATGGGGCAACAAGGGGACAGTCCTGATTGCTCACTTGTATCGTCTCGAGGATGAGACGCTGCTGCCATTTTGATGCAGGTTGCTGTGCTCTGAGTGAGTTGGAAGTTAGGCCTGTAGATTGCTTCTAGGCCCCGGTTTGGACTAAAAGATAAGTGGTGGCTTGTTGTGATGGTCCAATGGGGACCGGGATAACCCCTGCCGGTCCAAGGGGGGGGGGAGGGGGACTAGGAGTGTTTCCAGAGGCTTGTGTTGCTTGTGAGCCTCTCCTCCGCTCTGTCACAGCAGGCCGCAGTGTTGGATCACCGGTCCCCAGTGTGTATTAGGCTTCAGGTAGCTTTGCTGGACCCCCCTCAGTATTGTGGTTCTCGTTGGTGTGTTTAAATCGCTGGTTTACCGGGGTTAAAGTCCTAAATTCAGCCCAATTTGCAGGAGCTCAGGACACACACGTCTGCTCTGCTTGATAGCTAGGCTCTGCCGTAATGAGCGTTTTTAAACGTATTTTTTTTACTTTTTGAAACTTTTTTTTCTTTTAAAAACTAGTTTTAAAAAATTTTTTGTTTTGCTTATTTTTTTTAAACTTTCCTAAACATTCTTAAAACTTTTTATTTTTTTTTTATTTTTTTACAGATTGAACATTTTTCAAAACATTTTTTTTACCGTTAACCCCTAACTAGCAGTAAGCAGCACTAACAGTAAATTCCCAATTTTCCCATAACTCCCATCCACCCCAGCTAGCAAAATATATAATTATCAAAATTATTTTAATTAAATTAAAAAATAAAAGTTAATCCTCAGAGGTTAAAAAAAATTAGTTCACAGTATAACACTTTGATCTGTATTTTGATCACTGTAGGCAGTGATTGACTGGCAGGGAAGGGGTTAATTTTTATTTGGACTGGGTAAAGGGGGGTGTTTTTAAAAAAAAAAAAAAAAAAAAAAAGTATTTAAACTTTTTATTAGCTTAATTTTTAACTTTTTAAAGTTTATTTTAAAACTTTTTTTAATGTTAACCCCTAGTTAGCCTAACACCAAATCCCCCAATTCTCCACTAACTTCCACCCACCCCAGCTAGCTAAATATATAATTTTTAAAATATTTAAATGAATTAAATTTTAACCTCAGAGGGTTAAAAAAAAAAAAAAGAATTAACCCTCAGAGGTTAAATAAATCAGATGACAGTAAAATGTAATCCCTGCCAATTGATCACTGTAGTAAGTGATCAATTGTCAGGGAAGGGGTTAATTTTAATTAAAATGAGTAAAGGGGGGTGGGATTTTAAATAAACTTTATAATTTTTTTTAACAGGGGCAGGATCAGCACTGTTCTGGCTCCCTGCACTTCACACAGAACCAGGAAGTGCAGGTAGGCGGAAGGTAAGTATACTAAGCACATGTGCTGGGGCAGCACTATCGGGTGCTCCTGGTCTGCCTCTATTACAGAGGCAGACCGGAGCACCATTAACCCCGCGATCGCCGGCGATCCAGGGTTAATTTTAATGGGTGACGGACAAGGTCCGTCACTCATCGTTATGGCAATCCCTGAGGTCCGTCACTCATCGTTAAGGGGTTAAATATGGTAATCCACTTAATGGTATCAAATTAGGGAATTATCTACTAAACAGCTCAAAGGTCAACATTAAAGGGACACTATAGTCACCCAGACCACTTCAGCTCAATGAAGTGGTCTGGGTGCCAGGTCCCTCAGGTTTTAAACCTTCACATGTAGAAACTGCAATGTTTACATAGTAGAGTTAATCCAACCTCTAGTGGCTGTCTTCCGGACAGCCGCAAAAGTGCTTCTGCATTGCTGGAGGCGAAATCCGCATCCAGTGTGCAGAACGTCCATAGGAAAGCATTGAGAAAGCATAACCACTACAGTGTACTGTAGAGTGTCCCTTTAAACTTGTATTCATTTGGCACTTAAACGCATACAGGGCCAGATTTACATGGCAGGTATCTGAGGACACACAATTTCAATTCTCTTCCCCAACAACATAATAAGGCAGAAAAAGTATTATGAAGTTATTTAAGGGACAGTATAGGCATCCAGACATTTTGCCACACATACACACGAGCCTCCCAGGGCTTTCCATGCAAAGGGATGGGATTGGCTGAATGATGATCATGAACATTGATGATCTATGAGAAAGAAACCAAATCACAGAGGATAAAGTTGTTATGAGGGAGAATAGGTAGGTAATAAACCCCCTTTTTTTATTTTTATTTTTTTTTATTTTTTTTTATGCGCTGGCCTGGTCACCTAAATGATGACTAGGAAACTGTAGCATTAGGAATCCCTATTTGTATTTCCTTTAACTGGACATTGAAGGCATAAAAGCATCTGGAAAAAAACATTTTCATGTATATAAAAAGTATTCTCTGCTTATAATATATTGTTTATGTAGCTGCAATGCATTTAGAGTTAAAGATAATGTTCGAATTGGTTAAGGTAAATGTCAGATCTAAATAGGTTGTTTAGTGTTAAAAAATATTAACAGCTTGCGAGGGGTTAAGATTGTAGTATTAAGGATGTTTAGGGCTAGAGTTGTTTTTAAATTTTTAGTATTGGGGTACATTAAGTGTTTAGTTTGTAAGATGAGTTAAACCTAGAATTTAAGGTTAAGGGTTTATTTTCAGGTTTAGATTTTGAGTGCTGGAGGTTGAAGGGTTATTTGCAATGTACTCCCCCTCAAATGTCTTTTGTAGTCCAGCCTGATTGGTGATGATAGAGATGCAGATGTTCAATAGTGTGTAACTCTGTTTCCTAGTTGGCAGATGGGAAGTGATCCCTTCCTGTTCAACCCAACACACAGACACTGGAGCTGGGACAGCACTGAATTTAACACTTTCTAAAACTGTTCCAACACATCTGTTATTAAAGGAAAAAGTGCCAGGAAAACAAAGTTTATTGACTGTTGGATTACTCTTTACAGGAAGTTTTTAGGAAGGCTGTGCAAGTTACATGCAGAGAGGTGTAACTAGGGCTGTATAAAGAGTCATTTAACTCCTTAATGGCAGATAATTGAGCAGTGCGATTGCAGGGGTGTGATCTACACACCAAAACTGCTTTATAAAAAACAAAATTGTTTTGGTGTGTACTGTGGTCCTTTTAAACTCAAAAATGAACAGAAGTGCTGAAAACAGACACCCCTTAGTGGTCAGGTGGCTACTCTGCCTAATAGGAATTTCTGCACTGCTCCTATACTTCGCCTGTATTAAAGGACCACTCTAGGCACCCAGACCACTTCAGCTTAATGAAGTGGTCTAGGTGCCAGGTCCTTCTAGGGTTAACCCATTTTTTCATAATTATAGCAGTTTCAGAGAAACTGCTATAATTATGAATGGGTTAAGCCTTCCCCCTAATCCTCTAGTGGCTGTCTCATTGGCAGCCACTAGAGGCGCTTGCGTGCTTCTCACTGTGATTTTCACAGTGAGAGCACGCTAGCGTCCATAGGAAAGCATTATGAATGCTTTCCTATGTGACCGGCTGAATGCGCGCAGCTCTTGCCGCGCGTGCGCATTCAGCCGACGGGGAGGAGAGAAGGAGGATCGGAGGAGGAGAGCTCCCCGCCCAGCGCTGGAAAAAGGTAAGTTTTTACCCCTTTCCCCTTCCAGAGCCGGGCGGGAGGGGGTCCCTGAGGGTGGGGGCACCCTCAGGGCACTATAGTGCCAGGAAAACGCGTATGTTTTCCTGGCACTATAGTGGTCCTTTAATGCAGATCCTTTTTATTACACAATTACACTCCTCTCTGTCATAACTCCTCCATATAAGTAAAGCTTTTCTTGATTGCACCATTCCGTATCTACTTTTATTCCGCTTTCAACAATACTGTCTTTACTATTCCTTTTCCCCTCCCTTCAGGGAGTGAAGTTCTCTCGATCTGCCTGCAGCTTGTTGTTTTTCCACAAAAGTTCTTTCTGTGTGCTGTTTTCACAATACATTGTCTTGGGTATCTTAGTTCATTAGCATGTATCATTTACTAGGGCCACCTGGACTGGTGACTGTGTGTCTTGTGGGCAGAAGATGAGTGTCATCTTAAAGACCCTATGTTAGAAAATGGACATTGAGCCCCAATATTTATGAAGCAGGAACTGACTTTCTAACTTAAACACCTACTAGGCGCCCTGTGTGAACATTTTCCACAGCGCCCCTCTTGTCACATTTGCTCACCCATGTATTGGACATGTATAAGGATGTAGTGTTTAGGGGTATTTAATTTAGATTTTTTTTAAAAATGCATGTAGGCCTGTGTGTATTTTTGCAGTGTCACATGCACACAGTACCACAGTTAGATGCACACAGTTATACACACATACTGTGAAATATAGCCACATGCGCATAGCCACTCTCAAGCATACAGTCACAGGCAGTCTCATTCACACAGACCGTTACAGGCAATAATACACACAGTCAAAGGCAGACCGTGTCTCACACAGACACACACACACACACAAAGGTACAGGCAGCCATAGATAGACAGTGACACACACATGGTCACAGACAGACTGTCATATACACACAATTACAGGCTGACAGACCGTTACATACACAGTCACACACACACACTGCCACAGACAGACTGCTATATGGACACAGTTACAGGCAGACAGTCATAGACAGTCACACACACACAGTTACAGGTTGACAGATAGTCACACACACACACACACACACCACACACCACACACACACCCTCCTCCTCCTCTCCATTGTGCTCTGGAAGGGGGAGGAGTGGAGGCTACAGTACCTTTCTAGCAGTTGGGGAAGCAAGAACTCTTTTTTCCTACTTCCCCCTCAGTGTGCACCACTCCCAGGCAGCGGGTAGAGGTCACACTTGGCTCCACCCGCACCCATTGGCATAGGAACCCCCAAAAATCATGGGGGGGGGGATAGCATTTTTACTCGCCGGGGATATTCTTATTCCGTAAACTAGGAGTTGTTTATCCCACTGTACAGCGTTATGGAATTTGCTGGTGCTATTTAAATGATAAAATAATAACATTAAAGGGTCACTACAGGGAAGGAGTTTTACTTACCCGGATACAGCGCCGGGATCCTCCTAATGCCGCACCCCCTATTTCATCAAAATGACTTAATAGGAGGGTGCAAGCAGGGAGCAATAAAACGCTTCTAGAAGCGTCATTACTTCCTGGTGCGCATGAGCAGCTTGGGTGGCAATCATGTCTCGACCAGGAAGCACCACTAGAGGCCATCTGAGTGTCCACTAGAGGTATTCCTCAGCAGTAATGTAAAGACTACCTTTTTACGAAATGGCAGTGCTTACATTAAAAAGCCTGCAAAGACATGCTATAGACACCAGAACTACTACGTTTAGCTGTTGTGGTTCTGGTGACTATAGTGTCCCTTGAGTATAGGGGGGAAAAGAATCATCACAAATGTAAAAAATAAAATGTTTGTATCATTATTCTAAAAAAATAAAAAAATGCACATTCCTAGCTTAATTTTTAGCTCGACATATGACACAAACATTTTGTACTTTGCAGATTACTTTTTTTATATATTTTTATACATATACAGATTGTGTAATACTGCCCCTGACTTAGGGTGACCACATTTCCTAACTGCCATTCAGTGACACTTTCAGAAGTGCATTCCATACATTTTACTACCCGTCTCTACCCCTTCCATTTATATTGGAACCCCCCTACCCGTTCCATGTGCATATTAACCCCCCCTACCCCTTCCATGCATATTAGTACCCTCCTAACCTTTTCCTTACCTTCCCCCTCCTCCCATCCATATTAGTAGCCCCCCCTAAACCCTTCCAATTATTTTTCTAACTACCCCTTCCTCCCATCCATATTACAAACTCACCTAACCACTTACATTAATTTTTCTACCTCCCCCCTTCTTTAACCCTTTCATTAATTAACACTAAAAATGCTCAGGCAGCTGTTTTTTTTGTTTTTGTTTTTTTTTCAGAGGTGACCGGCTCTGCTCTCCCCCCTACAAACAGTTGTCCCCTTTTACCTGACATAGCAGGGGGACCTCTGGACGTCCGGCGGGCGCAGTGTCAGGCTGAGCGCCGGGTAGTCATGTGACACCCGACGCTCCTGCGCGGAGGGGGAGGCAGGGCCGGTGCAAGGATTTTTGCCGACCTAGGCAAAAGTAAAGTTTGCCGCCCCACCCATATGATCTGCCATGTTAACTAACGCCAGTGCTGCAGTGCCACCGTGTTTACATTAAAAGGCCTGCAGGGACAGGCTATAGACACCAGAACCACTACATTAAGCTGCAGTGGTTCTGGGGACTATAGTGTTTCTTTAATGTGAGGTAAATTAGAGATTAGTGCCACAAATAATATACTAGATTGCCTACTTACAGCCAGATGAGGATGATGATGGGCTCTAGCTGCAGTCTGGCTCCACTGGTCTGGTGTAGAACAGGCTCTCTGGAGGCTGTTTGTAACTGTGGTCACAAAAATCAATGTTCTGGGAGAGCGGGAAGCAGCTCCATTTTTTGGGGGGCCCTTTACACAGCTCAAGGTCTGGATCCCAGGGTCCACCTTCATGTTCCACCAATGAGTTTGTTCACAGGGGGTGGAGTGTGTAGGGGATGTCCTGATATGTGTGTAAGGAATGCATTGTGTGAATCTGTGTTTGTATGTGTAAGGGCTGCAAGGTGTGTTTCTGTGTATGTACGGGATGCAGTGTGTGTCAATTTCTTTCTCTCCCACGTCAATTCCCCTCCCTGTCAATTTCTTTCTCCCCCCCTCCTTGTCAATTTCTTAATCCCCCCTGTAAATTTCTTTCTCCCACCTTCCTTGTCAATTTATTTCTCCCACCTTCCTTGTCAATTTATTTCTCCCACCTTCCTTGTCAATTTCTTTCTCCCACCCTCCTTGTCAATTTCTTTCTCCTCCCCTGTCAATTTCTTTCTCTTCCCCTGTCAGTTTTCTTTCTCTTCCCTGTCAATTTCTTTCTCTTCCTGTCAATTTCTTTCTCTTCCCCCCTGTCAATTTCTTTCTCTCCCCTGTCAATTTCTTTCTCTTCCCCTGTCAATTTCTTTCTCTTCCCCCCTCCCTGTCAATTTCTTTCTCCCCCCTGTCAATTTCTTTCTCTCCCCTGTCAATTTCTTTCTCTCCTGTCAATTTTCTTTTCCCCCCTCCCATACCTCTGTTGTAACGAGACTGAGTGCTGTATGGTCCGCGGGTACAGGGAGCATCTATCTCCTGTACCCGGCCGGACTAAAAGGAAGTGCACACTTAGTGTTAGTCCAGCCGGGTACAGATGCTCCCTGTACCCGCGGACCATACAGGGCTTGGCCACACTACAGTGAGGGAGTGACAGGAGGGAGCGCTGAGCGCTTCCCTCCTGTCAGCCCCTCTCCTCACGCTGTGCCCTCATGGACGCACCAGCCCGGGTAAAGCTGCAGCCGCCTGAGGCTCTCTACAGAGCGCTCGGGCGGCTGCAGCATGAGGGGGGCTGGCGCTCCTGGTGGCGCCCCTTCCCAAGGGGCGCCCTAGACTGCTGCCTAGTCCGCCTAACAGGTAGCGCCGGCCCTGGGGGGAGGTGCTCCCCTTTCCAATCTGCAGTGCGTGCGGTTCCCTGATGGAGCCGCACGCAGCCCGAGGGCACCCACGATCGGGGGAGCTGGGGGGATTTCTCTATAACCTGTCCCTCCTCCCCGCATGATTTGCTGGAGGGGATGCGTTCCCCCTGATTCCTACGCCCATGCCCACACCGGCAATTTAGCTCGGCCTCCCCGTGTCGATTTAGCTCTGCCTCCGCTCCTGATTTAGCTCCACCTCCATATTTCTGGCTGTGCCTCATCACCACCAGACCCCAAGTGTGTGAGCTGTGCGGCCGCACCGCTAGCACACCCCTAATGCCGGCCCTGATGGTACATGTACTTGGTCATTTATTGCTTTCTATAAGCATGCATAGCAGCACATTCTATGATCTTACCGTGCAGTTTTGTTCTTGCCTTTCTAGGAATGTATCTACTGTTAAGTAGATTTGTGCAACAATTTGTTTAGGACGGTTGATCTGATTCAAGTTCCTTTTCTTCTACGCCCAAACGAATAGGTTGTTTGGGATTCACATGCGGAGTCTTTTCAATAAATAAGAATCCACAGGTAAACCCTGGATGATCAATTTTGTCCATGGGTGGATTAAAAGAAATTTGAATCGGACGAACCGCCTCAAACAAAGTCTACTATCAAGAGCCACAGTGCTTATCCATTAAAGGGACACTCCAGGCACCCAGACCACTTCTGCCCATTGGAGTGGTCTGGGTGCCAACTCCCACTACCCTTAATTCTGCAAGTGTAATTATTGCAGTTTTCATAAACTGCAATAATTACATTGCAAGGTTAACTCCTCCTCTAGTGGTTTTCTACTAGACAGCCACTAGAGGGCACTTCCATGTTTTATAGCACACATTTCATGTGCTAAAGCGTTGCTAGACGTCCTCACGCTATGTGAGGACCTCCAGCATCACTGAAATCTCCATTGGAAAGCATTGAAAGCATTTTTCAATGCTTTCCTATGGGGAGGTGTAATGCGCGTTCGCGGCATTGACGCGCATTAGATCTCCCCTGCCAGCGGCCACACATGCGCAATAGGTTCCCCCGCCGGATGACGTCGGCAGGGGAGGAGCGCAGGCGGACCCTGACCCAGCGCCAAGGGACCTCGGCTCTGGATACAACTTGGGATGGGAGCGAGAGGGGACCTGCAGTGCTAGGAAAACAGTTTGTTTTCCTGGCACTGGAGAGTCCCTTTAAACCCTTGTTTAGCTCGTGTTTTAAAGCGGCACTGTCATATCGAACTTATCTTTCCCCAATCACTTCCTCTTGTCTCCCACTCTCGGGACTTGTTCTTCTTTTCTTCCTGTCTGATCTAGTTTTCATTAAAACATAAGACAAAGTAGAGACTATTTTGTCTTATTTATTTTTCCTACGCTTGACCAGCTTTGACCCAGAGGAGGAGCGAAGTCCGTTCCATTTTCTGTGGTCAAAGCAATTTTCCCACAATACTCACTTCTTCTCCTGTGTTCTCATGTTGCTTCATTCAACGCCGGCGAAACAACCGAATTTCATCCTAACAGAGTGAGAAAAGTTTGTCCATTTGTGTAAGGACCCAATTCAATACTTTTTGTTCGGTTCGACATTTCAGTTGAATGAATGAAATTCCGATCCTATTCGTGCCAAGGCTGCAAGCTCTGACAGGAAGATCTTGAGCCTTGCCTGATTTGCTACTTGCAAAGTTTAAGGAGGACAGGTGAGTATTGTGGGAAAATTTCTTAGACTGCAGGAAATGGAGCAGACTTGACTCCTCCTTGGGTCAAAGCTTGTAAAGCATAGATAACATAATCCCTACTTTGTCTTATGTTTTAAAGAAAATTAGATCAGAAAACCACAGATCCTGAGAGAGGAAGACCAGAGGAAGGGATTGGGGAAAGGTTCAGCATGAGTGCCGCTTACTCCCCTTTAAAACAGTGAGAGGATACTTTTTGCTGAAACTTCATAGTCTTGCAGAAGCTGTAAACTTTTTTTTTTTTTTATTCTTTCCATAATTAATTGAAAAAGAAGGTTCCACTCCAAACTAGAGTTTTCCTAGAAAGCAGATAAAACAAGCATCCTGGAAACCAATCCATGAGCCAGTCTTTCACTGGACACTTCCACCTGTGGCAACATGGAATGCTATGACATTTCTTGTTATGAAGGTTATCTTGTCCATTAGCAGTAGCATTGAGCCAATATTGTTTTTGTAACATCACGAAGACTTTAAAGTGAACTTAAAATCAACTAAACCTGAAGATAACAAGGTCAGCTTTTGGGGCAGCTAAAACTCACCAGCAGAAGGTAGGAATATATTCTTACCTGAGGCTATTGTGCTTCTTGTAAAACTTCCACTGCAATGACATCTGTCAAATCGATCTATTTGCTGTAAGTGTGGATTGTGAAATGTATATAAAAGTTTTCTCTGCCAAATGGTAATTTATGTATAGGTATATTTGAAAAACAATGTCTACAGTTAGGCTCCTAAATTTTTTTATTTTTTTTATTTTTTAAAATTATATATTTATTGTATTTTATTTCCCATTTAGTGGACCATGGCCTGGCACGTCTTGTTATAGCTTACCGTGAGCATGGCCACAAAGCAGCAAAAATTAACCCATTATTCACTGGTCAATCAGTGATGGACATGGTACCAGAAATACAAGTACTTGCTGAACTACTAAATGGGCCGTTTAACACTGCAGGTAAGAAATGTAATAGAATGTCATATAACTCAATTGTGTTTTTTTTTTTTTTTTAATTATTATTATTATTATTATTTATTATTTAATATATGTTTACTACATTAGATCTAAGGTAGGGTGTATAATTGGTGTAATAAGGTGAAGGTGGACTCAATGTATGCAGGTCTTTTGTTGTGGATAGCCTCTCACGTTGTGTTTATTTTGGTTATGAGGAGATTTAGAGGAGGAGGATCACATCTGGTCTGTTATGGGTTTCATGGGCTTCACTCAGTGAAGAGTACACTAAAGTTAAACCCCCTTCACTAAACACTTATCTGATCCCTCAGTTCTGGTACCACCTCCTCCGATGTCAGTGCCTAGGTGGAACCTAATGCACATGTGTATTAGGCCTTCCATAAAGGAGGGCACTGAATCACTGCTTTACTATGGGGGATTTGAAGACACTTGGACATCCTCTTGCACAGCGTTTGTTTTATGGAGTCAAACTCAGTGTAAATGCAGGAAGCGCCTCTAATGGCTCTCTAGTAGACAGACACTAGAGGCAGTATTAACCCAGGAATATAAACAATGCAATTTCTCTGATTCTCTGAAACTGCATTGTTTTAGGTTGCAGGCTTAAGACAACAGTGCACCTAGACCACTTCAATAAGATGAAGAGGTCTGGGTGGCTATTGGGGTTTGAGTCAAATCGAAGTATAAAACAAAACGTTCTAACTATAATATTTTTTATTTTATTTTTTTCCCCTCAAGATTAGAGGCAGTACACAACAACAGGAATATCCACTCTGTCTAGACAGGAAAAGGCAGGCAGTCACTAGAAATTTAAAGGAACACTATAGGGTCAGGAACACAAACATGTCTTCCTGACCCTATAGTGTTAAAAACCCCATCTAGCCCCCCCTAAATATAGTAAAATCTTAGTTGTGTTCAAGTCTGCAGATGCTGCCTCTGCCCATGATATTCCTGCTTCTGCTGACCTCATCAGACGTGTTGTTCTGAGCCAATCGCAGTGCTTTCCCATAGGATTGGCTGAGCTTGTCAAGGAGTCAGATCAGGGGCCAAGCCAAACACAGCCCTGGCCAATCAATATATCCTCTTAGAGATACATTGAATCAATGCATATTCTATAGTTCTTCTGGTGACTGTAGTGTCCCTTTAAAAGTTCAGCCCCTCCTACCTTAAAAAAAAGTGTCTTTGTTTCTGCTACCATGCCAATGTTTTATCTCTGTTTTTGAAGTGCTTGCTATTACTGTCGTGGGATCGCAAGCTTGCCTGTTATCATGTGCACTACAAAAATAAAGAATTAAAAAAAAATTTTTTAAAAAAAGTTCAGCCCCTAGTAATACTCCACCTCTTTTAAGGTATAAAACTCAAATACGTCCTAATAACCCCAGATCTCTGCCTATCAGCAGGATAAGAAAGCACTCATGGTTTTTGGTTTCAAGAGCAAGGTGAGACTGCCTAGCAGGGCTCTGCATCAGTGAGGTCTCATGGCGTGCCTGTCATATCCCTCTTTTGCAGAGTATTGGTTCCTGCATACTACATTTTATAAATTCTGCTTCCCTGTCTGTCAGATGGTTATAAGAATATTTGTAGTATTTGTGCTAAAGAGGCTTCTAAGGGAAACCAAAAAGACTGAAGTATCCTCCTTTTTATCATGTTTCCAAAATAGTTTACAAACAATTTTTTTTTATATCAGAGAGTTCAATCAGCCCAGCCATCTCTTCCTCATCAGTAATAGTCTTCTCCTAAAAGCAGGGAGAGAAAAGTGTTCACGTTCTGAATCCTCAAACTCTGGTTCTTCTGAAGATAATTATTTTTCAGAAGACCGTCTGCGCAAACTGACGAAAGAAATACAACCTTAAGGAGTGTGTCTTGGCCACCATCTTAGATGGCCACGTTTTAGAGAGGCTCCTGGACAAGGGGGTCAATTTTGTTCCAAAAGTGCCAATTTTAATTTTAATGGACCAACTCTAACTGATGCTACAAAAAGCCAATCCAATATCTAACATGAACCAAAAAAATCCTGAAGAAAATGTACCTGGGATGAAGAAAATGGAAGCAGGAGCTGCTGGGGTGAGTAAAGGTTCCCAGGCTTCTAAATCTGGCTCGTGGCTGGTTTCGCTGCTAAAAATCTCATTGGTGGCGCTGGGGAAATCTCTCCCTACCTCCCACCCGGTTCCCAAGCTAAAACTTATGCCTGTGCGGCTGCGACCCGTTCGCAGCAGTCTGAGAGCGGCGGGACTGCGGGCGCACTAGCCGGCACTTCAGTGTGTGGCTTAGAGCGCTCCGAGCACTCATCATGCTCAGAGCGAAGTGCCCCGAGCGGCAAGGACCACCCAGCAAGCCGCTCACGGTCTCACACTAGAGCAGCCCGGCCGCTCACAAAAGCGACCGGGTTGCAAGTAAAGGGGAGGGCAGTGCGAGGTCACGCTCCCCATCGGGATCCTCTGCCTCCAGGTTGTCAGTCTCGGCAGGGGGGGCCTCTGCTGTCCGACCCAAAACTCTCAAACAGGGCCGTCTTTAATTCTGATTGGACCCTGGACAAGCATTAACTTGGTCCCCCTGACTACATATAGATACACACAAATACAAAACCTGACACACATGCAGATACACACTGACCGCATATAGATACACACAAGAACATACAGATACACACAGACTACATATAGAACACTGACACACAGACACAAACTCAGATACACAACCTGACAAACATGCAGATACACAGATACAAACACTGATACATGCAGATACAAAGGCACACACACTGACTACATATAGATACACCGACACACACAATGACACACATACAGACACACAGATACACAGATACACAACCTGACACACTTGCAGATATACATATACAAACACGGACACATACAGATACACACTGGCTATATATAGATACACACAGATACAAAGGCACATTCTGACAGACGTACTGACACAGAGACACACACAGACAGCCATACTGAAACACACATACACACAGACATACAGAACTACATGGACACTGACAGACTCACACATAGACATACTGACACACTGACAGACATACAGACATTCTGGCACACATACAGACATACTGAAACACACATACACACAGACACTGACAGACGTACACACATACAGACATTTTGACACTCAGACAGCCATACTGAAACACACATACGCACAGACACTGACAGACGTACACACATACAGACATTTTGACACTCAGACAGCCATACTGAAACACACATACACACATACATACTGAACCACATGGACACTGACAGACTCACACATAGACATACTGACACACTGACAGACATACAGACATTCTGGCACACATACAGACATACTGAAACACACATACACACAGACACTGACAGACGTACACACATACAGACATACTGACACATGGACAGACCTACTGGCACATATACACACAGACGGACATACTGAAACACACATACACACAGACACTGACAGACATATTGACAAACACAGACATACAGAACCACACATACACTGACAGACATACTGGCACACTGACAGACATACTGGCACACTGACAGACAGACATACATACATACTCACACACACACACACACTCAGACACTCATGCAAAATTTGGTAACCACCCTCCAGTTTCTTACCTTTTCCTGGAGGGTGGCTTCCCTGGGGTCCAGTGGGCTGGCTGGGGTGGCTGGGAGCTAAGCTCTCCCGGCCTGGCCCCCTCCGGAACAGCTCCTTCCTCCCGCGTGGCTCTTGTTTCTGTGGGATGAAGTGACGCATGGCTGTCACTTCCTCCCAGTGCTGCCGAAAAGCAAGGGCCCGGTCGCGCTGTTAAAGCGCCACAGCGCCCGACCGGGCCCCTGCTGACACAGGCCCACCGGGTGGCCCTAAGTGCATGGGTCACCCGATGGGCCCCCATAGTTTGCGGGCAGAGGGCAAAAGGAGCAGCTGTCTTGGGCCCCCCAGCTGGGACAGGGCCCGGGGCAGCTGCCCCGTTTGCCCTGCGTTAAAGACGGCCCTGCTCTCAAAGGTGCAGTAAGGGCTATAGTAAGCCCAGAGGATAATGTTATGGAAATAGGAGCTGAAATGCTCCAAACAAGTTCTTTATCTGCACTACCACAGAGAATGTCATGATGCCACAACAAAGATGGCTGCCAGTCCAGATATTATGTATTCCACTCCCAAGATGGCCACTGCCACCTCCAATATGGCTACTACCACATTTAAAGCAGTGACTTACAATCCCAATATGCCACCTGAATTGGCAGAAGATCTGCCACCGTCAGCTGGCATGATAATTCAACTCATCAAAGATTTGAGAGTTGATTTGAAAAACGACTTTAAAAAATACTTTGACGTGTTATATGGAGCCATGGAGGACATTAATCAGTGAACGGAAATAATAGAGAATAAATTGCAATCTCACCTTGATCTGGTTGACTCTGTAAAAGAGCTCCAAAAGCAAGTGCACCAACAAACGGAAAAGTTAGCGGACGCTGAGGATTGAAGTAGGCGCAATAACCTAATGATCGGGGGATCCCTGATAGTATCGATTCTCTGGAATTACAAAGCTATTTCCAGTCAATGGTGAAGTCAACTCTACCAACTACTAAAAATATGGATTTACTACTGGACCGCATCCATAGATTGCTCAAACCCGGCAATGCACCTGCGGCTGCACCCAAAGATGTGATAGTGAGATTTCACTACTACCACATTAAAGAGGAATTTCTTGGTGCAGTAGACACGTCAGGCCTCACGGGAGATTACAGCGGCATGAAGGTCTTCCAAGACTTCTCTGCTCAAACAATGAGGCGACGCAGGGAATTTCAACTTTTCACTGTGGAGCTAAGACGAAGAGGGATAAGATATAGATGGGGATTCCTGGTTAAAGTCCTTTTCTGCATAGATGGTCGGAATTGCATAATCACGTTGCCTGAGGAAGGATGAAACTTATCAATTCCATGAATAGACGTCAGCTTTCGCCTCATAGACTCTTGCCATCTACTGCTATGCAGGCCAGCAAGAGAAGCAAATCAGACACTTCCTGAGATCCCAGCTCATAGAGCTACAGTCTTCGTTTTCCAAGGTCGTAAGTTGCGCAACGCTTCAAGTTGAGATGTTCTCCCTATCTTCACAAAGTAATTTTATTTATTTATTTTTAGACTTTTTTTATTGTAATAATTTTTTTTTTTTTCTCTTTATTGATTTTTATGGTATGGTTCTGAGCACTTTATCTCTGAAACAAACTATTGAGTCCTGCTCCAGTCCAGAGATTTATCAGGATTACTTTGAATTTTGACTTGTTTCTCCTTTTTATGACAGCCTTTTGAGTTTGCACACCAACGGTTATTTGAAATGTGCCTCTACGGTTTATTTCAGAAATCGATTCGATTACTTAAAACTTTCTAAATTTATACAATCAAAATAGTTTTTTATATAATTTCATATTTATTTAATTGTATTTTTTTTATTGTTTTGTGCTTTTTGTCCTTTCAAATGTCATACTTAAAAAGTTGCTATTTGTTTTGTTTTTTACTATTTATATTGGCTCCCCTCGAACCCAGTAATTTCTCTCCCCTCAATCTGGGCCTAACACCCTGAGATGGAGAAACTTTTTTTTGTTCTTTCTCATGGCCCTCTTTCACTATTTTTTTTTATTTTTTTTATTTTTTTAATTTTTTTACCCTTGATAGGGTTATATACCCAAGTTTTTTGTAACCCTTTATTTTTATTTTTCTATATTTTTTTTGTCCATCCATTCTTTAAAGTTCAGTAGAAACGTTTCCAGACCATGAACCACTGAAATGCTTCATACAAAAATGCATACTATGTGGCATCAGCAACTTGCAAAAATCTGTTTATTCACTATTCCTGTACACAGTTTGAGTTGACAGTATTGTTGGACCTGCATGTTTCTCTCTTGGAAGGCGGTTGCTTGGACTCTCACAAAGTTGAATGTTCTTTTACCCTTTACAAGGTATTACTGTTTCATAAACCATGGTTTTAAAATGTCATTTAAATGTGAGCAGCCTGAACACCACCCACAAGAGACGATTATTATTCAAAGAAGCAAAATCCAACAAATCAGATGTAATCTGTGTACAGGAAACGCATTTTAAAGATGATAAAGACCATAAGATTGTCAAAGCTTTTCCCAGTCCAATTAAATACCTCCCGTCATCATCCGTTATTACTTTGTTTGTCAAACATGCTACATTCCTGTGAAAGAAAATCGATGTACCTCTAGACTTGGCTTTATAAATGCAATGGTATGCTGCTCACATTGCATTTATAAAGCCAAGTCTAGAGGTACATCGATTTTCTTTCACAGGAATGTAGCATGTTTGACAAACAAAGTAATAACGGATGATGACGGGAGGTATTTAATATGGATAGGATCACTCAATACTATTGAATATACTATTGTGAAGATGTATTTTCCAAACACCGGTCAGTTGCAGTTTTTTTTAGGAAATTGATGGACTTAGTGAATGAGAATGTGAGAGGCAGCTTGGTAATGTGTGGCGGCACAAATTTTGTCATGGATGGAGAATTGGATAACGCTAGGGAAGAACGTGATCGACAGCATAGAGGGGACAGTGACAGATTAGCGTATAAATGCTCTAGATACATGATTGAATGTGGCTTATACGACTCCTGGAGACTGATGCGTGAGAATGAAAGTGATTTTACGTATTCTTCTGTCTCTAAAAAAATATGTATTCCAGTCTGGACCGGTTTATGGTCCAGGGTTCTTTAATCCCTCACATCTTGAAATCCGATATCTTAAACATCAACTGGTCTGACCATGCTCCAATCATAATGCATATTGACGAAATTGTTTCATCAGAACCTGGAAATTAGGCGATTTGTTAAATGATGTTGTGAACAGGTCATTGACAGATAAAGCTTTAAGTGATTTATTTATTTATTTTTTTAAGAAAATGCCTCACCTGAGGTTCCTGGCGAGGTGACTTGGAATGCGCATAAGGCTGTGTTAAGAGGTCATTTTATTTCTAGAGCGTCTCACCTGAAGAGAATTAATAGCAATAATTTAAGAACATTGGAAAAAGAATTGTACAATTTGAACCAGGCTAATAAATTTGGTCTATCGTCCTCCCTATCAGCAATGACAGGAGAAATTAAGGCTAAAATTAACAAAATTAATTTAGATCGTACATCTCTCATGGTGAGACGTCTCAGGAAAACATTTTACTTAAAAGGCAACAGGGCCTCAACTCTTTTGGCATCCAAACTCCGGCATGTGAATGCCCAATCAAAAATAGCATATTTACTTGATGATCAGGGGCGAAAAGTGTTTCATCCAACTAAAATTAGTGATATGTTTGCAGAGTATTAAAGTAAACTTTATAATTTAGAATGTAATTCGGACCTTCCCCAGCCTTCTGCAACAATAATTGATAAATCCTTAGACAGAGTGTCATTGCCTCGGCTGTCTCCAGGACATTTAGAAAGCTTAGAATGTGAAATATCAGCAGAAGAGATAGCTGAGGCGATCAAACTTATGCCATCTGGAAAAGCCCCTTGTCCCAATGGATTCACTATTTTATATTATAAAACATTTCCAGAAATTTTAATTCCCCATATTACTAAAATGTTCAATTCCTATAAGTCCGGGGGAAAGATGCCGGAGGAGTCCTTGTGCGCACGAATAGTCACCTTGCCAAAGCCAAAAAACTCCTGATAGATGCCCTAACTTTAGGCCCATTTCTCTGATTAATAATGATTCAAAGATTTATTCTAAAGTTCTCGCAAATAGATTAACCAAATTAATCCCATTGCTAATTAATAAGGATCAAGTGGGTTTTGTACAGGATAGACAGGCGCCAGACGGAACTAGAAGATTCATAAACTTGATTCAGCATATCAATATGCCCAAAACGCCTTCTTTGCTTCTATCTCTAGACGCAGAGAAGGCGTTTGACAGGATACATTGGGGATATTTATGGAGAAAGTTAGACAGGTTCAACATACCATCATCCTTTATCATAGCAATTAAGGTGCTATATTGCACACCCTCCGCCCATGTCTCAGCTTCTGGCTTCACATCCAAAACTTTCTCTCTAACCAATGGGACGAGACAGGGGTGCCCTTTATCTCCAATTTTATTTGTATTAGCAACAGAACCCCTGGCCGAACTAATTAGAACGACCTCACAAATTGTAGGAATTGCTATTAAAGAATCCGTTCACAAAATTGGCCTGTTTGCAGACGATATAATCCTAGCTGTCAAATACCCAAAAGAATCTTTGAGACACCTCAAGGACATTTTAACTCAATTTGTACTACTACAAATTAAACGAGTCCAACACTCAGGCCCTCCCGTTTCATTTAAATGATTTGGAAACCATTGCCCTTAAGAAATCCTATTTATTTGATTGGAGAACTGACTATATGGAATATCTTGGCATTAATTTATGCAAATATTTGGTCAATATGCACAATCACAACTTGAGGAAAGCATGGTCGGACTTACAAAAAGAGATGGAGAGATGGGGCAGGATGGAGCTCTCATGGCTGGGGAGGGTCACATCTATTAAAATGACGATACTCCCAAAACGTTTATATCTTTTTTAGGACCATTCCTCTGACCATCCCATTATAATTTTTTAATAAAGTTCACTCGACAATGCTGAAGTTTATCTGGGGGGACAAGCCTGCCCGAGTGAGGCTCACTTCCCTGCAGCACCATAAATTGAATGGCGGTATCTGTGTCCCTGATATCCGCAAATATTATTTTGCCACTAACGCTGCAGTGGTTGTGAGCTTTAACAACCAGGTTGATAAACCCAGATGGCTGTAAATAGAAGAACTGAAAATTTTACCGGTTAGATTATCAGAATTACCTTGGTTAAATCCTAAGAAAAGACCTGGAATTACAAAATTATTTTTATCTACCAAGACTACGCTTAAGGCCTGGAACATTGTTTTTAAAAATGATCATTCTCCCAGTTTATATAGAGCAATGCCTATTGAGTTATTGAAAGATTATATACCATTCTTAAAAATAAAACTGTTGAAGGATTGCTCTATAACTAATCTGGATAATTTTTTTTTTATTTTTTTTTTATTTATTTTTTTATGGCAATGCTATTCTTTCTTTGGAAAAATTTAAGCTTAAAGGACCACTCTAGGCACCCAGACCACTTCAGCTTAATGAAGTGGTCTGGGTGCCAGGTCCCTCTAGGATTAACCTTTTTTTTTTTTTTTATTTTTTTTTTTATATAAACATAGTAGTTTCAGAGAAACTGCTATGTTTATAAATGGGTTAATCCAGCCTCTAAAGCCTCTAGTGGCTGTCTCATTGACAGCCGCTAGAGGCGTTTGCGTGCTTCTCACTGTGAAAATCAGTGAGAAGACTCCAGCGTCCATAGGAAATCATTGTAAATGATTTCCTATGAGACTGGCTGAATGCACGCGCAGCTCCTGCCGCGCATGCGCATTCAGTCGAAGAGGAGGAGAGGAGGAGGAGAGCTCCCCGCCCGGTGCTGGAGAAAAGTAAGAGTTTAACCCTTTCCTCTCCATCCAGCCCGGCGGGAGGGGGACCCTGAGAGTGGAGGCACCCTCAGGGCACTATAGTACTAGGAAAACGAGTGTGTTTTCCTGGCACTATAGTGGTCCTTTAAGCATGGATTAACAAATGTATGTGAACTGGAATGTATGCTAATCATTGACAAATTGAACGAACTATACCAGGTACCTGAAACAGATAAAAACTATAAATCACTTGAGATATCTCCTTTAGAGAGAGCTTTTTTTTTTTTTTTTTTTTTTTTATACAGCCCCGCTAGTAAAGGTATGATATCCTTATGTTATTAGTTTTATAATGCCAAGCCCTTAGTTAAATTAAAACATATGTTGTCATGGGAGACGGAGTTGGGTGCCCAGTACGATTTAGAAGAATGGATCGTTTTGTTTTTTTTGGGGGTTTTTTTTTTTAAGTTTTAAAAGGTGTTTCGTATTGCACCGACCATTTTGAAAATCATTATAAAATTTTATATCACTGGTACCTGGCTCCGTCTAGATTGCACAACATGAACAATATGTATTCTGACTGGTGTTGGAGAGACTGTGGGGGTGTGGGCAATATGGCCCATATCTGGTGGTTCTGCCCCAAATTAACTAATTATTGGAAAATGATTCATGATCTAATTATTAAAGTGAACAGAATCATTAGCATTTTAACGTCGGCACTAGCCTTAATTAAAAAAACTCCCGGAGTCCGTTAATAGATCAGATAAAATAATCATAGGCCACATTCTGATCGCTGCTACATTCTGTTTACTTAGACATTGGAAGTCCCAAAATGTGCCATCTCTCAGTTTTTAATTTGATTCTAGAAACCAAGGCACACGAATTATCGCATAGAGCTAATATGCATGGTTTGCCAATATTAAAATATAATTGGGATAAATGGGAAGAAAAAATCAAAACCGTTTATGGTCTTTGATATATTTATTGGTAAAGTGCATTGATGTACAAAATTTTTGCCATATACATTGTTATGCCTATTTCAATGATGGATGGATACCACTTCCCATTTCCAAGTTCCCCTTCCTTTCCTACCCCTAATACAATGTTTGTATTATTATTACTTGTTATACAAAATTTTAAAACTTTAATAAAAATTATTTGAAAAGAAATACAACCATAGATAAGGAATCTTTCACACGCAAAAAGCTCAAGTCATTTGCATTCCATCCTAAATTAAGGGGTCTGATGCTGAGAGAATGGCAATATCTTTCTTTTATCTCAAAGCACTTTAAAACTATATTTGCAATCAAGAAGAGTCTGAAAGTAAATCAAAATGCAATGGCTAAAAATGTGGATTCATCTTTATTCAAATTGTGCTCTTCTAATGCAGCACAAAGCAAAGCCCTTTTTTCAGGGACACTGGTATCTAAGGCCCAACGGTTCTGGCTAGATTTCCTTGATAAACTTTACATGGTAGAATCCAAAGAAGACCCGGTACAAAATTCTACAGAACATTAGTGTCAGATTGTCTTTCCAATTCAACATTGGAAGCTTTTAAACCATCAGTCAAAGGTATGGGCCAGATGGGCAGTATGGCTCAGAAACTGATCAGCGGACTCCACTTCTAAGAATCCCTTCTTGATCTTCCATTTCAACAATGGAGACTCTTTTGGTGCTAGCTTGATAATCTAGGAATAAATGCCTCACCTGAAGAGTCTAAAAAGGAAAAGGAAATCTCTTCCAATAGAGATTACTTTCGTAGGCTCACTTGAGCATTTTTCACAATCTACCTTCTCAGAAATCTGGTTGCAGCCATTGAAAGCTCCCTTTTTCTGCCCCGTCGAGGTAGTGTAATCACTATTCCTTCAACTTTGAACTTGTAAAATATGCTTCCAACGGTGTCTCTAGGAACATTTAGTGCCTTTGCTATCGATAGCCAAATCCTGTCGCTTCCAACTCAAGAACATAGCGCGCATCCGCCCATATCTAACGCCGGACGCGGCTAAGGTACTGGTTCATGCTGTTGTTCTCTCTCGCCTTGACTATTGCAATCCCCTTCTCAACGGTCTTACATGTTCCCAGCTTGCAACGCTGCAATCTATAATGAATACGGCTGCGAGGCTTATTTTCCTGTCCGGTCGCACCTCCCACGCCTCCACGCTCTGTCAGTCCCTGCATTGTCTTCCAGTTAGATATAGGGCCCAATTAAAAATTCTGGCGCTTGCTTACAAATGCCTACATAATGCTGCTCCAACATACCTATCCTCCCTCATACACAAGTATGTCCCGACGAGACCCCTGCGCTCAGCCCAAGACCTACGCCTATCCTCTGCCCGGATCCCCACCTCTGATGCTCGCCTTCAAGACTTCTCCAGGGCTGCACCTATTTTGTGGAACTCCCTTCCCTCCTGAATCAGACTTTCACCCAGCCTCCATTCCTTCAAAAAATCTTTGAAAACTCACTTCTTTATCAAAGCGTATCAATTAAACTGTCAGCAGGTTTCTCATCCCCCACCCCATGACTCCGTTCCTTCACCTGTCAAAAATGACCTACCAAGCACTCAATAAACCCTTCTGTAACAAACTATTTAATTCCCCTACTTTAACCCTTTGTGTCACTATACCCCACTCCCTCTAGCATGTAAGCTCATCGAGCAGGGTCCTCAACCCCCTCTGTTCCTGTACGTCAGTGGTCTGATCTCAATTATGTGTCTGTTAGTCCACCCATTGTACAGCGCTATGGAATTTGTTGGCGCTATATAAATAATAAAATAATAATAATAATGGCCTCTTCTCTTCACTTTGTGGACCATTCTTTTGAGTTGGTAAGTATGGCTAACATGCAGTGAAATGTGACCCTCAACAAATCTCTAGCCAGTTCAGGTATTTCAAGTGTTCCACTTTGATTAGATGCATCAGGTGTGCTTAAGACAACACCTGCTTTGCATATTTGTGCTATTGTCAGGGATTCTGTTCAGGGAGTTGACTAATTTTGAGATTGGATAAGTCATTATAAGTTGCATTTTCAGTTGAATTTGGGGAAACCACTTGTAACATTCACTGTATTAAGCGATTTCAAATGCTTTTGTTTGATTTGTTCATTGCAAAGAGCTGAAAGTCTGTACATTTTGACAATAAACCTTATTTTCAATGAGGGTTTAATACTTTTTTATTGCAACTGTATGCGCTTACTTAAAAAAAATAAAAATAATAATAAATACCTGATTTTTGGATTGTTATATTCTTTTAAAGCCTTTGTCACTAGAATTCAGTGTTTTGTTTTGTTTTCTTTACATTTATTGTAAAAAAATAAATAAAAAAAAATTAACTTTTTCAGGGATATGTAATTAAATAAAATGTACCTTTTAACAGACTACTTTGATCACCTGCTTTTACTACACAAGTGGCAGGCTTTTATATTTTTAGCAGCACTGGGATGGAAAACAACAACTTATAGTTAAGAATAATTATTACATGAGTCCTTCCTTTTTTTATGAGCATGAACTGATGCTGACATTGGCATACTTATATATTTTTATTTACCTCTTGAAAGGGTTACTTAAAATGGAGAAACAAGAAGCAAGTCTTGAAGATGTCTTGGCTTACTTGGATCATACATACTGTGGCCAAGTGTCTATTGAAACAAGTCAGTTGCAGAATTTAGAAGAGTATAACTGGTTTTCTAGAAGATTTGAGGAACTCAAACAAGAGACCTTTTCCATAGAAGAGAAGAAACTGTTGGCCAAGATAATGTTAGAATGCCAGGTAAAGTGTTTTCACAAAATAGTGGATGAAAAATTATTGGTATGCATGAGTTTACGAAACAAAAGATGAATAAAAAATATATATTTCTGATCACACCAATACAAGTCAGTTATTGGAATGTTTTTACCCACTCTCCTAAGCCACTTTCTCCAACAACCTTTCAATTTTCTGTCTTCTTTGGACTTTCTCCCACCAGTGTTTCTATTCTTTGGAACCCTTACACATGTATCTATCTTTGTTTACTACCAATTGTGTTTGGGTATGACTCCTCATAATTGACCTTTATACCTGTCCCTGAAATTTAATCAAGAAAAAAATCTTGACCTGAAAGAAGGAAAAAGAGGGAGGGATTGGTGTTAATTTGCAGGCTTCAGTTTTGATGGATACAGGGACCATTTAAAATACAGTTTTGGGACTTTACATTTTCATGTATCCTTATGCATGCTTACTAGAATTTGATACATTGTTTTGCATTTTGCTTTACATTACCTGTGCATGGACTTGGCTATAACAATGTAACCTGAGAGCACAACTTCTATATTATAATTAATCTTTATTATTAATACACATATAAAAGTATTCAAAGTAAGACATTTTGTAACAAATATTTGGCTAATACAAGTCTTAAATTTCAGAAAATCTATATTATTATTATTATTATTATTATTATTATTATTATTATTATTAGCATTTATAAAATGCCAACAGATTCCGTAGCACTTTACAATATAAAAATAAATAAAAAAATAAACACTTACAGGAACAGTAAGTTGAAGAGGACCCAGCTCAAACAAGCTTACAGTTAGAGGTGTGTGTGTGTGTGTGTGTGTGTGTGTGTGTGTGTATGTATGTATGTATGTATGTGTGTGTGTGTGTATATGTATATGTATATGTGTATATATATATATATATATATATAATGTGTGTGTGTGTGTGTGTGTGTGTGTGTGTGTGTGTGTGCGCGTGTATCTATCTATATCTCTATCCAGACAAATACAAAAAGGCCAATGAAATAATCAGTTCTTAAAAACATGTTGAATGACACAACATTATCAAAAGATGGGCAAATAAATGGCAACAATCCAATGCTTTGTCTTCCATCCTGATTAATTTGATTAATAGAATGGTTATACTTTAATTTTATTTATTGTTAAACTTTTACTTTGTTTTTGTTACTCAGCAATTTTATTAGACTTCCAGACACCCACCATCTTAATTTCTTAAAAAAATAAAATATATACTCTCTCAAAAAGGTTATGGTGGGGAAGAAAATCTGCACACTAGTCAAGCCATAAGACTTGCTTTTCCCACAGAAATCACAAATCTGCAGTGATGTTACTACCGCAAAGGATTATGGGTGGGCATATGCAAATTGGTTTTACAAAGAATCACATTTTTTGCCTCATTCCATTTTAAACATGGATTCCTTTGAGTCTGTGTTTGCTGTATACAACAGCTTTGAAACACAACTTAGGAAAAAGATACAAAGCCGGTGAACCACTCGTGGACAGCTGTTTCATTGTTAATGCAAATCGTCAGCATGAGGTTGGTTACTGGTTTGCTTATTGAGGCTTGGTAGTGCTTGGGAAGCAAAAACCAAAAATATAAATAAATATATATATTTTGTCCTATGTAAAAGCCATTTACTGTAATGTATGTTTCATATGTCCTGATGAAAGCTCAGTTTAGGGGCTGAAATGTCGACCTTACTTGGATCTACTTGAAGAAACACTTACAAACCCCTAGAGTGCTGGTATTTATTTGTGAATTTTTTTTTTTTTAATATTTGTGACCTGAGCACTAGGTACCAAATTTTAAATTTGGAGTGCAAGTGCTTTGGACTAATATATATGTATGAAGGAGGAGCCTGAAGTTGTGGGAGGAGTTACCCAGCTATTTAAACTCAGGCCCCCTACACCACAGGGCTGATGCCGCCGGGTTCATTGAGAACCATTCTACTTCCGGTTCCCGTCAGGTCAACTGACTACTGCAGCTTACCACAACTACACCAGGGCCCCTCCTGCAACCAGCATCCACATCGGAAGTCGGTAACCCACTCCAGCCCGGGCATCATCTCACTGTTACTGCTCAGCCAGCTCTACTGCTCCCACAGGTTGCTCCGCCAACCTACTACATAACTTTCACTTCCAAGTCACTTCCCCTCCTCTTGTGTCCAGATCCACGAACAGGGAGTCTGCCCAAATGGGCAATACACACTATTAGCCTGACACCATTCGAATGGTACTGTTACACGAACAGTTGATTCGCATGCTATCTCCCCAGATAAAACCCCAGTCAGTAGGTTCACTTGTTCGGCGACCGACTGTTTACTCAAACACACAGGTCGAATCACTGACACACACTGCCCTCTAGCAACAAAAAAAGTATACTACACCGTTCGGTCAATTGCACAATGTATAAGATAATTCGGTCCATGTCTCCTGTTAAGTCTACTACTCCCATCTCACTCAGGGTATCTCTGGTTATGTTATATATGTATAAATGTATAAGTAATTATGTCATGCAGCTTAGTTGTGTTGCCCTTATCACTGCGCCACCATAATGTTGTCACTATCTGCCATACGCACATGCTAAGTACTTATTTCCCCCATAATTAGGTAGTCCATTCTGTCTGTGCTGATTTCATCAGCCAAGCACGATCACTATATTCTGTCAGACAACTGAATATCTTTCCCTCAGAACCAGGAAGCGTAAGTCTGCAATTTTCCTTCACATAATATGTCAATCATTATGCTTCAAGTCGGGAATTTGTTTGTCGCTACTCATGTCTGTTGTAAATTATGTCCATCAATTCTAAGTAACCTACCACATCTATATGTGCTTTGTACACTCATGCTTCCTGAGCCATCAAATGACAATAATATCTGTATTACTGCAAACTATTCTCCTATCCTCGCTGCCACAGGATCCACCCGCTACCACTATTCAGGTATATAACTACAATACATTACATGGGCCAGATGTCGCAGAGGCATACTAATCCTCTTCTCAGAGTCCGCCCGTCCTTAGTAACACTCTTACCTTACCAGTCATTTACAGTTTACTATATATATGACCTGGTCCGTCTAATTTATTTTTTTTATCCCGTGTTCTCTTTAGGTACTCCCAAAGAAATTCAGTCAACCCTTTCTCCACATCCAGTAGTAATACGCAAACTAGGTACTGTATATACTCGAGTAAAAGCTGACTTTTTCAGCACTTTTTATTTATTTATTTTTGCGTGACACGAACAGTGACATAGCAATTACATTTTAGCTGTCGCAGAAGCTCCCATACAATGCCGTAAGCTAAGCACTTTTCACCCCATGGTAGGACCCAGAGGTGGGGTAGCTTCAAGGCTAAGTGTCACTGACCGCCACGGTTTTACCATATATATGCCTAGTTTTATAGCCGCTGTAATGTGTGCCCTCTCCTTTATCCCATGCACCGCCAGTGAATGTACCCACCCTCAAGTGCAAGACTATCAGGCTGCTGTTGCCTGTCTACCCTCCCGACTACTAGGTTCAGCCCCCTCCCGCTGCACTCCCCCGTCTTGCCTCCATCTGGTGCATGTTGAATATGCTGCTGGCACTCTCTACTAGGCCAAATCCCCCAAGAGGGGATCAAAGAAACAAGGAGAACAAGAAAAAAGGATAGAAAAGAGAGAGGAGTCCTTAGGCGGCCCCGGGCATCAGCCCGGCAGGCCGAGGGGCGGGGGAGGAGAGGCCGGGGAGCAAGGGCCCAGTTACACTAGAAAAACGCCCCTCCATCCCCCTCGGGACCTACTCCACCTTCTCCCTACACCCCCCCAACCTCACACCCACCTCGGTCTATTTCCTAGGTCGCGTCCCTTCCTCCCCTGTCTCCCCACCGGGACCCGTCCCACGGCTCCCACACCCGTTGAAAAGTCCTAGAGGTGCCCCTAGCCCTAGCCGTAAGATCATCCATCACCCGCATGTCTTTAATCCTCTCTATCACACTTAGTCTGCGGTAACTCCTGTTGCAGCCACCTAAGGGCCACCGCCTGTCTCGCTGCTAACGTGATCTTATGGAGTAACCGTTGCTCCCTTCGCGTCCACCCCTCAACTGATCTGCTTAGGAGGTATACCCATGGATCTAACGTGGGTGACCTGGATATCGCTGCTTCCTTTATGTGTGGTTGGGCTGCAAAGTCTCTGATCTGTACATAGCGGAAAAAATCTGTCGGTGTCAGATGCCTGCCCTGTCGGAGTTCATCGAATGAAACCATTTCGACGCCCCGATATAAGTGGTGAAGCCTTTGTAGGCCCGCTCTTTCGAAATTCTGAAAATTTCGCGCCTCTACGCCTGGATAAAAAGCTTTGACGTAAGATGGGCGCCAGGGGAGACGGGGAGGACGCCAATCCATATTTCGTCCCATAATTGTCCCACAACCTGAGGGAATTCTCCACCGCAGGGCATGCTGCCCTGGTCAGGAGTCTTTTCTCCCTTGGAGTCCACAGGACAAACTGGGGTAGGTCTATCCCCGACATGAGCGTCTCGATTTCCACCCATTTCCGCTCGTCTAGTGGTGAATGCCAGAGCGCCACCTGAGACATTTGGGCCGCCGTACAGGACATATCTCGAAACCCGTGGTCTTTTATTTTGCCCAATAAAGCGACCAATAGCTTGTTGGATTGGTGCTAATTGGGCCTTCGACAAGTGTATGGGTATTGCCTGGAACATAAACAGTATCCTAGGGAGGACATTCATTTTTATGGCGTGGATTCGGCCTATCCACGATATGGGCTTATCTAGCCATGTTTCTAAATCTTCGAGTATGGTTCTCCACAAAGGCACAAAATTGCGGGCGTACAGGGCACCCGGGTCCGCAGTAAGGCTTATCCCCAGATATTTAAGGGCCTCTCGCTCCATCTGTATGTTGTATGTAAGGTGTATGTTTTCAATGTCGGATTGGGTCATAATAATCGGGAGGGCTGGATTTGGCCATATTGGCCCGATAGCCCGAGATTTCCCCATACTCCCGCAACCTCTCCCCCAAGGCTGCCATGGACCCCTCCGGGTCCGTCAACGTCAAGAGGACATCGTCCGCATATGCCGCTGTCACAAACTCTCTCCCCGTCACACTCTAAACCCCCTGTATGTTGGGGTCCTGCCGAATTGCCTGCATCAGCGGCTCCAAAGCCATGACAAACAATAATGGGGACATGGGACATCCCTGTCTAGTGCCGTTGTGCAGGCAAAAGGGTACAGGGGGCGCACCCGAGATCTGAACCTGTGCTCTCACGTTGCTGTACATAGCCTTCACAACTCTAATGTACGGGTCGGGGAATCCTAAGTGAGAAAGCAGATAGAACAGATAGGGCCATTTCACTCGATCGAAAGCCTTTTCGGCATCGATAGATACAATCATTGTCGGAGTCTTAGTGGTGACCTGCTTCCAAATGAGGCTAATATTTTGGGGTGTGTTCTTGAATAGTTGTCTACCCGCCATAAACCCTACCTGAGCAGCACATTTTTTTTTATGCTGAAAAAGCCCCCCTTGGCTTATACTTGAGTGAGGGTGAGCTGCAAGGAAGAAATTGACGCATCTGCTGATTGGTCAATGTTGAGGAGGGGGGCGGGGTTTGATGCAGCTCCGCGGTTCTCCACTCTGTATGGCTATGGTTAAACGCCGCAGGATTGTTGTGCTCGAAGCCCTGTGAAAAGGGTAGTTTCATATTTAGCATCTGCCAGAGGAGATTGAGTCAATGGGAAGAGAAATGGCAGGAAGGGAAGAGAAATGGCAGGAAAGGAAGAGTGAATAAAAGCCTAAATGGCAGTGAGAGAAAAGTGAATGAAAAGGGAGATGGCCGGGAGAAATTGTGACTGAAAGGAAATGGTAGAAAGAAGGATAGTATATATTGGAGGAGACAAAAGGCAAAGAGAATGAAAGTAAAACAGATGGCAGGAGAGGGAGAGAAAACAGTCATGTCATGTCATGTCATGTCAGAGGGAGTGAAAATCAGAAGAATGAATGAAATAGTAGAGTAGACAGATTGAATAAAAAGCTGGGTGTAAAGGATGGAAGATGTTTAAGGACCACTATAGTGCCAGGAAAACATACTCTGGGGAGAGTAAGGGGTTAAAATCTTACCTTTCTCCAGCGCCAGGAGCTCTCCTCCTCCATAGCGACATCATCGGCTGAATGCGCATGCGCGGCAGGAGCTGCGCGCGCGTTCAGCCAGTTCATAGGAAAGCATTTACAATGCTTTCCTATGGACGCTGGCGTCTTCTCACTGTGATTTTCTCACAGTGAGACAGCCACTAAAGGCTGGATTAACCCTATTATAAACATATCAGTTTCTCTGAAACTGCTATGTTTATAAAAAAAAAAAAGGGGTTAATCCTAGCTGGTCCTGGCACCCAGACCACTTCATTAAGTTGAAGTGGTCTGGGTGCCTATAGTGGTCCTTGAAACACGAGATTATGTATTTATTTTTTTATTAAAAAATCCAACAAATGTTACAGATACAGCAATTTACACATAAAGAAAATATCTGCACTATTACAAAAATGTCAAAATATTTTCAAATAGATTTTAAAAAGAAATTGGCACCTTTTATTAACTCCTTAAGGATACAGCTTCAGAAGCTCGACATACACTTAAGGACACAGGCAACTTTTGCGGTTTGTGTTCAACTGCAAATTTTGAAAATTTACCAGTAGCTGCTGCCTTTCCCACCCTAGGCTTATACTCGAGTCAATAAGTTTTTTCCCCAGTTTTTTTTTGTGGTAAAATGAGGTGCCTCGGCTTAAATTCAGGTCGGCATATACTCGAGTATATACGATAAGTCTCCTTCGAATCCAGGGCAGTTGAAGCCAGCACCCCAACCCTACCCCCACTCCTTCTATTGCTGGTAGGGCTAACCCAACTGGCTACGTCGTTAGGATTCTATGGCCATAATTAGTCATAACTTAAACTAATCCAGTGAGGCATGCACCCATCCTTAATCACCCCTCAGCCCAGTACGTAGATAACCCCTCACATCAACCTCTGCAGGGTGTAGTTAGGGCTTCACCAGGCGTGCCCCCTCTCATAGTCTCTTTTAAAGCCACAGAGAGACCACCGCTCCCCACCACGTCTACCAGCGGTCCCCGACCAACTCATAGGTAAAGCCTCTCAAAGCCACTTGGCATAGTAGGGCCTCATAGACCAGGTAATTTCTTCACTCTATACGTTAGCTAGAAGCCAGTTGGTATAGGTCAAGACTCTCCATAACATCCATGTATTGTAGAATGTCACAAGTACCGGAACAAGACGAAGAACTCTCATTACCTGGCACCCAAGCCAGTCCCCCCTCACCCTGCCCGGACCCAGTACTCCTACATAGCATCCAGAATCGACAAGCCCTGGCTCCCTCCGTTCATGGACTATCCCAAAAATTGCCAGCGAGCTGAAACGTTTAGGCATTCCCTTCCCAACCACTGCCTGTGAAGCCGAACTGTACCGCCTCCTAACCACTGGTTCCTGCACACCTTGGCCACATACCCCAGTGCCACTATCCAACGCAAACAATTTCACCAGAGTTAAGAACATGATGATGGCTCTGCACACTTCCATTAATACAGTTAGCATCAGACTGGAGAATCCACACACACCGATCCCCACGGTAATGCCATAATTTTTTACCCCACTCCCAGCACATCCACTCATATAATCACTCCTGCGCACCTAGTAGGGATCGACCGATATTGATTTTTTAGAGCCGATACCGATATTCTGTGAACTTTCAGGCCGATAGCCGATATAATTTGCCGATATTCTGTACATTTACCATTTTGGAAAATAAAAACTTTCTAAAGGTAAATGCACAAAATATACATGCCACGTGTAGTGGATGCAGTGTGTTTAGACAGGGAAGCTGTATGTATTTGTGTAGTGGATGCAGTGTGTGTTTGTGTAGTGGATGCAGTGTGTGTTTGTGTAGTGTGTGCAGTGTGTATTTGTCTAGTGTGTAGTGGATGCAGTGTGTATTTGTCTAGTGTGTAGTGGATGCAGTGTGTATTAGTGTTGTGTGTGTATATAATGAAAGCAGAGTGTTTGTGTAGTGTGTGGGTAGTGTGCGTAAAGTGAATGTAGTATATACTAAATGCAAAGTGTGTGTTTGTGTAGTGTATATAATGAATGCAGTGTGTTTATATAATACAGAGTGTGTGTGTTTGTATAGTGTTTATATAATGCAGTGTGTTTGTGAAGTGTGCATTATATAAACACACTATGCAAACACACACTGCATTAATTATATACACACACTGCATTATATACGCACACTACACACATTGCATTATATACGCATACTGCATTATATGCGCACACTGCACACACACACTGCATTATATACACACACTACACAAACACTGCATTGTATACACACTACACACACACTGCATTATATACACAGTGTGTTTGTGTAGTGTGTGTGTATATAATGCAGTGTGTGTGTATATATAATGCAGTGTGTTTGTATAGTGTGTATATATAAACACACTACACAAACACTGCCTTATATACACACACTATACAAACACACATTGCATTATATACACAGGGTGTATGTGTATATAATGGAGTGTGTGTGTGTGTGTGTGTGTGTGTGTGTGAGAGGGGGGGGCATTTTTTATTACCTTTTTTTTAATATATATTTAATTATTTATTGTTGTTGTCCCTCCTCCCTGTTTCATACCTGGCCAGGGATGGGGGATATAGCAGTCCCTGGTGGTCCAGTGGTATTGTCTGAGCTCTGGGGGGGCGGGCAGCAAGCGCTTACTCACCTCCCAGCAGCTCCTCCAGCTCCCCAGTGTAACTCTCACGGCCAGCGTGCCGCGCGGAGCGTTGCCATGGTGATCCATGGCAACGCTCGGACGGCCGCGGGTCTCGCGAGAGTTACACTGGGGAGCTGGAGGAGCTGCTGGGAGGTGAGTAAGCGCTTGCTCTCTGCCCCCCCAGGACCGCTGGGCTTGTAATGAGCCTGGCGGTCCTAGGAGGTATTATCGGCAATATCGGTATCTGAATTGGCCGATACCGATATTGCCGAAAATACCGAATATCGGCCGATTATATCGGTAAAACCGATAATCGGTCGATCCCTAGCACCTAGTACCCCCGACTGTTCGCAAGGACATTCTGGAGGGTAAGGATGTAAATTTGATTTCCTTGCCATTTGCCTCCCAGGATGTCATGGAGAACAAATTATTATTATTACTACGGGGATCTGTTGGTTGTACTAAAAGCCAGAGACCCCAGACTTAATTGCAAAGTCACTATCCCTGAATTCGATCTGGCCTTCGGACTGTACCGTGATGTAATTTGCTCCACTTCACCTCACCATAGGGAAGAATTGGACCTTTACCTACACAAGTTGGTGGATCTGGGACACAAGTACGGCGGTTTTGCGTTTTAGGACTACAACAAATCTTTTCCGGCCAAAGCAGTAGCAGCGTCCCTGGCACAATTTAACGTTCACATGAACTGGAGTAGGCTGAACTATTCTGTTGCCACTTCGCTGGACTAAAACCCCCCCCTCTTACCGCCTCTGTGTCTCACTCCACCAACTTGTGTCCAGTGGGTCCGAGTCTCCCCACCACCAGTCGTGCACCCTTCGACTCACCACTATCTAGGGAAGGCAAAGATCTGCAACAATTTCAATTCTGGCAGTTGCGGATTTAGCTTGTGCAGACTGCTGCACGTCTGCTCAATTTGTTATAGGGCACACACCAAAACCATGTGCCCTAACCATCTGTATCCTAAGCAATGACTCGCCGAAGTAAAAATAGACAACCTGGCATCCTATCTCCAGGCACACCCTTCTCATCACTTAGTAGACTTCTTGGTACAAGGTTTCACTGAAGGATTTCACACAGGCATTATCGCACTCCATACTGGCACTCACGAATGCCCTAACCTACAGTCAGCAATACTTGACCCCCTAAACACTGACGCTTTGATCAAGTAGGAGCTAGACAATGGCTTTATACTGGTACCATTTTCTCACCCACCTTTTTCTTGCTGGCGCACCAACCCTATAGCCATCGCCAAGGGGAAATTCTCCAATAAAATATGGCTCATTATCGATTTATCTGCTCCACATTCCTGGTCTACTCCGAGTATTAACTCATTGATCCCCTCTCAGGAGTTTTTGTTGCACTATGCCACAGTGGACAACGCCATACATGCCATATTAAGAGCTGGTGTAGGTGCTGAGCTGGGCAAGACAGACATCTCCAACGCTTTCAAGCTTTTACCAATACACCCATCCCTGTGGCATGTGCATAGCTTAAAGTGGGGGTGGAAATACTACTTCACCACACGTCTGACATTTGGAGCAAAAAGCAGTCCCAAACTTTTTGACATGTTCGCAAACACACTAGGTTGGCTCCTACTTAATATATGTGGATCAGTGATCCATTACCTAGATGACTTTCTCACAATAGAAGCCCCACACACAACACCCACTAGTATCAGCAAAACCATGGCACTTTTCTCTTTGTTAGGGGTTCCTCTCTCACAAGAGAAAACAGTAGGGCCTTCCACCAATTTGGTTTTTCTGGGAATTCAACTGGATACGGTTACTGTACAAGCTAGCCTGCCTCGAAAGAAAGTCGTTAGGATTAGACAATCAGGGGAGTCTTTTCTGGGGAGAAACAAGTGTACTAGGCCTGAGCTCCAGTCCCTACTAGGTACATTAAACTTTGCGATGAGGATCATACCACAAGGCAGTGCTTTTATCTCCAGACTCCTATGCCTTCTTCCCCGATTGACCAATGACAACATCACCATGTAGAGGGACCTGGGTAACCCGGCTGGTTACTCCCTTTCAGTAATAATAGATCAGACCCATTTCCCCCAGTAACTGGACGGCACACAGTTCCAGCGTACAATCTTTGACAATCCTTATTTGAGCACACCGCTTTTTATGCACAGACCCCCGCAAGGGGTCTCCATCCAACGCAACACACTCTCATGCGGGAGGGGGCTGGGTGACAGATAACCATCTCCCGCTCTGGGAGATACTAACAGGACACAGGGATACACATGAGACATATTACATACAGAGTGGTGAACTTTGGAGCTCAGCGTCCTGGGATAGGAAGGGGGTACAGGGTTAAAACGTATACGGATGAATAGCCCGGGTCCCCACTAGGATCCCTGCAAAAAGGGCGATCGGATGTACAGAGCCCGAGATATCCGGGTCGAAAGTCTGGGGCTCGAGGCTCTGTACTTCCCCGAAATTAGTTCCATGGCGTTGCTTGGTTTAGTCCGGCGAATTCAAACTTCACGCCTAAACCAAGCAACAACCAATAAGCTGAAAGGGCGCAAACCAAATTGCACCAATCAGCATTCGGGGGACGCAGGAGTTTCGCCGCCCAATCCGAAGAAAGGTCGCGAAACTTGGCTGCACCAATCGGTGCTTGGGGAGGAGATGGGTTTCGCAGCCCAATCAGAAGATAGCATGTGAAACACGATGGCACCAATCCGACGAAAGGCGCAAAACCTATTTGCGCCAGTCAGTGCCCAGCGACGAGAGGTGTTTCGCCACCCATTTAGAAGAAAGGGCGTGAAACCCCATTTGAACAAGCACTCCTTCTCTGGTCGCCCGCTCCCTGCGTCGACCAATCAGCACTTTACTCGCGCCCACCAACCAGGAGAATGGCGCAAACCCAGTTTGAATGGGCACTCCTTCTCCCATTGGTCGTACTTCCATGCGGCCAGCGGGAACCCTGTGGCAGTGAGATCGACGCACAGCCCCAGGGATTCCCTGCTGGTGTGCGTCCCTCTCTCCGGTGGATACCCACACTTGGGTATGCGCCGGAGAGGACGTTCGTCTGGGCAGCCACGAGCCTAACCTCTTAGCTCCCAGGTTTGAGGGTGACGAGTGATTATAGCTCTGTTAGGAGCAGGTAGGATGATCCCTGACACAAGGATCAATGACTGTGTAATGAAAAATGTACAGATGATGAAAGGTGAAATAAAGCTAAGTGGTGAAAGAAAAATTGTCTAAGTGATAGGAATATGTGGAAGATGAGTAGTGAAAAAGGTTGGCAAGCAAAGATAGAAAACAGAAAGTGATTGACTGTGTGAAGGGAACGTGCTGAAAAACCCCAAAATAAAGTGAGAAGTGACCAAAACTGGCAACAACTGATGGACAATAAGTGACAAATAAAGTAAAAGAATAAAAGAGAAATGTGCAGAAATGAATTATGCTGAGTGCGATGAAAGAGTAATTGAGAACAGTCCCACAATAATATGTGAAATATGAATGACCTAAATTTAGAAAAAATACTAAGATAATAAAAAGCATAAAGAATATACAAAAAGAACAAACATATGAAAAAATACTGATAAAGAGAGACCAGGCAAATCTGCAAACTTAACCAGCTACGATAAATGTCACATTATGTAATACACTTTATAAGAAATAAATAAGAACCATTCTACGATAAATATGTAGCCAACCGGGGCCTAAAGGGTTATTCCTGACAATGCTTATTCCTCCATATTCCGGGGTTAAATCGTATTAGCAAAGCTAACATTACTGTAAATATTATGTAAACTCCAAATGTAATATGTCATAAATCCTGACTAAGATATATTATATAATAAACAATAAACTTCCAAGCTTTATGGAGTGTTATATAAAATAAATGGAAGAAATCGGAGAACTGATATGTATTTATATCCATTGTCTGAACAGCTTCAAATTCAGATTTGCCTCGTCTCTCTTTATGTGTATTTTTTCATGTTTGTTCTTTTTGTACATTTTTTTTAATGCTTTTTATGATCTTATTTTTTTCTAAATTTGTCATTCATATTTCACATATTATTGTGGGACTGTTCTCAATTACACTTTCATCGCACTCACTCTTTATCATTCATTTCTGCACATTTTCTTTTTATTTATTTCTTTTTATTTTTTTTACTTTGTCACTTATTGTCCATCACTTGTTCCCAGTTTTGGTCACCTCTCACTTTGTTTTTTTTCAGCACGTTCCCTTCACACAGTCAGTCAATCACTTTCTGCTCTCTATCTTTGCTTTCCAACCTTTTTCACTACTCATCTTCCACATACTCCTATCACTTAGACTATTTTTCTTTCACCACTTAGCTTTATTTCACCTTTCATCATCTGCACATTTTTCATTACAGTTCCGTTTTACACCATTACTCCTCCTCCATGTTTTATTTTATTTTATTTTTTCTCGTATATTTCACTTTTTTGTACAGGTATATTAGTTAACCACACACTCCGTTCCATCAGTTCCCTTACGTGCACAACACAGGTCACTGTCTATTTCTTGACGATGTTATGATTATGGAACACAACATTGTTTCTTCTGTCTCTGCATGTCATGTTTATTTGTGTGTGTGTGTATGTATATATATGTATGTGTGTGTATATATGTGTATGTGTGTATGTGTGTGTATATATATATATATATATATATACACACACACACACACACACACACACACCAATTAGTTATGGATCCAGCTAAAAATTAACCACTGGGTTGTTTGATGTCATTTGAACTCCAGTTTATCTGTAACATTTTCTAGTTTACAATGGTAGATAATTGACATGGTATTGTTGACACAGAGCTGAAGGTTGTATGAATCAGTTCTAAATGTATTTGGATGATAAAGTGAAATCCACGTTACTAATATTCTGCAGGTCAGGTCTGTCATAAAGTATCACAAATATGCATAAAGGAAAGAGGAGCTAGTATATGAAATAAATTTAAGAATTGAGGGTAACCGAAAAGACAATAACTTCTAAACAACGCAACCCGTGAAATTAAAACATAACCTTTAATTAAATACCAATAAAAATATCATTGCTGAACAGTGGTTATAGTGGTTTTAAGTAACTGTCTGGTGAATTGCACTGAGAGGGATGCTAATAGAGTGAATAATATATAAAGATAAGAAAGAAACAGTGTGTCTATTTAACTGGCGTTACACTGTATGCCTATACAGTGTGTCACGTTGTGTGAGATTCAATATAGATAAAATAGCTAGCACAATAATCAATGTAAGAAAAGAAAGAAAGGGTGGTAGAAAATATGCATTTATTCACTATTAAATTTCTCCAAATAAATTATCTCCTTCTCTGGTGGTCTAGTGGTATATGTGACGCTCTGAATCTCCTGCTGAAACCCTCTGATATCCTCTAGCTCACAGTTCCAGTGCTCCGTTACTGAGCGGCACAGCCAAGGAGATTCCCTCTGACTCCATGCTGAGCACTGGAAATGCATTGGGGAGGATATCAGAGTGTAGCTGCAGGGGTGCAGACATCACATACACCTTCGGGTTACCAGAGAACACATTACAGCAGCTGCAGCACTGGACCAACAGGGCAGGTAGTTCACCGCACAAGGGATGGAGGCAGGGCTGCAGTTAGACAATCTAATTTGGACAAATAGAGAGGGTGTTTCTGTGTCAGTGGTTGTGTTTGTGTGTGTATGTCAGTGTAGGGCATCTGTGCTTGTGTGTCTGTCCGTGTAGGGCATCTGTGCTTGTGTGTCTGTCAGTGTATACACTATGTGTGAATCTGTACATGTATGTCACTGTGTGTCAATCTGGGTGTGGATCACTAGTATTGTATCTGTCATATTGTATGTGTTTGTGGGGCTCTGTGTGGCAGTGTAAGTTTCTGTGTATGACACTGTGCCCCTGTTTGTGTCAGTGCATATGTATGTGTGAATCCACATATGCATGCAATCACCAATATTAAAAACACCCTAGCACCAATATCTGCATTCAAACACCAATGCACCCCTATATTCACATGCATTTTGCATTTTGTATAATCTGTGATGATACGCCCCCCCCCACCCTATATATTCAGTAATACATTTATCCTATATATAGCTCAGTACTATTACAAACATAAATGGTTACTTATACTAAAAAAGCATTTGATTTTTTTTTTTTGCCAAAGACGTGTAAAAAGTAAATCAATGATAAAGAAAATATCTAAAACCACTTCATTAAGCTAAGGTTTTTTTTTTTTTTGTGCCTAGTGTCCCTTGGGCAGGTACTATTTGAATGCTGACTCCCAAACAGCGATTGAGCGTATTATGCTTGTGGCATAAAACAAATGTTCTGTGCAAATATTTTATGTTTTTAGAATTGCTAAAAATATGCATACTATTAAAACTGTATGTGTAAATGTGCATGTTACTGTTGCAGTGTAAGCATGCAGAAGCCAAACACAGAAATATTGGACACAGGTCTTCAGGAAGTAACAGGCCTTTATTCACATTACCGATCGGGTCTCAGATGAACTCCTGTTCCAACATTCTGAGAGACCAACACATAGTGTACATTCCTTATATAGCACTATAACTCCTCCCATTAATAGCTACACCCACATATACCTTTAACCAATCAATGAGCAGAATATAGACTTGTACATCTAGTCAAACCACATGGCTCATCCAAGACAAAGGAAATAAGTGCAATTTCAGTTCCTGCATTCCTGCACATGCTCAGTACACTGATGACAGTATCCTAGCTACATGTAGCTAACCAACTGACACAACATACACATATGCCACATGGAGATTTTGGCCTACTAAATTTTGACCATGCTGGAATCCCATCACATTCCCCCCTTTTGATGCCTCTGATATAACATTATTCCAGATGCATCACCAATCACAGTTTTACCTACATCTCTCAAGTAGCCATTGAACCAGAGTAGACCTTGTAAGCATCTTAAAAACTCCTTCAACATTCTTCATCCTAAATATATTCTCTTCGGGCTAGGGGATCATATCTTCCAGACAGCCATTACATGGGCAGCTGTCTTTCTCTCTATAGTACTCTCTATAATACTACGTAGGGACCTTACCACTAGTGGAATTAGACAGGGCAGGAGGAGGCACAAAAAAAAATATAATAAATTCTACTCCTCCTACTAATGTCTTAATTCCTCCAAGCTGCTCATACCAACTTCCAAACCAACTACTTAGGTTATACCCATTCCAGACCTGAGTAGGTACATGCTCAAATTTAACCATGTGGCTTGTAAGTTCAGCCACTGCCTGCCCTTCATCATCTATGTGCAGACAACAGTTACTTAGATTAAACTTTCCGCATACACCTCCTTCTACTGCTAGTAAGTAATCAAGGGCTAGCCTATTCTGGTATATGGCTGATCACATCTTGGTATTTTGCTTAGCTAGAAGATTAAGCACTTGAGCTGTGTCATTAGTAATAATCTCAACTACCGCCCGTAGTCTAATAATGCGGTTGAGCATATATAATCGGAGTTCTATACCCATAAGTGCCATTTTCTGCCCAAGTAGTAGGTCCATAATAATTAATAATACGTTGAGGGGGCCACTCATTATCTTCCCAGCTACCTGTATTCAAGGATGCTTTCTCCCTTTTATGATTTACATCGTAAACCTTAACTCCCAAGGTCTCTCCTGTTTCGATTGGCAACAAGAAGAAGGATGGCTTTGGCATACCTAATACACATGCCCCTTCCCAATCTTGTGGTAACTCCGAATAAGTTTTCTTACCACAGATCCAGTATAAATTTGCTGGGGCTTTCCAACTAGATGTAGCCGATAAGTCAAACCATACCTCCTTTAAATGAGTGTAATTGGCAACCGGATTAGTAGGTTCCGAGACATTTGAAGCTGACCACCAAGTAGTATTTTTAGTATTAACATTATAGGCTTTTTGTCCCAAGCACGTTAGCTCACCTACAGACGTGTTATACATTGTCCCTTTCCTGGCTATACAAACATGACCTATAATGGAGGTTTTTAACCACCATTCCAATTTACTTCTAGTACTTACTTGATGATCAGACTGGAAAGGTATCTGTTGTTCATATGTCTCAGAGCCAGGGTACCATATTTCCTTTGCCTCCCATGGCCACTGGTCTCCCATATTAGTACCTCCACACACATAGCAAGTAGTTACATTAAGACTACCTGCAATACCCTCAGCCAAATCAATAAATAGGTTGTTAACATTATGGGGAATTTTATCCTCAATACTCATCTCCTCATAGAAGGAATGAGAAACCTGATGAGTTTGAGTTGCCACTGTCTCAGTTTCAAGACCTACATATATTATTGTTCCTGAATCTACTCCTGTGCCATATATTTGAAACCCAAACAGACCTCCAAACCTGTCAATAAAGTACTGCAGATTGGAAATGGTCATGTGAACGGGGTTACACACATAGTTTTACAGTATGGTGTGGTAGGCAACCTTTGGATAATCATATCTTGATCCACTGTTTTTCCCAGGTTGCCCAACCTACACATGACAAATAGGGGCAGAAGTTAGTCTCTATTTGGGCAATCAGGATCAGTAGATCTTATACTGGGACATAAGTATTTATCATTAAACCCATAAGTTCGTTCCCATTTAAGATTACCACATACATTCCAAAGTCTTCCACTACCCGAAATCGCCTTACATGCATCAAATAGTAGAATACCCGCGGAATGTATGGTGCTTATCACAGTCCTATTTATTAATGTCCTCTGGGAGTTACTATTCCGAATTACCAACCAAATTGTACGGGGTTGGAAATGGGGATCAAAACATTTAGACTCTCCTGATATTGGCTTGCACACACTATAATCAATATCCAAATATCTACATTTAGATACAGATCCCTTACATTCATACTGTGAGTGCCAGATGAGAGTTTGGGATATTTGGTTACCTGTTTTAGTAGTCTTAATGCAACTATCGCAATTCGGTATGTCTGTACTCCTACCTTCCTGAAAAATCATAAAAATACTAAGACACAATAAAACACATTATTCCTGAAATCCTCATTTTTCTTCGACCGTGCGATGGCCTCTCAGCTTCCCGATTGTGAGGGCTGCAAGGATGTTGTTCTTCTGATCCTCACTTTCCTTCACAGAGATCCCTTCAAGATACTCTGGCTATGACACGTAGGCAGGTGGTCAGGCTTTATTATGGCCGTCAAAACACCTACTTGATGATCTTTGTAGACTTTTAACTAGAATGTCTCGCTATCCCCTCGTCACTCCGACTGAGTTGCACGCTTCAACCGGGTCCTGCAAGGATTCTCAGGATCTGGAGTAGCTTGCCAAGAGTCTGCTGCTGGTTTAACCTTAGAATGATGAATCCAAGGAGTCACTTCCGCCACCTTTACAGCTGTTGGGGTAGATAAAAGAACAACATACAAAGGCTAACAGAATACACCCCGAGCTTTAACTCAATATGTATTGGTGGGATATTACGAGCAAGTCCTGGAGGATTATTTTCTTCCCATACTCCTGGAATGTCAAATAAGGATTCATCACTCTTAGGGTTAACACTTGTCACTATGGAATAGAAGCGTCATTCTTCTTCCCTTGGCACCGATATCGCCATTATGCCTGGTAATCCCTTAAACTTCAGAGATGTTAATCCATTAGGTAAAAGGTTATCTGAGCTTAAAGCTTCGATAATAGATCTCGTCCTAAAAGTTGAATCGGACACTCTGGCATATATAGGAACTAATGCTTCACCACATGGCCTCCCAGAATACAAGTGCGACTCTTAAGAACCGGTCTAGCTGCACTTCTCCCAGTAGCTCCTATCACAGTTATAGTCTTCCCCGAAGGCGGAGCCACCATCTTAGTCACCACAGAATGTTCAGCACCTGTGTTGATCATGAAAGAACTTCTCTTTCCCCCTATTGCTACATCGACCATAGGCTCCGCTCGACCAAGTGGGATGGAGCCCGGTCGGTATCAATAGTCTTCCATGATAGTGTCAGCCAGACCCACAAAATCTCTATCCTCTCTTTCTCTAGGTCTCTGCGTGGGTGGATAGTATCTGTCTCCTTGAACACTTCCTCTACTATTCCCACCATTCCCTCTAAAACTTCCTCTTACTCTATAACTACCACTATAACCTCCTCATACCCTTCTCTCTCCTTGTCTATCACCTTCATACTGCTCTCTCTGTGGACACTCACTCTTCCAATGTCCCTCCTTTCTACAATACGCACATTAATTCCTACTTAAAGTCCCTTGCTCAGCCTATTCTCGTCTCCTCTATTCACTTCCCTGTCTTTCTACACTTAAGATAGCTACCGCTAGCATATCTGCCTTTTTCCTCATTTTACGTTCTTGCTCCCACTTTACCTCTGTCTCCCTATTACTATCACCTTGGGCCTGGCTGACAAATGCTGAGTCTATCATTCGGAAGTTTTCAGGATTGAAAGGAGTGTACAATCTATTTGACTCAAGCAGTGTCTAATATGGGACTTCGGCAAGGCTGCCCAATAATAGGTTCCAGTCTAGGATTAGTAAAATAGGTGAAAGGGGGTGAGCTAATTTTATTAGTCAGCATTTGGTGGATGAAAAAACGTTTTTGTTTAAAGTGTTAAACCAAAAACCTACCAGTAGGTGTCACCAGAGGGTAATTGTATCAAAATAATCTTTATGGGTCTAATAAGAAAACTCAACTTTTAATATATTTATACATAAAATAAAACCTTATAGCAATAAATATATTAAAATAGGGTAAGCAATCCTACATCTATCTGTTATAAACAATGTATTATCAATGTAACTCCCGAAGATGGCCAGTAGGTGGCTTAGAGTGCCTCCCTAAAGTCAAATGAAACAAATAGACTTTAATTAATTATGTCCTATTTTATTATTACTTATTTTAATCAATGTCCACCCTGATAACTAGGCTTGATTAAATCTTTAGTTCTAAGGTAAATTAAACATTTCAGTTTGTAGTTTAGTAAAAGGGGACATTTTGGACAAAGCTGGGAGGGGCCCATCCAGTAACTAAAAAACCAATATACCATCTGATACCATTGATCATTGATTAGGGGGAGGGGTAGTACAGAAATACAAGAGTTTGAAACACAGGAACAGATAGGTATGTGGGTAGGCGGGGACAGTAGAGCAGGGGGAGTGCAAATACTGACTATATACCAGTTTTGGGAGTAAGAAATGGGCGTGGCTAATCTGGCTCTGGAGGATGTTTGGGGGGTTGGTAATCAGATGCCAGGGGGGGAGGGGATGTCCAAAGCAGTTGTAATTAAGTCCTTAGTTCTGACCACCATATGGCTACATTGTTTCCCATATGACACAGTTTAATTCACCAAGGCAATTTTTCAACAAATCAGTTTCCAACAGTCAATTTATAGAAACTGATCATAGAATTCCAGCCTACTAGTTACAGCCACATGTACACCCTGCACTAAATTTAAGTGAAGACTGCTACATGGAGGCCATGCGGCCACCAGGACAAGCTACTCCCTACTTTTTTTTTTTTTTTTTTAAACATACAAGACAAAGCCTTGTGAATCAGAAGATTATTTCAACAGAGCATCTGATTCAAAAAGCTGTACAAATATACACACAGTTTCAACAGTCACACCAATCTCCTTATCACCAGCAACACATTGCGCAGTCACTAGGCCCAAACACACACACAGGATCCTCACATGCTCAACAATATCACGACGTCGCACACACAAAATTAAATCAAAAACCCACCAAAGACTATACACTCATCAATGTAACTATTATTCAAACCATACAACTATCCACGCTATTAATCCATATAAACTAACCGATCACATAACATTTCAACAAATTCATCTCTACAATTATCCGTACTATAAATCAACTCTTGACTAACCAACTATATCACATTCTAGTAACCTCATCTTTACAGTCAGTGGTTATGGTACAGTTAGTAAGTGGTTATAATACAGTTTTAAAGTCACAGATCAGTTAGTAACAGTTATGGTATTATACATATAACATAAAACAGCAATTGTTAGTAATTTTTACACAATGTCAGTGGTTATGGTACATGTCAGTAGTTATGGTACCGTGCGCTATTTTACAGTTATACACACAATTTACACTCCCACTAGACAGCAGAGCTCTAACTTTCTAGTAGGACATACAAGTTAACCAATTCACCAACTACAATATATTTAACAACATTTACAATAATCCCAACTATTCTAACTGGCCAGCACCTCGAGAGCTTTCGATCTATTTATACACCAGAGATTCGATAAGTTCTTCGCTGCCCAGACACCACGTATAGCGAACTAGAGGGCAGAATTTACACAGTACCCAGCTAGTCTATTAAACTATCAATAAGCTAGTGGCTGGATTTACAACAGAGCACACTTAGTTAAGATAGGGTGAAATCTAGCAAACTATAATATACAACAGAGTATGCTAGTCTCCCGGTCCCCCCGACCTAGCGAACAAAATTTACACCCTAGATACGCTAGTCAAGACAGGACACCGGTGTCCGACATGAGCTATTTACACCACAACTCAGTCTGACCCAAACCACCTATATTAGACGGGCTGACTACAGAGCGTCTAATTTCCAGATAAGTGTTGCGCTTTTCACTTCTTCCTTCTACTGAAGGGGCCAATACCAATAACCGGTTCCAAATATAAAACCCCTTGTGGGTCTACCGCTCTAACGGTATCAATCTTACCTGTCAATTACTGGACCTGGGTTCACTCATAGACGGAACAATCCGGGACTCACTGCGCAGAAGCCGATGATCTCCTGGACAAAAGGCCAGTGGCGCCGAGACGAAAGGAGGTCCACGCAGTAGAAGTCCAGGATTGTAGCGTAGAAGGTTTGGTAAAAGTTTACCGTCTCAAATCTCTGTGCCAGCTTCCATGCAATGAGGTTCCCGGCCCAATTGCACCAGAAATGTTGCAGTGTAAGCATGCAGAAGCCAAACACAGAAATATTGGACACAGGTCTTCAGGAAGTAACAGGCCTTTATTCACATTACCGATCGGGTCTCAGATGAACTCCTGTTCCAACATTCTGAGAGACCAACACATAGTGTACATTCCTTATATAGCACTATAACTCCTCCCATTAATAGCTACACCCACATATACCTTTAACCAATCAATGAGCAGAATATAGACTTGTACATCTAGTCAAACCACATGGCTCATCCAAGACAAAGGAAATAAGTGCAATTTCAGTTCCTGCATTCCTGCACATGCTCAGTACACTGATGACAGTATCCTAGCTACATGTAGCTAACCAACTGACACAACATACACATATGCCACATGGAGATTTTGGCCTACTAAATTTTGACCATGCTGGAATCCCATCACATTACCAGTTAATTTAGGATGAAAGGTTTTAAAGTGAATCCTATCATTTTTATTTAATAAGCCCAGATTTGCTTGCATTCACTCTCTCAAATGATTCTTATTCATATTTTATGTGGGTGGGACAGACTCTTCTACACATTCTGTAGAACTTAGCATGACTGTTATAGGTATTAACGTTTTGCTCATTAAAAGGAAGCAATTGAATAAAAAATATTATGCATTCAAATAAATTGAAGAAGAAAAATTACATACCTTCCAAGTTTCCCATGGTATAGTAACAGGCAGATCCCTCCCACAATAGTAAAAGATTATCCCCTCTTCACAAAAAGTTGTAGAAATTATTTTGAATTTGCCTCCAAAAACTCACTGACTTGTCAATTTTTATGTTATTCACGACTTTATTAATGTGAGAACACTGACACTTATAACTTTACACGCTTCCAAATTTTCTACTTGAATTTTCCTATTATACCAAAGAAATGTGTCAGATTTGCTTAGAAATTTGTCATAGATTGTCTCCACCTCTGTTCTGAAAAAAACATTTCCTTGTACAAAAAAACCAAATAGCCACGGCCGTAAAAATGTCTCTAAATAGACTTTTTGTGCTATGGATATGTAGCCTCTTGATTATTTCAATGATAACGTAAAACCCATAATTTGACTAAGTGTTTTTTTATTTTTTTAATTCTTTATTTTGTTGGTGCATTGTGAAGCTTCATGCATTATATTGACATTTACAAGAGGTAAAACGTATCATATAGCAATGGCGTGTATATCACAGTATTGTCAAGTTTAACAGCACACATTTTTCTTTTATCCATGTCACGGAACAATTGTCAACAGTTGTGCATTTGTTTGCTCGTACGCTTATGGCCCTTCACGGTATAGTGTCATCCTATATATAGTGTGCTTGTGATACTATGGGTTGTTGTGTGTAGTTGCACTAGGTTGTGCTAATCATGAGTAGTCGGGATTGGTGGTGTCAGTAATTTCGAGCAAGGTATTGTGTCTCCCAATTTGTACTAGCATGCTGTCTTGTGCCCTCTGGAGAGAGAGTTAGGCACTTTATTCTAAGTCTCGGCTGCTGCTAGTATTGTGATTGCCCCTAACCTAGGGGGCAACAGGGGGGGTGAGGGGTGGGGGGTGTGGTGACATTCTGTCATCAAACTAATATGGTGACCCGCGGTCATGTGACCAAGCTCATGTAGATCTTTCTTTCAGGGGATAAGCTTTACTCTTTGATATGGTAATTGGGTAATTCAATACCTTTACAAGTCAGGAAAGAGATAACCACTTCCCCCTATCCCCATTCCTCTCTCTTCCTTCTTGGCTGTGCTGCAGAGCAGATGTGCAGATGCCATGTGCTAGCATGGTGAACCATGTTACACTCTGTTGCTTCCTTTTCTTCCTTGGTGGATGTGTTGTTGAACTTGCAGCAGTGAGCCATTACTAGATGTGAAGGCCTAACCGTGGGTGAGATCAAATGTGTGGGGAAGGGGATTACTATATAGATAGATTTAAAAAGGGTTGTTGCTCCGTGGGTCTGGGCTGTGTGTTTGTGATAAATTTATAGTATTGTGTTGTTGCCTTTTAATAAATACCTTTTAATGTAGACGAACCTTGTGTAATATATATATTAATTTGGTGATTTTACCACGGGGGGGGGGGTGAGAGAATGTGGGGCTCTTCCACCATAATGTGGATCTGCGCGGTTATCCCTGGGTCTGGCCGTGATGTTAATCCGGGCCGTGTAAAGTGTGTCTGTGTACAAACTATAGCATTAAGAAACTAACGTTAACAGAAAGGATTTAACAAAACAGTATGCAATAACAGTTGGGTCCGGTTTGACCGGATTGGGTGGTTTCACTTGCGGTTATAGTCAGGTCCCCGAGTCCTTGCGTGGGGTAAATGGTCTTGTAGCTGGATCTCACATCTTGGATAGTCCCGTCTGAGCAGGTGTCTGGGTTGTATCTGGGAGTCCCAAGCGAGTGGAGATTGCAAGGATGTTCGCCTCTGATGTGGCTCTGTGAGTATTCCCGTTATGGGTGATTAAGAGGACCCTCAGCAGTCCCCATCTGTATTGTATGCCTGCAGTCCGCAGGTGGCTTGTTAGGTGTTGAAACGATCTCTGCCAGTGTAGTGTTGCTCTGGTCAAGTCCTGGAAGAAAAGCAGGTGGGAGCCTTCAAATGGTAAAGGGGTTTTGCCTCTCACTGCTGACATTATTGCTGCCTTGTCTTGGGAAGTGGAGCATCGCAGGATGACTTCTCTTGCCTCTGCTGTAGATGAGTCGTTCCCCGCCGGTAGGCGGAATATGCCCTCCAGAGTGATTTTCTGGGCTGTGTTTAGAGGCAGGATTGTGGCCAGAAGTCTTCTTGTGAAATGAGGCAGCTCCTCTGGGGAGATTTCCACCAGCACTTCTCTGAGGTTAACGTGATTGCGGCGCAGGCGGTCCTCTTGGCTAGTGCCTGGTGGGCTGCCCGCAAGGACTGCAGGGCGTCTGTAAGGTTTGACACTCCGCTGTTCAGTGTTTGGATTTCTCCCTCCATGGCACTCACACGCTCTGTGGTTTGACATACCTCTGTTTTCAGGGTTCCGAGGTCCGCGGCCAGCAAGGATTGTATCTCCTGCATCCAGTGCTGCAGGTCTTGTTTTGTAGCAAAGGTGTCGTCCCCTGAGCCTCTGTGGGCTGGGGGTGTGTTGGTTTGCGTGTCCTCTGCACTTGTCTCCGGTAAGTAGGCCTCTGTGGCGGCCATCTTGGACGGTGCCTGTCTCTGCAACATCTCCCCGATATTTGGCTGGTCTGCCGCCACTGCTGTTGCAGTTTCTGCGTGCGGCGCCCCATGGTTGCAGAGGTGTCTTTAGGTGTTGGGGTTTCTGTCTCCTCCCAGGCTGGGTGGTAGTACGCCCCGATGCAATCTAGAAGAGTCACCAGGCCGTGACTCGCGGACTTGAGGTAGGCTTGGTTGTACCCTTGCTTGTTGGAAAAAAGGCATCGGTCGGTTTTGCACCGTTCCCCAAGGCTCGTAGTGTGCTTAGATTAGTTGTGAGGGTTATGATGTTTGGGATATTTGCAGATTAGGTGCTGCAAGGTTTGGAGCCGATGGAAATGGTGTCCGTTCTGTTTTGTTCCCAAGCCCCGCCTGCTAAGTGTTTTTTAACCCAAGGCACTGTAACTTTGCAAAAATGTTTGTGGTTTTTCTTTTTTTTTGGTCAGACCTTGTTATAATAGTCCATGCCATGTTTGATTATTGAATGATAAAATAAATCAGAGAGCGTTTAATTTACAATCTTTTGTACTTTTTTCCTACAGGAATTTGATCATTTTCTGGGTACAAAGTTTTCGACTGTGAAACGGTATGGAGGAGAAGGAGCTGAAAGCATGATGGGATTTTTTCACGAGATGCTCAGAACGTGTGCTCTCAGTGGTGTTACAGATGTGGTGATAGGAATGCCTCACAGAGGGAGGCTGAATCTTCTTACAGGGCTTCTCCAGTTTCCACCTGAGGTGTGTTCTATATTGTCTTATTTTATTCATTTCTCTGCTCCTCTTTTTAAAAAATATGTATACCAAAATACACATGTGCAGCATTATATTTAGACATTGTTCTATGAAAATGATGATACAGTATGTAGCGGATAAATGGTAAGACAGACAATCAGCTGTATGCATCATAAGATTAGCAATTTTGCTTTTAAATCATGGTTTACGCTCCCTGAGCAAGCTAATGTTTAGTGCCATTGATTAAATGCATATCTACAATTGGATATGGTACCCCGGAATAACTGCAAGACCCACAGATCAGTCTAAAACTGCATTGTCATAAGGTTTTGCACAATTCCCACTCCATAACTATCCCACCTCACCCTTCTATCCCTCGGATATCTTTGTCATTGTTCATCATCATGTATAATTTAGAAATCGATTTTGTAAGCTTGTGCTTGAACTAGAAGATGAATATTTTTTTGGGACTTATGCATGACATTAAAAAAAAAGGGTTGAGCCTAGCTCAGTGGTACATTTTGTTATCGTGCTGCCCTAGGGATGACGGAACTCTGGCACCCACAATAATCTAAATTTTCCCTACCTCTTCCTGGTTAGAGCCATACCTCTTCTTGTTTAAGACCAGAACGCACATTGACTGACTGACACACCCACTCAGTGACAGGCGCACACTTTCAGTTACACATACACTGACATATATGCATACTCACTGATTTGACACACTGGCACACATACACAATCACTCAGATACTGACTCACTGACAGATGCACGGGTGCACTCACTGACGCACGCAGACACTTGCTGACAGAAACATACATTCACTGGCCGACACACATACTCACAGACATACACTGACCAACACACCTATACACAGACACACATACTCACAGACATACAGTGCCTTGCAAAAGTATTCACCCCCATGGCATTTTTCGTGTTTTGTTGCCTCACAACCTGGAATTAACATGGATTGTTTGAGGATTTGCATCATTTAATTTACAGAACATGCCCACAACTTTGAAGATGATGTTTTTATTTATTTATTTATTGTGAAAACAACAAATAGGACAGAATAACAGAAAAAGTTAATGTGCATAACTGTTCACCCCCCTAAAGTCAATACTTTGTAGAGCCACCTTTTGCAGCAATCACAGCTCCAAGTCGCTTTGGATAAGTCTCTATGAGCTTGCCACATCTTACCACTGAGATTTTTGCCCATTCCCCCTTGCAAAACTGCTCCAGTTCCTTCAAGTTGGATGGTTTGCGCTTGTGAACAGCAATCTTTAAGTCTGACAGATTTTCTATTGGATTGAGGTCTGGGCTTTGACTAGGCCATTCCAACACATTTACATGTTTCCCCTTAAGCCACTCAAGTGTTGCTTTAGCAGTGTGTTTGGGGTCATTGTCCTGCTGAAAGGTGAACCTCCGTCCTAGCCTCAAATCATGCACAGAGGGGTACAAGTTTTGCTCAAGAATATTTAGCACCATCCATCTTTCCCTCAAGTCTGACCAGTTTCCCAGTCCCGGCTGCTGAAAAACATCCCCACAACATGATGCTGCCACCACCATGTTTCACTGTGGGGATGGTGTTCTTTGGGTGATGTGTTGGGTTTGTGCCAGACATAGCATTTTCTTTGATGGCTGAAAAGTTCAATTTTAGTCTCATCAGACCATAGCACCTTCCTCCATACATTTTGGGAGTCTCCCACATGCCTTTTCACAAACTCAAAACGTGCCATTTTGATTTTTGCTGAAAGTAATGGCTTTCTTCTGGCCACTCTGCCATAAAGCCCAACTCTGTGGAGCGTAGGGCTTATTGTCATGCTATGTACAGATACTCCAGTCTCTGCTGTGGAACTCTGCAGCTCCTCCAGGGTTACCTTAGGTCTCTGTGCTGCCTCTCTGGTTAATGCCCTCGTTGCCCCATCCGTGAGTTTTGGTGGGCGGCTGTCTCATGGCAGGTTTGCTGTTGTGCCATGTTCTTTCCATTTGGTTATGATAGATTTGATGGTGCTCCTGGGGATCATCAAAGATTTGGATATTTTTTTATAACCTAATCCTGACTTGTACTTCTCAACAACATTGTCCCTTACTTGATTGGATAGTTCCTTGGTCTTCATGGCAGTGTTTGGTTAGTGGTGCCTCTTGCTTAGGTGTTGCAGCCTCTGGGGCCTTTTAAAAAAGGTGTGTGTGTATATGTAATGAAAGATCATGTGACACTTTAATTGCACACGGGTGCATATCATTTCACTAATTATGTGACTTCTGAAGGTAATTGGTTGCACCAGAGCTTTTTATGGGCTTCATAACAAAGGGGGTAAATACATATGCACATGCTAATTTTCTGTTTTCGATTTCTAAAAAATAGTTTTATGTATATATTTTTCTCATTTCACTTCACCAACTTAGACTATTGTGTTCTGATCCATCACATAAAATTCAGATTAATAAAACCTTGAACTTGAGGCTGTAATGTAACAAAATAAGTAAAAGGTCCAGGGGGGTGAATGCTGTTGCAAGGCACTGTACATTAACAGATACACAAACACTCACGGATATACACCCTGATACTGACAAACTCCCACTCCCACACATTGCCTCACACATTCACAAATTGTTTTTTATTTTTTTATTTTTTTTTAAATGTATTTTTTTTTTCTTAATCCACTCAGATTCCCTACCTTAGGGAGAGCTGGAGTGGATTTTTTACCTGGAGGTCCAGCTTATGTGCTGGGTTGGTTGGGTGGCTGTGCAGGCTCCTGTGCTCCACGGTGGGTGGGCGGGCGGGCGGGCAGCCGGTCAATAGAGGCAGCGAGGGAGCTGTAATCTTTTTGCTCAGCTCGCTTGCTCTCCACTTAGTAATGCCGGGAACCGGGGGGCCTGAGGTGGCCAGTCGGCCAGCTCTTGGGGCCCCCCATGAAAGAGGCTAACGAGGCCTATGCCAGGGTGCTTGCTGACATTGTTAGCCTTGTGGAAGATACAGCCCTTGTTCTAGAAACCTATGTTGGAGATTTGGCGCAGAGGCACCATGCTCAACATATGGTGGTCGTGTGCTTCGGGCAAGAGATTCTAGGAAGTGGTGATCAGAATTGCCTTCCTAAGTTTCTTTGAACTTTTGGTATGAAACTATGGCCCTAGTGCAAATACAAACACAAGAATCTGGTAAGGTGTGGGAGAGTTTCCTTGCTACCTTGGGTGGTACAGTATAACATCTAGGTACAGCCCCTGGAGATGAGTGGTATCCCTTGACAGGAAATTTTCAGAAGAATTTAACCACCACACCCCCCCATACCTTTCCCATTACTCTTTGTTCTGTTTTCCCATTGGCTTTTTATTTTCCATTAAACTATTGATAATACTAAAAATGACTATTCGGTTTGCAGACTTACCAACTGCCATGTCGTACATGCCCAGGTTATGACAGTCAATGCTTTCCCTTATTTTGGACTGACATTGCTCATACTTGTATACTGTGATAACTATGTTCCTACATATACCAATTCGTGTATTATGATTCATGTATATTGTAACATCTCAAAAAGTTATTCATTGCAATGTACTGTATTCTGCATTTTTTTCAGTGTCTGTAAACATGATGATATATAAATACAAATTTTCAAATTGAAAAAAAATGGCTGGATTAATACCCCTGGGAAAAAATGTATTTCAATAAAAAAGATTTTATTTCTTTTTTTCAAAATTCTTAAGGAAATAGTTTTTTTTATTTTGTGCACAGAGACCGGTACAGAAGGAAGTGAAGTGGGTAAACGAGCAGGTTTCCACAGCTCCCACAATTTGTCACATTAACTAGCATTGTAACCTATACGACACAGTAAACAAACATGTTACGTTATTTTGATGCACTTGTAAAACATTACATCTACTTTGTTTCCTAGCCAGTGGCCGGGGAGCGGGTACAGGAGCATCTACCTGGGGATGCGTACCGGTGACACTAAGTTGTCCTGCCGTATTTTCATTGTGGGAGCTTTTCAAAATTTTTATGATGCAGTAGCAACAGTTACCCAGTCACTAGATTTATTTCAGTACAGTGAGCAGCCACAGGCTATTCATGGTTTAGTAGATCCTGAACCGTGGCATGCCGGTTGTTTCCTAAAAGGCAGTGATGAAACCCTCCTTATACTGATATGGATTACGTATTGCCGCAATAGGTTTTTTTTTGTTTTGTTTTTTACATTCTAAAGTGAGGAAAAAATTGATTTTCTTTCTTCTTTATTCAATCCTTCAATTTTTTTTTTTATTTTTTTTTGGAGACATGTTCAAAACTCCAAATCACAACACAAACAAATGGCTTCATTGCCCATTTCGTAATGTGTGTTTGTGGTGTTTCAGAGCTGCATATTTTTGATGAAATACAGATTCTAAAAATTTTTGACGAATTGTGATTTGTTTGAAACAGAATGCTCCAGTCTAGTACATACGTCATCTATGACTGGATTACAGTAGTGTAATAGTATATGTCTTTGTAAACTGCACTAGAGAGCTCTTTTTAATGAGGTGCCATTATAGAGTTGTTATAATGATTCTCCCTCTTTAAATGTTTACTTCTAATATTGACCTTATTAAAACGAATCCCCTAAAACTGTAACTTTCTGCTTTGCGTTTTTAGCTTATGTTTCGTAAAATGAGAGGCTTAAGTGAGTTCCCAGAAAACTCCCCAGCGATAGGTGATGTCCTTTCCCACTTGACATCATCTGTGGATTTGGACTTTGGTTCTCCTAGGCCTCTGCATGTGACTATGTTGCCTAATCCTTCCCACTTAGAAGCAATCAACCCTGTGGCTGTTGGGAAAACCCGCGCTCGACAGCAATCTCTGGCAGATGGAGATTACTCGACAGACAGTTCTGCACAGCCTGGTGACAGAGTTGTATGCCTTCAGGTAAACTTTGACTGAAGGAAATATTTTTCGCACAATTAAATAATCTATGTAAAAATTAAAATGTATACTCATAGTATTGCAGCCACTGTTGTCCAACTGTAAAAATTACTATGAAAGACTTGACACTTGGTGCTGGCAGTATTCCTGGTCTGCATTGATATGGCAGAGCAGAAGGTCATACTTCCAATATCTTATTTGTGTAACTTTGGGCACCATTCATTGGATGAGAATGTTATCAGGCAAAGTGTTATAGACTGGGAAAGTATGCTGGAGTTTCAGCATTACAAGGAAATGCTGATAACAGCCAATAAATGGTGGTCACAGACCATTCTCTACTGTTTTAACTAGGAAACCAATATGCTGATATCAGTACTGATAATAGCAGAGGGTTTCTGTACGTTAGTGTTAGGTAAGGTTAATGCTATTTTACAGCTAAGGATAATGTAGGGTTAAATTTGGGATAGGCTTACAGTTAGTGTAAACATAGGGTTACTGCTTGTAACTACCAAAAATAAATTTAGATTCTAGACATATGAGCCATTTAAGAATGATATGTGAATCTATTTTGAGTTCTTTTTTCCTTGATTAAACTGGATTTGATGCTTTCTCCTCTCATTATCAACACTTAAATCACACTTAAAGGGACACTATAGGGTACCCAGACCACTTCACCCCCCTCTCCCATCACTTTATGAAATATTGCTCTTCTACAGAACGCAGGTGTTTTTATTGTAGAGTTGATTCCGTTAGTGGCTTTCACGCAGGCAGCCACTAGAGGCACCTCTATTGGACTGACTGAAATCAAGGAGCACAGGAAGCTTCCAGGGAGAAATGATAAGATAACTTTTTTTTTATACAGGTGGAGGCCAGTAACCTAAATGGCTACCAGGGCACTATAGCGTTGGGAATACATATTTGTATTTCTGACGCTATAGTGTTCCTTTTAATGTCGTGTTAGGTATACATATAGGATGTTTGAAAGTGAATATTCTGTAAATAAAACTATATATTATGAACAGGGGAATGTAAGTGAAACTGTTTAAATTTGGTGGAACAAACAGTGCAAATTCTAGGTTTTGTTTTGGTTCAAAAACATGGGCAATTGCCTCCTTCCTTAAGAGGTTATATAAAACATAGCAAAAATTCAGGATAGTGAGGTTTTTTGAATACAAAGCTAGCTCTTGACCTCTGCATTAATTTATTACAGCTTGCATTGCTTGAGATAAACCACAACCATTTTGTACTCCTCTCATTCATTCATTCATTCATTGTTATTTTTTTTAAATTGTTTTTAGGTACACGGTGATGCTTCATTTTCTGGTCAGGGGATTGTTCCAGAAACATTTACTCTTTCCAATCTTCCACATTACCGAATTGGTGGCAGTATTCATCTGATCGTTAATAATCAACTAGGTTATACTACCCCTTCTGATCGTGGAAGATCCTCTTTATACAGCAGTGATGTTGGTAAGTGCTAGGTTAGAATATTTTTGAAGAGTTTGTATGAAAGCTACAAATAAGATCAGTGTATACCTGTCTTTGTAAGTTAGTGCTTAATTGTCATGCAGGGGTTCCCAATTCATTTTTGACATAGTGTTTCAACATCGTTGAAGCCCTCCCCCATGGGAGAAAAAAGAAAAAGAAAAATTGCACATGTGCCGGTGTTTGTGTGTGTATCTCTGTTTGTATGTGCCTGTGTGTTTATCTATGTGTCAATGTGTATCTGTGTGTGTATCTGACACACACACACACACACACACACACACACACACACACACTGACACACACACCTTGACACAAAGTGTGTATCTGTGTATCAAAGTGTGTGTATGTGCCAGTGTGTGTGAATCTGACACACACACAGAGATACTCACACTGACACACTCACACACATACACTCTTACTGATAAACACACATATACTCTTTGACAGACATACAAACTCTCTAACAGACACACATACAATTTTCTTTTAAAATTTTACTCCACCCAGCCTTTGGGAGTGCTGGCATGGAGACTCTGTCCTTGTGGTTCAGTGGGGCTTCTGGGCTGAGTGTGCGGTCCCTGGTGTCCAGTTAGGCTGCTGAGCGGTTGGCGTGCGGTTCCTGGGTTTCAGTGAGGCTGCTGAGCGACTGGCTTGCAGTCCCTGGGGTCCAGTGGGGCTGCTGAGAGGCTGACTTGCAGGCGTCGAGGGTTCCGTGGAACACCAATTGGAAAATGCTGTGCTAAAGGGACACTATAGTCACCAGACTATCTGAATATTCATCCAAATAGACTTGGAAAATAGTTAATGACATAATATGCCACACTCTTCACTGCCAAATAAACTGTATGTATTTGGGAAGGTTTTAGAATACTAACCGTTCTTGCACATTACCACTTTTGGTTTTGTTACATTTGTTTTGGAGTTGTTCACATGTGTTTTTGTTAGTCTTTGTTTCATGGGGAAGAATTGTAGCTGTGGAAGCAACAACAGGCACAGTTCTTGGTCTTCCTGGTCCCATTCAGCCAACCTCCCTACCCAGTGTTGACTCCTTCCCTGTCAGACACCCTCCCTACCCAGTGTTAACCCTTCCCCTGCCAGTCCCTGTCAGCCAATCTCCCTACCTAGTGTTTACCCCTTCCCCTCCATCCCCTGTTAATCAAACCCCTGAGAGAGAGACACAGACAAACAGACTTGCTGGGCATTTTGAAGAAAATTATTCGTCTTTATTAATAACACACGGGTTACAGCAAATCAATGTTTCAGTCCATCATAGGTTATCCTGATGAAAGTCCTATGATGGACTGAAACGTTGATTTGCTGTAACCTGTGTGTTATTAATAAAGACTAATACTTTTCTTCAAAATGCCCAGCAAGTGCCTTTCTTCATGGAGAGAGAGTGTGTATGTATATGTGTGTATATGTGTGTGTGTATGTATATGTGTGTGTGTGTGTGTGTGTGTGTGTGTGTGTGTATATATATATATATATATATATATACATACACATATATACAAATACATACACACATACATATTTGGTATTTGAGTTTGTTTCCTTTTATTTATAAGAAACATATAACACTGTATCATACCTAATGTGGTGACTGTGTGTGTTTGTTTGTAAGCTCTAGTGTCTAAATGCTGAGGACTCTGAGGAGGCTTGGGCAGGCATTGTGGGCATGTGATGAGTTTAGTGAAACTCAGGCACACCCAGTAAGGCGTGTTATTACTAAATCACTGGAGCATGGCCATTGGTGGACAGGCATTGTGAGCATGTCATTACTGATTCTCATAGAGAATCACTGGAGCATGGCCATTGGTGGATAGTCTGGCTGAATTACAGGAAGCAGGAAGAAAGCACAGGGGGGAATGACATGAAATCCCACGAGGAGCAGAAAATCTGATCAATGTAAAGATTACAAGTACTTCTAAAGCTAATTTTTACACTATTTAGGGGGAAAAAGTATTTAGTAATACTAGGTTTACTTTTGGGGCGGAAAAAGGAAATGCAATTTTTTTTACCTATACAGTTCCTTTAAAGGGACACTGTAGGCACTCAGACCACTTCAGCTAATTGAAGTGATCTGAGTGCTGTGACCCTTTTGCACTTAATGCTGCAATGTAAAACATTGCAGTTCCAGAAAACTACAATGTTTACATTGCAGCTCTAAGTCTGCCCTCTGTGGCTGTCTACTAGACAGCCACTGGGGGCGCTTCCGGAATCCAAACTGACTTTTGGTCTGTTATCTGACGCTGGACGTCCTCATGGACCTTCAGTGTCAGATTTTCCCCATAGGAAAGCATTAACTAATACTTTCCTATAGGGAGGTCTAATGCGGACGTGGCCATTCCCGCGCATGCGCATTAGGTCTCCCCTGCCGGCTGACGTTGGGGGTGGGGGGGAGGAGCATGGGCGAGGCCTGACCCAGCGCAGAGGGACATCGGCGCTAGATTCAGGTAAGTGGCTGAAGGGGTTTTAACCCATTCAGCCCTGCGGGAGGGGTCGCCCCGAGGGAGGTGGACCTAATAACCCTATAGTGCCAGGAAAACTGCTGGCACTATAGGATCCCTTTAAGTTGCTTACAGCAGATCTATATTTACCTTAAAAATTTGTTTAGCATAATGTACAGGTGTATTACTGGACTGAAATGGAAAATACTGCCGTTTGGAAATGTAGTTTTGAGTAATTTGATAATAACGAACTTAACTGGGCCAACCCATTGTATCTTGCTAGTTGCCACATGCAGTGTTTTTTTGCTTTTGTTTGTTTGTTTTTTTAATATCATCACAATGCGTTATGTTTTATTTAATTTTTTTTTAAATGTTTAATTCTTTATTTTTGTGTGTAGAACATCAAACAAGCACACATATGCATTTCATGGCATTACAGGGTGAAGATATTGCATGATATATATATTATTTTAGCTTAGACCAAAAAATAGTAAGATATGCTATAAAAAAGAACTGTAGAAGAAACCAAAACAAAAGGAAGGAATACCACTGGTTATATGGGCTTTAAATGCGTAATTGATATGACTCCTGACTAGTAAAATGCATTGCAAAGCCGTCACTATAACAGCCAAGTTGGGAGCAAAGCCTGTGGACCCCTCAACCGACGCCTAGAGTAGGTAAGTCCCAACTGCCACCTCTATCCGCCACATTATGGAGACCTTTCCGCCCTGTCTAAATCAGTCTGCACTCCATCGTTGCTCTCCTCATGGCACCGACCAGGGCACGTTGCTTGGTCCCGCAGACCCCATCATTCGGTGGCAAGACTTGTAGCCTTCCAAATCAGGTGAGTTATGTTGGGGGTGAAGAAGCTTGTCTCTCCTCAATCGGTGTGAGGTACAGCCTGCACGGGATGCTGCTTTCTGCCGCTGCAGTTTTATGCGTCTTCTCCTCCACGCCCATCTGGGAACTTGCTGGCGGTGCGCGTGGGACCTAGGCTTTACAGCAGTGTGGTTCTGCTTGATTCCAACTCGAATTGCAGAAATGCAGGTAGGTATCCAGAGCTGTGCCAACAATTTTTCCCAGATTCGATCGAAGGTCTGGAGTAGTAGGTCCACGTGTAGCTGTGGGAAGGTCGCAGGCCCCAACAGAGCAGACATTGTGGGAATTAGGACTTTGGATTAAGCTTTGGTCAGCTGGGGAGTGTATTACAGTGCCAACTGCACGTTACCAGTGAAGGAGTTTAAGCATGCGTGGGGTAGGCATAAGGCTATCCTAGATAGATCAGGCCAGGGACTTATGAAATGATTTCAAAAAATTGGGCAGACTAGATGGACCCAATGGTTCTTATCTGCTGTTACATTATATGTTGCCATGTTTACTTTGAGAAGAGAAATATATGCTATAATTACCTCTCAGGCATGGTAAGCATAGTGTGGTCATGCTTGCTAAACATAAGAAAAGGGATGGGGAAATAAAATATTGAGAATACACCTCAATTGCTTGGGTCATGTTAGAAGCAAAAGGAAAAATAATTATGAAAAAAGCCAAATTAATTGCCTTGAACATTTTTACTTGATAAGTACATTGTATTCAATAATAAAAATAAACTTTATGGCATTGAGACCTCTTAAAGAAATAGCATAAATGAAAAATAAAAAAGTGAAAAAAGTTGAATAGTATCTTAAAATATACCAGATAGTTAAAGTAACATTTGTTAGAAACACAAACATGATTTAGATGTTGGATTAGTACTCCCCTTCAAAAAAAAAAAAACCTGAAAAATATTTACTTACATTTTAGCCAGTGTTGTGCTGGTCTTTAGCGACATCCACTGCACCCTGACTGGGATCTTCATTAATGATAATCTCCGCCAATCCAATGCAATCAGGATCTACTCATAGAGAAGCATTATACCAATGCATCTCTCTAGTAGTGTTTGCTGTTTTCATGCTGAGTGTGATGCTGCCGAACATCTGTCTTGCAAAGATTGTAGGACAGTAAAAGTAAGCAGCTCTATTATTTATTTATAAAATATTTTACCAGGAAAGATACATTGAGATTTCTCTCGTTTTCAAGTATGTCCTGGGTCCACAAAACATTGCATTGATACAATAGGGTACAAAATTATATACAATATATACAAAATTTAACATAAAACGGGTAGGAAATATATGATCCACCATAACACATGCATTCTGTTTTGAGATCTGTGGAGAGGGATCTCTTAAAGTGTGTGAGAGGTAGTTCCATAATTGCGGTGCTCTGTAGAAAAAGGAGGATCGGGCTGCTTTCTTTTTGTAGTGGCTGAGAGACGACCACCAGAGGTATGCTTAGAAAGCACTTAGGAAAGGCAGTGTATACATTGCTCAGATTTCTGTGACAGTCTCTTTAAATCCGTTACGACATTGTTGTCCCTTTAACTGGCAGCTGTGTAGACTAGCTGATATCTTTGTATGTGGAATAATGAACTCATTGAACTGTAGCTATAAACCTCAGATAATGTTAACACAACCATTTCAAGCATACATTAAATTATAAGATCAACAAGAACATACATAGTGTTCTTAAGTAATGGAGCAATAAAATAGTTATTTTCAAATAGTTCAGTCAATTCTACTTGTTGTTATAAGGGGTGACAGCACAGTCTGGAATCCAGAGCGAGCAGATTTAAAGCAGCTCTGTCACTTTTATGTTTTGTTTGTAAATTAATAATTCATCTGGATCGGAAAGAAAGAGCTGCCCTTCAAACCCTACAAAAGCCAGTGAACATGAGAGGGATGGGACTGTCAAATTTAAAGTGTTATTGTGCTACTGTGACATTGCGGTCATCACTCACCAAGGTTACAGGTCTCCCCAATGGGTATTCATGAATTTCTTTTGCTCCCTCAGACAGGGGCTGCACCAGTTGTTTTAGATCCCAGAGATAGTATTCCAGGGCAAATGGAATGTCTCCCTGCAGCAAGCCTGGAATTATGAGATCCAATGATGCTCAAAATCCAAAGCTCTACTCCAGGGGTAGGAAACCTTTGGCAATCCAGATGTTGTGGACCACATCCCCCATAATCCTCTCACACCCATAATGCTGGCAAAGCATCATGGGAGGTGTAGTCCAAAACATCTTCCGTACCGCTGCTGTACAGGTTTTAGATTACTAAATACTGACCTTTTTCATAGACCATGGAGAGCTTTAGGCACAACACATGTATATATGTTTTTTCACAAAGTTAAACCTTTCCACCTCCTCCTGGAGGAATATTATGTCCCCAATATCCTAACGTTCTGCAACTCAAATGCTTCTTCCGAACTTTGACTATATCTTTACCCAATAGATAACATACAGGGATTGACTGCAATAGAGAAAATGTGTATAGGTAAATTACCCTACGATAAAGTGCTGTTACTAGGAATTGATTTCAGGAGGAAGCGTGGACCTGCCATTTATTAAATCGCATAACTGTTTAATGGAATGTCCATCTCATCTGGAAGTGTGTAGAAAGGTGCTACATAGATGGTACCTAGTTCCAGTGAAATTGGCATATTTCAGAGACTTAATTTGTGCTGGGGATGTGGAAATGCAATTGGTACAATGCATCACATTTGGAGGCAGTGTGAACTATTGCAAACTTTCTGGATAAGAGCCACAGGACTGACAGCACATACTACAAGCTAAATATAACCCCATCAGTAGACTTATGTCCATTATTCATTACATAACATTATATGTTAGTGTGCTGATGTCTTGGCAAGATTTATATGTCGGAAATATCTGTTTCCACGAATCCCAAACTTTCTCACTTGACACTATTTGTTTCTTTTAATCTTGCATTATACATACAAATTTAAGATTTGAAACATTTAAAGATAAAAACTGGATTCATATAGACTGATACTGTATGTTTTGGTTTTTTTTCAAAACGTGTAAACTAAATAAAAATTACAAATCTTCAAATAATTACTCTCCACAGCACAAGTTACTATAAAAAGAAATTACAGTTTGTGATTACTGACTAAGCACGTGGGGTATACCTAAAACGTATAATTAAAAAAAAAACTAATTTCAATAAGATTAGGGCAGCTCTACAACATATGTTTAATCTGCGACAAATAATTGACTAGAATATTCCAAAATATTAGTATATCTGCGTGAGAACAAAAGCTCAGCCACAAATTTATGGATGGCAAATGATCCAGAATGTTTATTATAGGTCCTCAAGGTAGTCTTAAATCCAAGCTACAAATACAAGCTATAATCTTGTTTTTGTGCAATAACACAGAATTGTCTGTGGCTATGATTCAACTCCAGATTATGTTTTTTATTATGTTTGTTTATATTAAAGTATACTTTTATTAGATACTTTTTATATTTACTCTTTTTGTTACTTCCTGGATCCTGCATATCCCTGGTGGGGATTATACCACCAGACTGTTCATACTAGAGCAAGTTTTATGCTCTATAAATTGTAAGTACATTACTATTCATTATTTATCTCACCATAAGTACTTACTGCACCATTGGCTGCTATTTCTTTTTACATATACCACGCATACTGCACTTTGAAATACCTGAGTTAACTCAACATATCCTGAGACGGGGATCGTACCGTCCAAGCGCATCACAGTTGAGCTCTGTTATAGCTCATATAAATGTGAGTGGATTGTGTATAGTTATATTCACCACTTCACGATATAAGTTTACTGTATTGCACTACTATTTTTATTCTATTTTATTCCGAGGTTTTTGATCTATTGGAAATACCTGGGAATATATGTACATACATTTTGTATTTATATAAATTATAAGGCGCGGTATACGCCTTCTTTTTCTCTTTATCTATCCACAAGGTTTTGGGAATCCTTGTTTTGTATACTGCTGCCTGTTCACAATTCACTATAGTGAGCGCCTATTACCCTTTCCTTTTTTTTTGCCAGATGTGAAACTGATTCAATGTTCTGAACCTTTTCCTGACTATATTTTAGGTAAAATTGTTGGTTGTGCTGTAATCCATGTTAATGGTGATGACCCAGAGGAAGTTTTGAGAGCTACAAGATTAGCTGTGGAATATCAACGACTGTTCCGGAAAGATGTGATTGTAGACTTGTTGTGTTATCGTCAGTGGGGCCATAATGAGCTTGACGAGCCCTTCTTTACAAATCCTGGCATGTACAAAATTATCCGGTGAGTGGAGGATTATTTGTTCTTTACGATTATTTGTTCCACCTAATGTAAATCCTAATGAGGAAGAACAGCTGTTAGAGCAAATTGGGAAAGCTGCAAATTGGGGTCACACGTTAATTATTGGAGATTTTAATTACCCAGACATAAATTGGGATAGAGGGACTAGTACTTCAGTAAGGGGAATCCGGTTTTTGAATGTGTTAAATGACACCTTCATGTCACAACAAACAATGTTGATCTTTTGACCAACATTCAAGTAGGGTAAAAGCACGTGGGGTATACCTAAAACGTATAATTAAAAAAAAAAAAACTAATTTCAATAAGATTAGGGCAGCTCTACAACATATGTTTAATCCTAGAACAAATAATTGACTAGAATAGTCCAAAATATTATGGGTATATCTGCGTGAGAACAAAAGCTCAGCCACAAATTTATGGATGGCAAATGATCCAGAATGTTTATTATAGGTCCTCAAGGTAGTCTTAAATCCAAGCTACAAATACAAGCTATAATCTTCTAATATGGTGATACAGGACTTCCAGTATCTACAGATATCAGAAATTAACTCAGGGCTTGTTTGACTATGGGGTGGAGAAGACAAGTCGAAATTGCATATATGTTGGAGTTAATCCCATGATTTCTCTTTTTTTGATCTACGTCTAGGGACTGTCTATTAACCTAAACAGTTCAAACTACTTCTGTGTGCTTGGAATATTATTTCGCATACATTTTTGTTTTTCATTGTCCTCTAATGTCCATCTTAGATGTTCTGCATGTTGAAAAAATGCACTTAAATAACGATAGTAAGAAATAAAAAAATCTTTTGTGCTTTTCATGTGCTTTGCTTATTATAAATTATAAATATTTATAGAAGGGGTTAGGTGTGAACAGAATAAATGAGCAAATGTTTTCTTGCTTCTTTTATTTGTGTTCAGTAAATTAAACTATTTTTTCCCTTATGTTCAATCAGGGCTCGAAAAAGTATCCCAGATGTTTATGCTGATCGTATAATATCTGAGGGCCTAATGACAGAAGAAGAAGTATCAAGCATAAAAACTACATATTATTCCAAATTAAGTGACCATCTTGCCAATATGACATTATACAGCCCACCATCCACCAATCTCCAGGCTCACTGGCACGAGATGGTTGAACCCTCGCCACGGATCACCACTTGGGACACTGGTGTTCCTGCCGATCTACTCAAGTTTGTTGGGGCCAAGTCTGTGGAGGTTCCTGAGGACATAAAAATGCACAGCCACCTTCTCAAAATGCATGCACAGGTAGGAATATGTTCCTATACAATTTAGATGATCTCTGTTGTTCATAGTTACTTTTTCAAATTATTTAATCCGTATATTGTGCTAGCCTGAATGGTTTGCAAATATATATTATATGTTATAAATAATGAGCTGAGAGCACTCACTTTTCATGTTCTTTAATGTGCAATGACCTAAACAACAATGTTTCAACCGTTTGACATATTGTTTAATAAAGGCACAAAGTCGAAAAGTAATTTTCCAATAAAGGAATAACATTTTCACTAGAAGGAGTTCTGGACATCTTTTTTTGTTTTATTTTGTTTATTTTTTGTTTATTTTCTGATATTTATCTGTTAAGGCTTTGCTATATATGCTATCTTGGGACAGACTAGAACTGATGCCAGGTTTTCCACTACTTAAACTGGATATAGAATCTGTATTTGTCATAAGTGTTTCCAAAACAAACTACCCTTAAAGTGGAATTCCCAAGATTTTGAATACACAGGTTTTTTTTTTTTTGATCACCACTTTTCAACAAATGTGTTCTGGATCTGAAAATTAATATTAAATGTAGACTAAACTCTTCTATTTTGGCTCCTGACAATTATTATAAAAGTACTCTGTCCTATGTACCTGGGAGATAGCAGAGACAAAATAGCTGTTTTTTCCTAGGCTAATTATTATTATTATGATGTTTTTTTTTCTTTGTGAATTTTCCAGTACTTTCAGTTTAGTAATTGCATCTTTATCATGAACTGGATCATCTTCTCCAAGCCATATTATAACATGGATATGTAAAATGGAAATATGCATTTTTTTAATACAAAAATAGACCGTCAAATGTGCCTTTTTTAAAATAATGTTTTATAGTGGATGTTACTAAAAGGCGTTTTTCTTTATTTTCAGTCTAGAATACAGAAGCTCCAGGAGGGAATAAAGTTAGACTGGGGCACAGCTGAAGCTTTGGCATTTGGCACATTACTTTGCCAAGGTGAGTGATTAGCTTGTCAGAGCCACCACCATTTAGTTAGATAATAGTATCAACGATCAATCCATTGCCAATTCAGTCAATTCTCAGCAGTTGTGTAACTAGGGTTGGTGTCACCTGGATGAAAGAATATGAGAACTCTTAGAATGGACAAAAGATTGCTTAGAGAAACTAAGTAGCTTGCTGTTTGGTAAATGCCCGTTCAGGTCTCAAAAATGTTTTTGCTCACTTGTGCTATTACAACAAGAACATGTTCTGAAGCGTATCATGTCACCCAGTGTGGTAATTCATGATGTAACCAAACCCCCCTAGTAATGGAGAGATCTCCTCTGTAATTTAGTATGATAAATGTATGAGATGTGTGGGGGGGTTGATCAGTGGGATGTGCGTGTGGTTGGCTGCATGTGTTATAAGTGTGATTGTGTATGGAAGGCAAAGTGTCATTATGTTTGGGGGTTGTGTATTTTGTAATAAAAAAAATGTTAATCGAGTAATAGGGTTTTCTTATTGGTTGCTTAATGTGCATACTAATTATAATTTTCAATACATGACATTTTCAGTGACAAAAGGGCTTTTTTTTCACTTAAATATCTCTCATAGTCATACAAACACACATACACACATTCATGCAAGCTCAAGTACACGTACATACAAACACTTATTATTATTTATATAGCGCCAACAAATACCGTAGCGCTGTACAATGGGTGAACTAACAGACACGTAATTGTAGCCAGACAAATGGATGCACAGGAACGGAGGGGTTGAGGGCTCTGCTCAATGAGCTTACATGCTAGATGGGGGTGGGGTATAGTGACACAAAGGGTATAAGTAGGGGTAATGAAATAGATTGCTACAAAAGTATTTACTGGGAACCTAGTAGATAATTTTTGACAGTTGCAGGAGAGGAGTCATGGGGGGAGGGGGGGTGGAATGAAAATCCACTAACAGTTTAGATGATCTGCTTTCCTGAAGTGTTTTTTCAAAGATTTTTTTTAAGGAGTTGAGACTGGGTGAGCATCTAACGGAGGAGGCAATGCAGTTCCACAGGAATAGTGCAGCCCTCGAGAAATCTTGGAGGCGAGCATCAGAGGTGGGAGTACGGACAGAGGATAGACGTAGGTCTTTGGCAGAGCGCAGGGGCCTCGACGGGACATACTTGTTTATTAGGGAGGATAGGTAGGTTGGAGCAGCTTTATGTAGGGACTTGTAAGCAAGCACCAGAATCTTAAATTGAGCCCTATATCTAACTGGGAGCCAATGCAGGGACTGACAGAGGGGAAAGGCGTGGGAGGTGTGGGTGGACATACACCATAATACAGACACAATTATAAAAAACAAACACAAACTCTCTCAAAATAGCACAGTGCACTTATACAATTCTGACACCTTTTAATTTGTTTTAAAAACACAACGCACATTTTTTTCTATTTATTGTTTATTCAATGTGTTTTGTGAGCTATTGCACTTTAAAAGGAGCTGCTACTTAATAATATTTAGCAAATTATAATTAGATATTGATTAAGCGCCTCTTCACTTGTTTTATTTTTGGTGTACACACACTCTCATACAGACACCGTTATACACACACAAACTTATACAGGCAACCATACAGTCACATACAGAGGCATATACACACTCATTCAGACACAAAGTCATACAAATACACATACTCATAAAGACATACATAAACATACAGACACAGTCATACAGAAACTCAGACGCACATACACAAACTAAGGTTAAGTCCGTTCCCAGAGGAAAGTATGAAAAATAAAATTCTTTGCATTGTGCACTTTAGTAATGTATGATGACTGTGATTTAAAAATGTATTATATATAGGGTTTTAGTATAATATCAATATCAGTGACCGCAATGTCTAAGCCTGTCACTACAGTCACTGGGATTGATTAGGCAAGCTACAGGGCTTATAGTCTGCCTAATAAATCCCAGTGACTTGAGTGACAGGTTTAGACACTGTAACGAGTATTAATTAGCCTAAAATATCATATATATATATATATCGTTACACATTCATCATATATTACTAAAGTGCACAATGCAAATATTTTTTTTCACATCCTTTTCTCTGTGACTGTCCCATAAGAAGACAGTATCTAAAATGTCTGCACTGTGCACTTTAATAATGTCTTCACACAACAAACTAACTGTAGTAATGTACAGTAGTCAGGGTTAGGAACTGGCCAGCAGCAGCTTACTCTGGAGGACTCCTAGTCCCACTCCTCACCCCAGGGCCCAGCAGGGAGGAGGCCATTAACGCAACAAGGAAGGAGGCCTCCAGAATCTAGCTACACAACATTCTGGATCCTGTATATTTATTTATTTCTTCCTCTAAGTTGCTTATCACATTGCCCTCGCTGCAGTGCTGCACCGACTTCTTGAGGGATCATCTGCGCTGTGACAGTCACTGCACCCGCAGGTGAAGACACCAGGAGGGTTACTCGAGCAGTGTAACCTGCCTGGTGTCACCCCGTGAAGAGGGTGGCCGCACCCCCTAGTGACCCCACTGATTCTCAGTCCCCTTAAAGGACCACTATAGTGCCAGGAAAACATACTTGTTTTCCTGGCACTATAGTGCCCTGAGGGTGCCCCCACCCTCAGGGTCCCCCTCCCGCCGGGATGGATGGAGAGGAAGGGGTTAAACTTACCTCTTTCTCCAGCGCCGGGCGCGCATTGAGCCAGTCCATAGGAAAGCATTCACAATGCTTTCCTATGGACACTGGCGTCTTCTCACTGTGATTTTCACAGTGAGAAACGTGGAAGCCCTCTAGTGGCTGTCAATGAGACAGCCACTAGAGGCTGGATTAACCCGAACATAAACATAGCAGTTTCTCTGAAACTGCTATGTTTATAGAAAAAAAGGGTTAACCCTAGATGGACCAGGCACCCAGACCACTTCATTAAGCTGAAGTGGTCTGGGTGCCTATAGTGGTCCTTTAAAGAGAAAAGTACTACACAAAATATATTCTTGAACTCACCATACTGACATATAAAGTACTTGCTGAATTATTACTTATGATTGCTGCACATACAGACTCTAAGCATCATGACCACTTCAAATCACTGAAGTACTTGGAGTAGCCCCTTAAGGTTTCCTTATTGGATATATTTTCCCCTAGTATCTCTGGGAAAAGAAGAGATATAAATATAGAGAGCTAAATATAGAAAATAAATTAGCAATAGTTTTTTTTTTACCTAATATTTTGTTTTTGTTGTGTTTCTGACGGCATTCTTTTTCTGTACATATGTAATTTGCATAGCCTAGTTATTTAATTCCTCCCTCGCCCCCATTTGTTTTTGTTTTTTGTTTTTTTATGACAGGTTTCAACATTCGGATTAGTGGACAGGATGTAGGCCGTGGAACGTTCAGCCAGAGACATGCAATGGTGGTTTGTCAGGAGACTAATGATACCTACATTCCACTGAACCATATGACAACAGACCAGAAAGGTTTCTTAGAGGTATAATATACCTGTACATAATAAGGTTTTGACTGCACAGGAGAGCACTAGACATTTAGATTGCGCTATTGATACATTTAAAGTACTGCTCTAATGCTAGCAATAATGAGTTGTAGTTCACAAACATTTCTCCAACCTTTATTTCCGGCATGAAGTTAAGTAATACTTTTTGTTTATAAATGTTGTCATAAAAAGGCATGCTTCTATTTTTATGAGCCTACTTGTAACACAGACAATCAGATCTTTTTGCTTGCACATTTTCTGCTTCCAACACATGGCATTCAAGAACTGACTGTTCACTTGCTGTCTAATATATCCCACCCCCTTGACAGGTGCATTTGTAACAATATAATCCATATTATTCACTTCACCTGTCAGTAGTTTTAATGTTGTGGCTGATCAGTGTATGTTAAAGGACCACTCTAGGCACCCAGACCACTTCAGCTTAATGAAGTGGTCTGGGTGCCAGGTCCTTCTAGGGTTAACCCATTTTTTCATAATTATAGCAGTTTCAGAGAAACTGCTATAATTATGAATGGGTTAAGCCTTCCCCCTAATCCTCTGTGGCTGTCTCATTGACAGCCACTAGAGGCGCTTGCGTGCTTCTCACTGTGATTTTCACGGTGAGAGCACGCAAGCGTCCATAGGAAAGCATTGTAAATGCTTTCCTATGCGACTTTCCGACTGAATCTTGTGGCAGTTCTTGCAGCGTCTTGTCAGCGGGGCGGATCGGAGGAGGAGAGCTCTCCGCCCAGCGCTGGAAAAAGGTAAGTTTTTACCCCTTTCCCCCTTCCAGAGCCGGGCGGGAGGGGGTCCCTGAGGGTGGGGGCACCCTCAGGGCACTATAGTGCCAGGAAAACGAGTGGTCCTTTAATGAAAAAGGTAACACAGAAAAACGTGCTGGACAGACAGTGTTCTGCTATTGTTATAAAAATTATTTTTTTGTTTTTCTCTACAGGTCAGCAACAGTGCTCTGTCAGAGGAAGCAGTACTTGGCTTTGAATATGGAATGAGCATTGAAAGTCCCAAATTACTTCCAATTTGGGAGGCCCAGTTTGGAGATTTCTTCAATGGAGCACAGATCATATTTGACACTTTCATTTCTGGAGGTATAACTGTCTTTCCTACATATTTCTAAAGAATTATTATATGTACAAAGTCCTATAGGCTGCAAAACCTAGTTCTGTGATAACCAATATTTGGTTAAACCCTTACTCCGACTTTGATGCCACACACTACTCTTCTAACAGCCATGCAAGCTACAGATGTAGATGGTTGACTGAGAAGCCAGCCATCTTACTAATTTATACTAGGGTATGGCAGTGTAAAAATGTACAGTCTTTTATGTTTTACAATTTTAAAACATTGAGTATTTTGAGTATTAAAAGAGCCCTATAAGGTCAGGAATGCAAACGTGTATTCCTGACCCTATCGTATTAAAAACACTAAAAGAAACACTATCTGGCCACCCCTTGCTTCCCTAAATATAGTAAAATCCTACCTTTCTTCTACAATGTGCAGCGCTACCCCAGTAATCACCTCTAGTAGGAATATGAGGAATAGCCAGTGGAGGTATTCCTAGGCTGTAATGTAAACACTGCAATTTCTCTGAAAAGACAGCGTTTACTGCAAAAAGCCTGAAGGTAATGATTCTACTCACCAGAACAAATTCAATAAGCTGTAGTTGTTCTGGTGCCTATAGTGTCCCTTTAAGTTTTTGGGGGGGAAGGGTCCTCTACATATTCAAACTTTATAAACAATATAGTGAAGTATTATGAATAAATGTGGATTCTCAGGTGCAATGGTCCACGTGGAGGCATTTGCAGTGGTTTGCAGCTATCTTTCATAGTGTTGCTGTTTCCTGGGCGTTATTCATATTAATTTAATAGGTGTTTTGTTATCAATACGTTGATTAATTGCACATAAAATGTAATGAACAGAAGTCAGTCAGCTCAAATGAAACCTAATCTGTAATTAACTGCTCAAGAATGTTACCTTTTGTGTTTACTGCAACAGGTGAAGCTAAGTGGCTGTTACAGAGTGGTATTGTGATTCTACTTCCCCATGGCTACGATGGTGCTGGTCCTGAGCATTCTTCATGCAGAATTGAACGCTTTTTACAGGTTCATTAAAAAAAGTCACATTATGCCATATTTGTGTTTTATAAAGAACTAGTTGATTAATAATATTTAGTCAGTGGCAGAACTAATGTGGAGTTGGCCCTGGTGCAAATAGTTTTTTGACCAGTCCCCCTAGATGCCAAAAGATTTCCATACCTAGAGTGGGTAGATCCCTTTCTGTTGTACAACTCACACAATGATATGCCAGCAGAGGATCTACTACTTGCCCATCTGTGCAGCGTTGTATTTGTGAGCAGTGTTTGAGCATTTGAATATGAACAGGTTTTTTTTATTTTTTTTTATAGCGTATCTATGTGTCTGAATTGTTGTATTGTTGCCATTGAAATGTAATGGGGTACTTGTGTTTAGTGTTTTACAATTGAATGCAGGAGTGTGATTGTATGTAGTGTTGGTGTTTGAATGAAGGGACGTTTGTATATAATTTAAGAGTTTTAATACAGCGGTGTGTTTGTAACTGGTGTTTGCGTTTGATTGCAGGGGTGTATTTGCATGTTGTCATGGTGTTTGGGTATACATTTCAGAAATCATACACACACGTACACTGCCACATACATACATTGAAATATATAAATACACATTAACACACCGATACTGACACATAAACACATTGACACACAGATATGCACACTGACAGATGCTCATCTTGACACAGACAAGCTGAGAAGCACATATACAAATACATATATGTATTTTTTGTATTTTGCAGCCATCCTCCTGTTAGCATACCTCTTGTGTGCAGGAGGGAGGTTTGCTTGTGGTCCTGCTGCAGCTGGCTGTGCAGCCGCTCCGGTGGAAGTTCCGCCACAGTCTTTAGTCACAACAAATTTTCTAACGTGATCTCGACACTCATGTATTTTCTTATTTTTTTGTGTGTGGGGAAAGTGTGGATACTCCTCTGGCACTGCAGGGGTTAAATCACCATGAGAGTATATACAATTTTACATTTCACAATTTATTTATTAATTGAAGATTAAGTTGAAACTCAATAATCAGAAAAACTTAATTCCTGAAAAATTGGAAGAAAAAAAAGAGAAACTGTTATGTAACCCTTTAGTAAAAACGAGTCCTTTTTAAAATAAATATTGCAATCTGAATCAAACAACATACGGGAAATATTTGCTAAATTTAGTCAACCGTAACTAAGATTTAATTAACTCTTGTCAGGGATTGGCTATTGAAGCCTGAGTTTTGCAAATCCGTTTTCAACTCACAACAATGTGGTTTTAATTAATGTTTGTGTTAATGTTTTATTTTGTGCTGCATGGCAAGATTTCTGGTGTAAATAGTTTCTATTTGTTTCTTGTGAGTATGCTGCAGGAATGAACTCTTCATTTCAAGCCTCTTTTTTTCATTGGTTTTCTAATAGAATGCTTTCATCAAAAATGTAAGGTTTACTTAAAATTTTATTTTTTCATGTTTTGTGTTTTTTTTTGTTTCTTAGATGTGTGACAGTAAAGAGGAAGGGGTAGATGGGGATACCGTTAATATGTTTGTAGTTCACCCAACTACTCCAGCACAGTATTTTCACTTGCTGCGCAGACAGATGGTGCGGAATTTCAGAAAACCTCTCATTGTTGCATCCCCAAAAATGCTTCTAAGATATCCGGTAAAATAAATCCTATTGTCTGAGAGCAACATCTTACAGCACAATGCATATTTACTGGTGACACAGAGTTAGTCTTTCATTTTACTGACAAGCTGTTATTCACTAATTTATTGTAAAAAAAAACTGAATTGTAAAATGCAGATTAAATTAGACATACACCGGGGAATTCACAAGGCCGGGTGGATTGCAAAATCCAGATATTGTTCATGTAATTTAACAGTTGTAATTTAGAAACCAAACTGGTCTGAATTTAATCCAGATTTCAGCAGATTGAACATTGCCAGGCTGAATGCTGTAAAATTGAGTCTGAAAGCTTCAAAACCAGGCCTGGCTTTAAAAATTAAAAAAAATTTAAAATCTTAAATATTTGCCAAATATTTTTTTTTTTTTAAAGGAAAAAACAATTAGCAGCGATTGGGTTAGTCATGTGGTGGCTGGCCAAAGCTTGCTAACTTGTCTACTAAATTGCTGACATATCTACTAACTTGTTAAAACTAGTGACTGGGCAGCAATTGCTGCCCACTCACTAGAAAAGTACCCACCCATGGGGATTTGGACTGTAAAATAATTGGGGTGAGGCTTTTAAATCAGTAATGGGGTGGACAAATTATCCACCAGTTTCCAGCACCAGTTGGAATTAATTACTTAAACGACATAATTAAAAGGTATACATGCATTTTAAGCTAACCTATAGTTATCACTATATTGAAATTTCCAGTTCGATGCCACTTGTAGAACATTTATTTCACATGATATTTACAGAGAACATACTTTGCTCCAGCCTTCCTTTCAGAGCTGAAATGTCACTCACTCCATGACCAAAACATGTTTTAACAATACCTTTAAGATGCACTATTGATCACTTTCAGTGATTACTAAATTTGCTTTAGTCTGCACTGTATCCATAGTTAATGAAAATACTCTTTACTTGCTATTTGTTACTATAGGAAAAATGTAATCTGTCCCTAAATTTTCAAGATCAGTCAGTGTATATAGGATAATCAAACCTTATTGAAAAAAATAAATTAAAAAAAAAATATATATATATAGTTACTCCAACCAAAGAACAGCGTTTAAAAAGCAAAGCAGTATAAAAAAACCAAAAAACATATTGTTGCATTGTGTAGATTATAAATAGAATATAATGGCGGAGCCAGCGCCTGAGCGAGACGGTCGCAGCTTACCACAGCTCCGTCGGCCGACCCAATAACACAGCCGAAACGGAGGCAAAATCTGCAACGGGGTCCAGAGAAAAAGTCCCCCTGCATATCCCAGACCATGGGGAAAAAAACGAAAAAGCACAGAGCGGAGCTGAGCTCCGGATCCAGAGATATAGGCGCCTTTATGCGCCCGACTCAGCGACACGAGTCAGCCAAGATGGCGCCGGCTGAGGCCTTTACATCGCAGTCCTCGGACGACGACAGCCTACCGGACCCTGTGACTGCACAGTCTGAGGTACGACCTAAGCCCCAACAGCCACCAGATCTTGGCGACCTAGCACCATCAACGAAAGCCGATATAAAGGCCATGATGATTGAAATTAGGGCGATGTTTGACGCCGATATGGCACTGATTAGAGGAGAGGTAAACACCCTTGCAGGCCGTGTAACCTCAACAGAGGAAATGCTCAGAAGCACTAGGGTGGCGCAAACAGCCACAGATGCTACTCTGGGATCCCTACAAAAACAATGCACCACATTAACAGCCCAGCTAGCAGGCATGGAAGATAAAGCAAAAGCGCGCAATGTGCGTATTAGAGGGGTACCGGAAACTGTTAATAATATGGAGCTACCTCACTACTGCAGAAGGCTGATAGCCACACTGTTACCACCAAAACAGGCTAAACAGGCTGGAATTGACTCTTGCTTTCGACTCCCTAAGGCCACAAAGGCACCTCAAGATGCCCCAAAGGATGTATTACTTAAACTGGTTCGGGACTCTGACAGAGGGGCCCTTATGGGAGCAGCACGGGGTTCCCCTACAATCACTTTTGAAGGAGCAAGCTTGACTCTATACAGGGACCTGTCAAGACATACCCTCACGTGGCGCAGAACTTTCCGCCACATCACGCAACACCTACGTGACAACTCTATCCCTTATAAATGGGGTCCCCACAGACTGATGGCGGAACATAATGGAAAGACACACCTCTTACTGGCTATTTCGGAAGCATCACCCTTCTTCCAATCGATGGGCATCCCGATACCTGTGATGAACACAGAAGCCTGTCCACCGTGGAACATCGCGGAAGTTACTCCCTTTGTACCCAGAGGAACGGCACTAAGGGCGGCGGACCAGCAAACCTGAGATGAGCGGACACTCACCCCTACAACTTTATATAATGTACTTTGTCGGGGAGATCACAACCCCCAGTTCAAGGCCTCTTAGGCCCATTATTTACACCAGTTTATATGCATATATGCACGACTTCTCGTTACGTTGATACTTATTCCAACGTTTATAATCACTTTAGCTAGAATCTCACAGCTCAGATTAAGGGATTTCACCCCACCCTGGCTCCGTAAACTGACTGCCTAAGACATGTCCTATCAAATACCACCCCCCTCACCCACCCACCCACCCTTACGAAGACAGAGTAGGGTCTTAACAACAACTAGTATATACCTCCACACCAAGGGGTAAGCGACCCACCTGAAAAACTCCGACCGACCTAAGGGCCCACACAAAGGCAGGAGCATTCACAGGCCAAACCGACTACACCTCCCCAACCCCCTACTGTACTTGCCCCAGGCAAGGCACGACACCCCGAACCAATCTGCAGGGCACAATAAGCTTAACGCCAAAACCCTCCCAGACATATTGCTGTACTTCTTCTATACAGATAAAAGGAGGATTAGCCTGACTCACAAAACAAAAACGGGTAGACGACGCACATGTGCGACTTTATAACATGTAATGATGATCTAGTATGTAAAATGTTACATTTTATCTCTCTGAGCACATGCTGTAATTGATTATCTTGACTTGCAAACCCACAAAAATAAAGAATTCAAAAAAAATAAAAAAAATAAATAGAATATAATTTCCCGGTTTAAAATAATAGTCTGAAAGAAAATGGTTAATTTGCATTGCAATATATTTTTGTCCAGGCTGCTGTTTCAAGTCTTCAGGATATGGCACGTGGAAAAACATTCAGACCTGTTATTGGAGAAACACTTGTAGATTCCAAAAGGTAGTGGTTTTTACAACTCTTTTACTACTATTTTTTGTAAAAGCACAATTTAAACCATCCACAAAGTCCATCACCATGCCCTGCTCCAGGACATATAATTTCACTGTGCCCTTGCAATCTATCAGTCTTGGCATACCATACTGGCATCGTTGCATGTATTGTGCAATGCTTTTTTGGGGGGGGCAAGGGGGTTGGCGATAATATTTTACATACATAGATATTAGCTACACATTCACAGTCACCTCAAAACGATTTAATAGAATATTACTTCATCAAGTTTTGAAAGTAGATAATACAGAAAGACAGTCCAATCCAAGTGGGGTCGGGGAGGATTGGGGGTGTGACCCGCTCGTATTAATACATATAGATATAGCTGAAGAATCAATATTAGCTAAAGGTAGGGATACATTTTTCACCTTTTTTTTTTTTTACATATACTTCATTTAAACAAAACCTATTAACTTTCAATACTTGATGAAATGATTATTATGTTAAAAAATTAGTTTTAAGGTGACAGTTGTCCTTTAAGATAAGCTTAACCGGGGGGATGTGCAGAGTTTAAATTAAAACCCACCATTGTGTGACCAAAAGCAATCTATGTTAAATAAAGTGATTAGCATTTAGCGCCATATTTCCCCTGCATCTTAAACTGGCATACTACTAATCCATTTTACTGTTGAACTGTAAGCTGTGTCTGTGCCTTTGTACCAGCAAGGCTTTCCTCACTAAAAGGATGGTTTTCACTAATGTACAATTGTAATTGTACTTTTAAACCACTTTCCTTTCCTTTTACTTATGTCCATTTTAAAAATCTTAAAAGTATAATTTTACATGAAAGAAATGCACGTATTCCTTAGATCCCTTTTCCTATATATTAAAGAGTAGCAGGGAAGTTAGCTTTTGCAGTTCATCAAGTTCTGAACTGTAAACGTTGTCTTTAATCGCTATTTATTATCCTACAGTGTACATACAGTGATCCTTTGCTCTGGTAAACATTACTATTCTTTGGCCAAGCAAAAAGAAACACTGGGAGATCTAGGACACAAATATGTCATTATCAGGCTGGAGGAACTGTGCCCCTTCCCATTGGACGCTCTGCAACAAGAAATGGCAAAATATCCCAATGCCAAAGGTGAGTTTATTGTTTGCATTGTGGCATTAGTCTGTTTCCCACCATTAAGTTCAAGGCTACTGTGCATTTTACATAGATCTCCAGACTCCATTTAAAATCACCTCTTGGTTTAAAATGAATGTTATGTCAGTGCATGTATTGGGATTGAAATGAACCAGCGTACAGTTGGTTTGTCCTTTTTGGATTTTCTGGACACCATTGAGTTTAGTGTTTGTGTCTATGCTGATTTACTAAGCTCTTTATTCTTAAAGTAATACTCCCAGTTGGAACTAGCCAATTGTTATGCATTGTATAGAGCAGGCGTAGGCAACTTTCGGCACTCCAGATGTTTTGGACTACACCTCCCATGATGCTTTGCCAGCATTATGGGTGTAAGAGCATTATGGGAGATGTAGTCCAAAACATCTGGAGTGCCGAAGGTTGCCTATCCCTGGTATAGAGTATGCATTCTATGTATGCAAAAACAAACCATCCAGAATATTAAAAGATAAAATAAAAGCCAAGCATACTCCCTTTTAAAGAGATGCTGTATCAACTATAACCTACTCATCTCAATGCATCTGTTACAGTGCCTGGCGTCTCCTAGCACTGTCCCTCCTTTTTAAAAAATTTTTTGAGAACTTTACCACTGAATGAGGGTCCCCGGCTTCCCATAACCACACCCCAATGAAGGTGGCTAAAGCTTACACATTTCATTGTAGCCAGACTGATTCAAACCTGCAGGGCACCATTATAGGCTGCTTCTGCCCATTGCTCTAAATTCCTCCAGTGGCCACTCCTCAGATGGCCACTAAAGGTGCTGTCTGGGACTGTGCTGCACAGTGTGCAGCACTGCCGTTCAGGGTTTCTACGATCTGCATGGAAACGCTGAATTTTCCTCATAGAGATGCATTTATTCAGTGCATCTCTATGATGAGGGGCTGATTGACCAAGCCGTGTTTGGCCCTGCCTCCATCCCGCCTCCTTGCCGATTTCAGCCAATCCAATGCTTTCCCAGGAATACATGTCTGAATGGAAGGACAGTGCTTTGGGACCCCAGACACTATAACCACTTCAATAAGGTGAAGCAGTTACGGTGCCCACAGTGACCCTTTTAATGGTTCCTTCTTTCGTGCTCCAGGAAATAGCTTGGCAAAGATGGAGTCTATGGAGTGTGAACTGTTTAACCCCTTAAGGACCAAACTTCTGGAATAAAAGGGAATGTTGCGGCTCCCGGCCCGCCGCATGGCACAGCCATGCCCGCAGGCACGACCTCGCCGATGTCGCAAGCTTACCTGCTCGCCGGCGAGCCAGGAACTGCTCCTCCGCGTCTTCTGGGCGTTGCACCCAAATCAAAGATGGCGCTGACCACGTGGTCGCGTACACCACAAGCTCCGCCCCTCAAATTTATAGGGCTTCCTTGACCTCGGCTTCGCCTTTGACCATTCTCTATCTCTAGCGTATTAGTCCGGCCATTCTAAGGTCCGGTTTACGCTCTGTCCTTTTCTTTCCTTTCCTTTTTTATGTATATGTTTTCATAGTTTCTGCATGTTGGACCACTCTAGCAGCCGTGACATTACGACAGGGCCATGGATCCTGTGGAACTATGCAAACATATGATTGCCTGTGAGAGTAGGGTGGAGGATATGGACCACAGATTAGATCAATTTGCTCAAGCATTCCAGACCTTGCTCCAGAGAACTGCCTATCTGGAGGCTCCTCCGGTACCGCCTGTGGCTCCGCCACCTGTAAAAGCACCTGTGGCACACAAACTACCGTCCATAACCCTTTCACCTCCCCCTCGTTTTGGAGGTGATTCTAAGGAATTTAGAGGTTTTCTAAACTAAATTAAATATCACTTCGAAGCTTCCCCTGGTTCATTCCCTACAGATAGATCGAAAATTGGCTATCTAATGAACCACTTAATGGGTAAGGCTTTAACCTGGGCTAATCCCTTATGGGAGAGTGGAAATCCAGTTGCCTCTGATTACAATGTATTCCTAACAGCTTACAAAACTACTTTTGAGCCAAAAGGGAGAGAAAAGAACGCTGCCAGAGCCCTAATGAGAATAAAACAAGGCAACTGCTCTGTAGCTGATTACGCCATAGAGTTCAGGACATTGGCGTATGAGGTTGACTGGACCAATAGCGGTTTGGTGGCTGCTTTTTCCGAAGGTTTAGCGGAAAATATACAAGACGATACCGCAGCCAGAGATCTTCCAGTTAACCTTAATGACTTTATTGCATCCATGATAGACATTGATAACAGGCTCAGCGAGAGAGAGAAAAACAAACCGCGTACTAGACATTCTAACTTATCCATAGCCCCTCGTTTCTCTAACCCAGTGGTAATTAGCCATGCTCCACCTCCAGAACCTGAACCCATGCAACTGGGCATTGCCAAACTCACTGAGGCAGAGAGACAACACAGACGCAACGAGGGGTTGTGTTTGTATTGTGGCAAAAGGGGACATCAAAGGTTTTTATGTTCAGCCGGAAAACTTGCACACCTAAGGCAGGTTCGGTGACCAACCTTAGGTGTGATGTATATGTCCCCTAAATTGACTAAGAACCGTTTCCTTAAAAAAAATGACTTTGTCTTGTAAGAAAACCACTGTACATTATGAGGCTATGATTGACTCTGGGGCAGCGGAGAATTTTCTAGACAAGGAATTCTCTGCCAAACATCTCCTGCCTTTAAGGCAGAAAGATAGACCCATAGCAGTAGAGGCTATTGATGGGAGACCTCTTACCCAGCCTCTCATCACACACGAAACCCTGCCAATCACTGTCTCAGTGGGTATCTTACATTCTGAAGAAATGGTGTTCCAAATTATATCTTCACCTACCTGTCCGATAATACTGGGTTTCCCTTGGCTCCAGAAACACAATCCACTTTTAGATTGGGTTCAAGGAGAAATTGTGAGTTGGGGTGAGAGATGCAGAGGCATTTGTTTAAAACCGGTGCAACAACGAATTGGTACCCTCAATATACCTATAGCGCCTCCCTTGACCACAGAAATACCACCGCAGTATTTGGACTTAAAGCAGGTATTCAACAAGGTACAGTCGGAGGTATTACCACCACATAGACCCTACGACTGTGCCATAAATTTGTTACCAGGCACTATGCCCCCTAAAGGAGTATATGCACTATCTCCCCAAGAAAATCTTTGTTTAGAAGAGTACATAAAGGATGCTCTCAGAAAGGGTCACATACGTAGATCCTCTTCACCTGCTGGGGCTGGGTTCTTCTTCGTCTCTAAAAAAGGATACCTACGCCCTTGTATAGACTATAGGGGTTTGAATAGAATAACAATAAAAAACGCCTATCCCATTCCCCTTATTTCTGAGTTATTCGATAGGTTGAAAGGGGCCCGATTCTTCACTAAGCTCGACCTCAGAAGTGCTTACAACCTAGTCAGAATTAAGGAAGGGCACGAGTGGATGACCGCGTTTAATACGAGAATGGGACATTACGAATACCTAGTTATGCCGTTTTGACTGTGCAACGCCCCAGCGGTGTTTCAGGATTTCATTAACGATGTCCTTAGAGAATATCTCCATATGTCCGTTTTAGTGTATCTAGACGAAATTCTCATCTATTCCTCGGATTTAGAGACACATCATGAACATGTGAGAACAGTACTAAAAATCCTGTTAAAGAACGGCCTCTACTGTAAGCTGGAGAAATGCCAATTTGACCAGACTGAGATACAATTTCTTGGGTACGTTATATCTCCGTCTGGGTTTAAAATGGACCCACGCAAATTAGAAGCAGTCTTACAATGGCCATTACCCAAAGGCCTTAAAGCTACACAACGCTTTATAGATTTTGCGAATTATTACCGCATGTTCATTAAAGGTTTTTCCTCTGTAATCTCTCCTATTACCAACCTAACCAAAAAAGGAGCAAATTGCAATTCATGGCCCAAGGAAGCAAAGGAGGCATTTGAGCAATTAAAATCTTTATTTGCCTCAGCACCTGTCCTGACACATCCCGATCCAACCAAACCAAATCTAGAAGTAGATGCGTCAGAAACAGGAGTAGGAGCCATTCTGTCTCAAAAAGTCCTGATACGCCTTTACATGCCTGCGGGTTTTTCTTTTGAAAACTAACACCTGCAGAGAAAAATTATGACATTGGGAATAGAGTGTTATTGGCCATTGTACTTGCCCTTAAAGAATGGAGGCATCAAAGAGCCACTTCTGATTTTTACCGATCATAAGAATTTGGCTTATATTGGGGACGCTAAGAGATTGTCCTCTCGTCAGGCTAGATGGTCATTATTCCTCTCCCGATTCAATTTTGTAAATACGTACAGGCCCGGGACAAAGAACACCAAGGCAGATGTGCTGTCTAGGCAGTTTGAGACCGATGAGGTTCTTGAACAAGAGAAATTCCCTATCATACCACCAGAATGCCTTATTGCCACTACAATTTCCGAAGTGTCTTCTCCACTCTTCTGTGCCATAGTAGCAGATCAAACTTAGGCACCCGTGGAGAGACCTCTGGATAAACTGTATGTTTCACCACCTTTAAGAAAAAAGGTACTTGGATTATTCCATGATAATTTGACAGCAGGTCATCCTGGAGTCCATAAAACTCTCTCTGCTATCTCCAGGAGGTTCTGGTGGCCTACACTTAGGAACGACATCAAAGATTATGTAGGGGCATGTCAAACATGTACCGTTTCTAACGCCTCTCACAAATCTCCTCCTGGGCTGCTAAAACCACTGCCGATACCTAATAATCCATGGACCCATTTAGCCATGGATTTCATGGTGGATCTGCCCAGTTCAAACGAATTTAACACAATCCTTATGGTCATAGATAGATTCTCAAAAATGGCACATTTTGTACCTCTTAAAAAATTACCATCTGCTCAAGATCTTGTACAAATATTTTTGAAAGAGATCTTTCGGTTACATGGAGTGCCAAAAAACATAGTATCTGACAGAGGTACCCAATTTATTTCTAGGTTCTGGCTTGCCTTTTGTAAGCAATTGGGTATAGAACTTTCATTTTCCTCAGCGTATTGTGGGGATATTTATGGGATGATAATATTAAACAGTCGAGAATTGCCCACTATTTCAATTCTCTTAGATCTAAAAGATCGTTTATCATGTAAGTGAAATGTATTCCATACAAATAAAATCACAATTTGTTATAAAAATAGATTTAATTTATTTTGACAAATTAAATAACAATAATATTAGGCAGCATGCATGATAATAATCAGTGAATATTTAGTATAACATAAGTATGCAATACAATGGAATGGCTATACACGTTCCAATGGCTAACAGCATCAACTGTCACTTAATAAAATTTATGAGGGTACTTCACAGACAAAAGTAAAGCTTCACACAGCGAAAAGCCATAAACCTTGGCTAACAGTTAAGTCAACTGAGTAACCCTTTCAATGCTGGCTAGATCCTCCTAGGCATATATTATCCTATTCTCATGTGATTTTCAGTGAAAATAACATTCAAACCAGCTCATTAATCATTTCCTGGAGTCATCCAATAAGAATAATCTACCAGATTTTTACAAAAGCCGAATTTTAATTTGCCCAAAAAGATATCTTATCTTATTTTAGAGCAAATCAATACACCTGGATAAAAACAGCGGTATGCTAACACGTGATACTATCACATTAATATATAATTAATTATTCTTAATTCCACCTGCAGAATGGAATGTTTATAACTATATATTCTTTAGTTAACTAAGATTTCTAAATATTGAAACCTGACCGTGATTTATCCAGTCATATATCATGCTATTAGTAAATTTTAATTATTTTAAATTAATTAAATAAAACCAGCATAATTACCAGTTATGTAGATATTCTCATCAGATGAATAGGTAGTCCCAGAAACTTGATTGGTTGTATGGTGGTGCGTGAGTAATAAAGAAAAGTGATGTTGGTTAGAAAGTCAGAGTAAAATTCTAAGTGTCAAGGAGTTGTGTCCAAGAGAGTTTAAGAGTAGAGTGTTAGTCCCAGAGAGTGTCCTGGATTTCTCTGCATGTCTGTATCTGATTGCCCAAACTCCAACTCCTCTCTCTCTACCAACTAACTAACTTTTAAAGGGCCAGACTCTCTGTACGTCATTAGTTGATACGGCCAATAGGAAGCTGAAGGTGTGTTCAATCTATGGATCGCAATTTAGGTATTTGATCCATCGAGGGCAGTCTCGTCTAACTAAACCTTCCTATCCAGGAAAGAGTTAACTTTTCCTGATGACGATTTTGACGTCATTTGGCTTATCTAAAATGACTACCATAACTTAGATTTGCTGTCAGTTCAAAGCGTTTGTCTCAGTCTTTGTGGCAACTATTTTGATCGTAATTTGTAAAATTGACAGTTCTAAACTCAATTTCACCCCTTACTTACAATGGGACCTTGTAAAATTTAGAAAGTAAAATTAATTACTTAGTCTTCTCTGTCACTAGAGTCTGTGTTTCTATAATGCATTCCTTAGCTCAGGCTCAGTGGTTAGTGAAAGCAAGGAAATTATGTGTCTTTGTTATCCTGAAGATAGCAAAATGGAGTCCGCTCTGTTCTGAGTGACTCTGGCAATATACACGTTTAATTTCTTTCTTAGCACAAAATGTCTGCCGATATAAATATTCTGACTGTATCACCCTCAGACTAATAGCGCAGCAGAGAGGGCCAATCAGTCTTTAGAATCTTATTTATGTTGTTTTATCGATGCCAATCAGTCTAACTGGTACGAACTCTTACCCATGGCTAAGTTTGCCAGAAATAATGTGACTCATGAATCCTCTAATCATAGTCCATTTTTTGTAAATCAGGGTTATCACCCCACTGTTTTATTACCTTCTGAATTTTCAGACACTGATATTCCTGCCTTGAACACCCGTTTGGATTCTATTCATGACATTTGGGATTCCGTTCATACAGCATTACAGAAGGCATCAAAACGTGCTAAAATCCAAGCTGACAAGAGACGGGGTGCCAATCCTGTCTATCAACCAGGAGACAAGGTGTGGTTATCCACACGTCATGTCAAACTTAAGGTTCCTTCCATGAAATTTGCCCCTCGGTACATAGATCCTTTTCGGGTCCTCCGTCGTATCAACCCTGTGACTTATTCATTGGCACTTCCTGCTCACATGAGAATTGCCAATTCATTTCATGTGTCCTTGCTTACTTGCAATCGATAAACTAAGGTGGCTGCCCCTCCTCTGCCCTTGGTAGTGGGTGATCAGGAGGAGTACGAAGTTCATTCTCTATTGGACTCCAAAATCTCCAGGGGTATTTTGTCTTATCTAGTTGACTGGAAAGGTTATGGTCCTGAGAAACTTTGTTGGGTTCCTGCTGACCAGGTTCATGCGCCCCGTCTTATCCGGTCGTTTCACAACGCTTCCCTTATAAGCCGGCTCCTTCCCGCCTGGTGAGCGGTTTTCGAGCAGGGGTACTGTGCGGCTCCCGGCCCGCCGCATGGCGCAGCCGTGCCCGACCGGCACTGACCACTTGCTCACGCAAGCCACAAGCTCCGCCCCTCACATTTATACGGACGTGCGCGTGACGTCATGAACTCAACGCATACGCACATTCTGGGGTCAGAGGTCACCCTCTGACCAATCAGAGCCCAGAGAGGGATATTTAAATCCCTAATTCACTCAAGTTCCTTGCCCTGTCGTGGTTTCCTGTTCCTGGTTCCCTATAGTGCGTTTATCTTTGTGAATATTACTTCCTGGTATCCTGATCTTGGCCTTTCCCTGGGTATTCCGAATTCTGGTTCCCCTGACTTGGCTTGTTTCAGCGGTATCTGAGTATTTCTGGCTTCCTTGACCTCGGCTTTCCCTTTGACCATTCTCTATCTCTAGCGTATTAGTCCGGCCATTCTAAGGTCTGGTTTATGATCTGTCCTTTTCTTTCCTTTCCTATGTATATGTTTACATAGTTTCTGCGTGTTGGACCACACTAGCAGCTGTGACAGGGAATCATAACATTTCACACATGTCATGTGTCCTTAAGGGGTTAAAGGGCCATGCATCACTTTGAGACACCTGTCTTATTCAAATGCTTTAGCTTTGAATGAGACAGTTGCCTCACTACAGGCTGAAAAAGCAGGCAAATATGATTTATTTATTTTTCTTCATATTTACCTGCTTCTTCATTCTTATGCTTTCCACACCCACTCCAGGTGAAACTGAGTGATAGATAAAATCCTATCCCTAGGAATGCTGGGAAAGTGTTTTGGGAATGCCTGACATATTTACACATGTACAGTCTGAAGATCTCTTCACCTTGCAACATCCTGACAGGGGGAGAAGAGAGGGAGTCTGATCAGTGTTCTCTCTTGCTGCTGAACAATGATGCCTTGTTTATGTCATTAGTGAACTGATTTCAAACTGAGATGGGTGGATAAACATATAAACATTTATTACATACTTTTCAAAGTGTAGCAGAGACCTTCTGGCTGTCCATCCCATTTTCAGTTTATTTTGCATCTTTCGTTTAGATTTACAATATACCTAGGCATTTGTCTGGTTGTTCAGTAAACAGCCCTATAAGACTTCAGTAAATTGCTTCATTCGGCATCCGAGTACCAATGGATCACGGATGGAGATCGATTACTCCACACTAAAGCGATCCACACTAAAGGATCTTCTGGAAGCAAGGGGTATTCCAGCCAGCAATAAGACAAAGGAAGTTCTGGAGCTCTGGAGGTCTTAGCGGTGTGCGCGTAGTCGAGTGTCCGATTTGGGTTCCAGACACTCGACGACCAAACACCGCTGAGCGTTCGTATGCTAAGATGGCCGCCGCCACGTGTTCGTATTGCAGCAACACTTCACACCAGGGTGGTCTGGTTGTTCGGTACTTTGGTTCAGATACCGAATGAAGCAATTTACTTAAGTCTTATAGGGCTATTTACCGAACAAGCAGACGAATGCTTAGGCATATTGTAAATCCATATAAAAGATGCAAAATAAACAGAAAATGGGATGGACAGCCAGAAGGTCTCTGCTACACTTTTCAACATTGTTCTTGCTTCATACTGGTTTATTTGTTTAAAAGTGTTACCTCTGTGCAGATCTTGGGTTCAGTTCAGAAAAAGAACCTGTAGTTCAGGTATCCGTTTTCTACTCATGTAAGTTATTAGCTATATCACAATTCCCAAAAATTTTTCCTGTGCTTCTTTATGTATTACTGGACGCTGCAGATGAGCAGGAAAGCACAGGAAGGGAGCTGTATACAAAATTATACAAATGTAGCCATGTAAAATATTGCTAATTATTTTAGCCAAAAGTTATTAAAATACATAAATGTTTGTTTTCTTAATGTCTGGAATGTACCTTTTTAAGTTCCTATCCAATCAGAAAAAGAAAAAAACCTCCCCACTAACTGAAATCTTCTTAATAGAACATTCTGAGAACCAACATAAACACTCACTTTACACTTTTTTGGAATATTTCCATGGTTTTCCCAAAAGGGAACAAAGTTGGAACCGGGATGGTTGGGGGTAGGGCTAGTGTTTGTGAGGCCAGTTGCAAGATAAAATGCAGATGTAGAGAGACATTGGATTATAACAGGGCTAATGGGTCAGAGTGTCAAAGGGCAAGAGAGACTGGGGGCAGAGTGACAAAAGCCTATGGAGGCTGAGGAACAGAGGGACACCCTGTTACTCTAACTCCAGTTTACTTTGTTCACTGACTTCTCTGACAGAGGGGGTTGGGGATAAAACTTGAATATTTACAGAGCCCCTCTACTAACCTCCTTACTGTTGGTGCTGCCATGTGGCTGAAGACTCTGAGGAGGCTCTACAAGAGGGTGTACGCTGACCACTATCCAGACTCCAAAATGTGGGGAGGCCCTCTAGGTGGCTTTGCGCCATCCTAGGCTGCTGAAGCCAGTCTCTGAGTGTGCAGTGGAAAGCATGTAATTTCATGGGAACTTTGGAAACAATATATATATATATGTGTGTGTGTGTGTGTATGTATATAGCTATAAAATGTGTTTATTTTTGATAACTGCATATAATGCTTTCATTAATTTTAAAGAATTTATTTGGAGCCAAGAAGAACCGCAGAATATGGGTGCATGGACATTTGTAGCACCTCGGTTTGAAAAACAGTTGGGATGTAAGGTAAATGTTTTCTGTTTCATCTCTTTTGACGTTTAAGGAAGTTACATAATTATGATTTTACAGGCTAGCTAACACTTTCTGGGTTATTTACTAAAACATGGAATATGAATTATTTGAAAGGCTGAAATAGTTGAGGTTCAAACAGAAGTTACTTGGATAGATATTTTTTTTTTCCTTTTGGCTTTTGAACTCAAATAAGTGCAGTCCCTTGTTGAAATCGTAAGAATTCTCAGGTTAATGAATAACCCAGTAATGCCATAAATTTTTCACCAGTATTTAAGTCCTTAACCTACTGTAATACCATGCCCAAGAACCCTTTTTAAAATGTAATTTTTTTTTTTTAAATTTTAACCCGTGACTCAACACCCAATCAGGGTGCCATTATTTTAGAGGTTTTCTTCTTTATAAACTAATTAATACTTCATTAGATTTCACTGTTTTTTTGTTATTTAGTTGTCAAATAGCAATATCTCACAGTGTTTTGTTTTTGTTTACAGTTACACCTTGTAAGTAGACCTGCTCTTCCTGCACCAGCAGTGGGTATTGGATCTCTCCACCAACAACAACAACAAGATATAATCACAAAAACATTTGCATAGCTGTACTAAATAATATTTGATATTTTAAATATGTGAATGTATTTCTGGACTATTGGGCTTTATTTTCCACTTTTATAAGTTTATTGTAATTACCGGCACTTGGTAGATCAAGATGGAAATTTGAAAGTCTAAATTCAGTCTTCTCATCATAGGGATCAAACACTAAGAACAATGCTTATAGCCTGGTAGGAATGTTGGATGTGGCGTGTGTTTGTTTTTTTTTGTTTTTTTGTGTTTTTTAATTATAATTTTTTTTAATATCATTTGAGGAAGGAGTAGCCGGATGGGAGGGTGCATTTCTGTTCAAATTTTATACCAAGTATGTTAAAAAAACAAACAAAAAAAAACCCCATAAAGATTGTATCGTGATTGGATCGACAAACTGTTGAAACTTCATTGACAACTGGCTAGACCGGAAACAAATTCCAATGCCCTTATTTTTACAGTGGTCTATGACTTCATTGAAAATTCAGTATTTAAGGGACAACTTCTGAAGCCTGTGTGTGACTATTACAGTATGTAATAATTATTTCAAATGAGAGTAAATAGGATATATTTTACACTTGTGTGTTTCCGATGGCTTGGTTAAACTTCAATATAAAATATCATTATGATGGTACAGATGAGTCAAACTATATAAAGTTATTAACTCGCTGCTGGAAACCTAGTGCCATTTTTTCTTTCAATTAACTTTTGTATAGAACAAAGAGCTTTCTAATCTTCATTTTAACCCTGAGGTTCTGGCAAGGTTTAGAAGACTTCTAGTTTATTGAAATTCCATTCCTTTATGATTTTGGCAGATGGTCAGAAGATGATTTCTTGATTAATGTTAGCAGATATGGACACTTTAGGTCTGAAAGAATGCAGTTTTATTATAACTATGTCCAGCGGGAACAGATACAATTGACTTTGCCCTGAAGGGGTTATTATACTGTATGCCTTCTGTTTTTTTTGAATATCCCATGCCTAGAAGATGATTTTTATGTGTAACTACTACATCTTCTAACTGATGGTGAGGGGGGAGGGGGGTCATGTATGTGATGGTGAGGGGGGAAGGGGGTCATGTATGTGATGTGGTGAGGAGGGAAGGGGTCATGTGAGAAGTGATGGTAGGGGGGTGATGGTGAGAGATGGTGATGGTGAGGAGGTGCTGCCTGGTGGTCCGGTGGGCTCCCTGTTGGTCCGGTGGCCATAACATCCGGTCTGCAGCTACGCAGAGCTGCAGACCATGTGTCTCGTGAGACCCATCAGAGCGTTGCCGTGGTAACGTGCAGCAATGCTCTGATTGGCCAGTTCTCGTGAGACCCATCAGAGCGTTGCCGTGGTAACGTGCAGCAATGCTCTGATTGGCCAGTTCTCGCGAGAACATATACATGGGGTATATGGACATATACCCCATTTGCAATACCTTGGGTTGTCTCGCGAGAACTGGCCAATCAGAGCATTGCTGCACGTTACCACGGCAACGCTCTGATGGGTCTCACCGGTGTCTCTGATGGCTGGCCGGGTAGACAGGAGGGGCCTCGCACCCGGCGGCATACTGAGCAAGCCGCCGGGCCTCCTCCTGGTGTCGGGTCCTCAGTCACTGACAGTCTGCCCTCAGGCGGTTTAGGCGGCCACCTAAACCGCCTAATAATTAGAGAGCCGCCTTTGGGATCAAATATAGCACATTCCATTTTTCATTTTTTTCACATTGAAATTTGCCATATTAGTAATGTTACATTTGACACCGTGTGGTAGCCCAGGAATGAGAATTACCCCCATGATGGCACACCATTTGCAAAAGTAGACAACCCAAGGTATTGCAAGTGGGGTATGTCCAGTTTTTTTTAGTAGCCACTTAGTCACAAACACTGGCCAAAGTTAGCATTCATATTTGTTTTTGTGTGCAAAAAGCAAGAAACTAATACTGGCCAGTGTTTGTGGCTACTAAAAATGAATGGACATATACCCCATTTGCAATACCTTGGGTTGTCTACTTTTTCAAATAGTATGCCATCATGGGGGTAATTCTCATTCCTGGGCTACCATACGGTCTCAAAGGCAACATTAACAAACTGGCAAATTTCAATGTGAAAAAAAATGAAATGCAAGCCTTATATTTGACTCTCTAACTTTCCAAAACACCATAAAACCTGTACACGGGGGATACTGTTATACTTGGGAGACTTCACTGAACACAAATATTAGTATTTCAAAACAGTAAAACATCTTACAACAACAATATCCGTCAGTAAAAGTGCTTTTCATGTGTGAAAAATGCAACAAAAAAAAAAAAACGTAACTTTTACTGCAAATATCATCATTATAATTCAATTTAAAACAGTACCCCCCATGTACATGTTTTATGGTGTCTTGAAACGTTACAGGGTTAAATAAAGTGCTTTGCAAATTAATTTCTCTGCCCTTTCTGCCTGGGTTGTCAGGCATGTCAATCAAATTTTAGTTAGTAAAAATCACATAATTATGTTAACAGATTACTTAAATATACATGTAGAATATATATATTGACAGACTCCGATTGGTTCATTGAAAGTAACCAATCAGAGAGTTATAAGTCAAAACAAAGAGTCAAATCAGAGTCAAAGAGAACACCTAGGCAGTGAGCCTGCGAGGTAGAGGTGATGGTGGCGCCTTTGACTTGGACGGAGACCGACACAGGAGTAGTATTACTTGAGGGAGGAAAGTCCACAAGTTCTCTTTTGGACAGGTTGAGTTTTTTAGGAAGTGAGTAGCCATCCAGTTGGAGATTGCAGAGAGACAGTCAGAGACACCAGTCAAGATGGGCGGAGAGAGATCAGGAGAGGACAGGTAAATTTGTATGTCATCTGCATATAAATGATCATGGAAGCCAAAGGAGCTGATGAGTTTACCAATGGAGGCAGTATAGATGGAGAACAGTAGAGGACCAAGAACAGAACCTTGGGGAACACCAACATAGAGGGTTTGGGGAGAAGAGGCAGAGCCAGAGAAAGAAACACTGAAAAAGTGCTGGGAGAGGTAGGAGGAGCACCATCTCGTAGACCGAGATTACAGAGAATGAGAAGAAGCTGTTGATGATCAATAGTGTCAAAGGCAACAGAAAGATCAAGGAGAATTAGGATAGAGTAATGGTTGCGAGATTTAGCAGCAATTAAATCATTGGATACTATGGTCACAACTGTTTCAACTGAGTGATGTGCGTGGAATCCAGACTAAAGTGGGTCAAGCAGAAAGCTGGATTTGAGGAAGTCTGTCAGTCTCGTATACACAACTCTTTCAAGGATCAAACGGCAATAGCGATATAAAGTGGTAGTTGGATGGGGAGTTGGGGGTCAAGGTTGGGCTTTTTCAGAATTGGCGTTACGGTTGCATGATTGAAAGATGAAGGAAATGTGCCGGAAGAAAGGGAGAGATTGAAAATTTTAGTGAGAGGAAGAGCAAGAGAGGGAGATAGGGTGCTTATGAGCTATGAGGGAATACGATAGACAGAACAGGATCAAGGGAACAGGTGGTGGAGCGGGAGGACCGAAGCAGAGCAGAAACCTCTTTCGTTGTAGTAGGTGCGAATGAGCATAGAACAGTGGAGTGAGTGGGATTGGGTGATCTACTGGAAGATGTATCAAGTCATATTGGTCCATGGCTTGTCCTTTATTAGAAACTGCCCTCAAGAACCTGTGATCTAAATCTGGAACATTGGAACTAGCCTTTCTTCTGAGCCAAGAACCACCAACATCTTAGTAAAAACTCAGGAAGCAGAGCAAAGACCAAAAGGTAACACCACTAAATGGAAATGTAGGAAACCTGCTTTTGAAAGCATGCAACATCTCAGGAAATGTCTATTTTTAATTATATTGAGGTATGCTAAAAAAATTTATATTTTAAATCTAAGGTCCCCATACAGTCATCAGGATCCGAGTAGCAACCTGAATAATCTCCTCCCCTAGCGCTCTTTTGTCTGGAGCATGTATTGTTTATTAACTAGGTCAATAAAGTACAGCCTCAAAGTGTGTTGAATGTGATAATGCACAAACACATTAACAGATCCCCTCAATTTACCTTCCATAGTTATATGGGGATTATGTTGACCCCCAAAGGCTTTATTTATTTTACACTATGGCAGTCAGTTGAGGTGTGCTGTAACAGACTTACGAGTAGGCCTGTAAAACAAAGAGGGCCCACCTAAGGAATTGGTTCAGAAAACTGGGAGTGGAGGGTGGTGTGATACATGCTGCGTTGATCATGATACAGTTACTAGATAGAGGAGGTGAGTATTTTAAATAGCCGAAACAAGTCACTCTCACAACTCCAGGCTCCTGCTTTTATATTTGTGGTCGGGACACAAACCGCCATAAGCGGTAAGTAATAAGCATGACATAATAAATGTAACATAGGGAAAATACTTAAAGGACCACTCTAGGCACCCAGACCACTTCATCTTAATGAAGTGGTCTGGGTGCCAGGTCCAGCTAGGATTAACCCATTCTTTTATAAACATAGCAGTTTCAGAGAAACTGCTATGTTTATGAATGGGTTAAGCCTTCCCCCAAAGCCTCTAGCGGCTGTCTCATTGACAGCCGCTAGAGGCGCTTGCGTGCTTCAGTGAGACCATGCCAGCTTCCATAGGAAAGCATTGTGAATGCTTTCCTATGCGACCGGCTGAATGCGCGCGCAGCTCTTGCCGCGCGTGCGCATTCAGCCGACGGGGAGGAGAGGAGGAGGATCGGAGGAGAGCTCCCCGCCCAGCGCTGGAAAAAGGTAAGTTTTTTCCCCTTCCAGAGCCGGGCAGGAGGGGGTACCTGAGGGTGGGGGCACCCTCAGGGCACTATAGTGCCAGGAAAACGAGTATGTTTTCCTGGCACTGTAGTGGTCCTTTAAGTCGGTCGAGGTGTGCCAAAGCATGTCTAAAAATTAATTGTATACATGACCTAAGTATATAATATAATAAATTTGGTATGGGGATCACAAAACATCTTGGTAAATGCATAGCGGTTCTCAAGATGAATATCTTGCTAGGGTTGCTTTACTTGTTCCAGGCAGTACCTCTTATTATCTAGAGCATTTTTCTTCTCATTGAAGACTGCAGTGATTTGCCATGTGTGGAGAGGCGAGAGATCCCTAGACAGTGGGTGGGAAGAAGTCTTCCCAGATATTAAGAAATACCATAAGGCAACAACACTACAACGTATCCTTGATTGGCATTCCTGACGTCTACTGCAGCAGTGGCCTTCTCTGGACTGGGAGGGACTTGACATTCACCTTCATGCTGTCTATGGTTGGGGAGGTCTGAGACACTGGACCGAACGGCAGCAGGATCACCAGTCAGTCATACACTCAGGATATGGAGGGCTTTATGAGGAGTAACCCACATATCTCCTATACCAAGTCCCTTGATACCTGTACAACAGAAGTATCTGGGTGGTGGGGTATTTTACCAGTGCTTGGGCCTTCATAGATAGGAACCCTTTCATCCCAATCCATAAGGTTTTAGCTAATGATGATTTGCTAGGACTACGAGACATCAAAAGGGGGAGGAAGCTCCGACACTCCTTACTAAATTCTGACATACACAATTACGACACTACTATAAAAATATATCTAATAGGGCACTATTGCATTGAACCTTGACGTAGTTCAAATGCATCTGCAAAGGTGATACTACCCTGAAGAAGGCCATTGCTGTCCTTTACCAGCATCTACTGGTGGGAGATAAAAACACGAAAACCACTTACAAGAGATGATGGAAAGATTTTTTTTGATTGGGTAACTAAAATTATAGATCAGGGTGGTGCAGTAGACATTGCTTACCTACATTTCAGTAAGGCTTTTGACACTGTTGCACATAGAAGGCTTATCAATAAACTGCAATCTTTAAGTTTGGATTCCAATATTGTTCAATGGGTAAGGCAGTGGCTGAGTGACAGGCAACAGAGGGTTGTAGTTAATGGAATATATTCGAAGCTTGGACTTGTCACCAGTGGGGTACCTCAGGGATCTGTACTTGGACCCATTCTCTTTAATATTTTTATTAGTGATATTGCAGAAGGTCTTGATGGTAAGGTATGTCTTTTTGCTGATGATACTAAGATATGTAACAGGGTTGATGTTCCAGGAGGGATAAGCCAAATGGCAAATGATTTAGGTAAACTAGAAAAATGGTCAGAATTGTGGCAACTGACATTTAATGTGGATAAGTGCAAGATAATGCATCTTGGACGTAAAAACCCAAGGGCATAGTACAGAATATTTGATAGAGTCCTAACCTCAACAATTGAGGAAAGGGATTTAGGGGTGATTATTTCTGATGACTTAAAGGTAGGCAGACAATGTAATAGAGCAGCAGGAAATGCTAGCAGAATGCTTGGTTGTATAGGGAGAGGTATTAGCAGTAGAAAGAGGGAAGTGCTCATGCCATTGTACAGAACACTGGTGAGACCTCACTTGGAGTATTGTACACAGTACTGGAGACCGTATCTTCAGAAGGATATTGATACCTTAGAGAGGGTTCAGAGAAGGGCTACTAAACTGGTTCATGGATTGCGGGATAAAACTTACCAGGAAAGGTTAAAGGATCTTAACATGTATAGCTTGGAGGAAAGACGAGACAGGGGGGATATGATAGAAATATTTAAATACATAAAGGGAATCAACACAGTAAAAGAGGAGACTATATTTAAAAGAAGAAAAACTACCACAACAAGAGGACATAGTCTTAAATTAGAGGGACAAGGGTTTAAAAATAATATCAGGAAGTATTACTTTACTGAGAGGGTAGTGGATGCATGAAATAGCCTTCCAGCTGAAGTGGTAGAGGTTAACACAGTAAAGGAGTTTAAGCATGCGTGGGATAGGCATAAGGCTATCCTAACTATAAGATAAGGCTAGGGACTAATGAAAGTATTTAGAAAATTGGGCAGACTAGATGGGCCGAGTGGTTCTTATCTGTCGTCACATTCTATGTTTCTATGTAACTGCTTGGCAAGACGTTCACTGACACACAGTGGGGAAAAGGTTTACATTTTAAACCATCAGAGCTCGATCAGCTCTAGGTACCAAGAAACTAACTACAAACTACTATCGTCATGGTATCGCACTCCATCTCTCCTACATCGTGATCTTCCCGCATGCATCCCCATTTTGCTAGAGGTGTGGCACAGGCAAGGGGATGATCGAACATATTTAGTGGAGTTATCCCAAAATAAGGAAAGATCTATTGACGTCTTCGGAGAACCACAACATACGGGGGAACAACCACTATTGCACCAGTCTCGAGATACAAAAAGTCACTAGACACCATCTCAATGCAGCAAAATTACTAATACCTGCCCTCTGGACACAAGTAGAGACCCCCTACCAGGGAACAGTGGCTAGGGCGAGTGAAGGATCCAGCATTACTGAGCACCAGTGACAAACACGCTGACCGCTGGTGACCCTTTTTTATGTATATGGCTGACAGATTGAGGACTGGCAATGCAACTGCTGCAAATGTGGCGCTTGAAGACAAGGAGGTGGACAGCATGACCCAGGGTCGGGAGAAACTTTCACCCCTTCCCCTCATTCTTCATCATCCTCTCTGTGGTCCTGCCCACCTCCTCTTGCTCTTTGTTCCCCACTCCTTTTACATCTCAGCATTTATACATCATCTAATACTTTCCATTATTTTTTTTTTTTTCATTTCCACCCCTCCCAACCTCTTTTTTGCGGTTTCCTAGAGGCATACCTACTCTGCAAGGATCACTCCTCTTTCTTATGGAGGTAGAAATAGAAATGGAGTGTTGTCAGTATTACTGTTTTAAGGAAGCAATCATTGCTCATCCTACACTTTCCAGAGAATTCTTCCTACATAACTCGGAAACTTGGTTGATGTGGAATGGTGACCAGTGGGCTCCCACTAAAGTACCATTATATTTGGTTGAGCGTTACGCACCAGGGCACCCTAAGGTTATCATCTACAACAAACATGTCAAAC